TCAGAGATTTCCCATACATTTATACCTTTACACACCAAACCCAATGTCATTTCATCCTTTTAAAGGTCCTCCGACGTCGATTCGCCCCAAATATCGGCTCTACCACTGCGTCAAGGGTTGGCATGCGGAATGGCGTCGCCGCGAAGGATAGTTGCCTTGTCGCCGTGCTCGCGGACTAGAGGATCGATGGCAAAAATGTGTATTATGTATAGTATACAGTAGTGGGTTGGTGCGCTAACATTTAGCAGCTGTTGAACAAGGCATGTCGAGGAAATAGAGTTTATTGTGAGCGGCATACGAAGTGCAAAACGGTATAAAGGGCATGCAATACTTGGTACATGGACTGGCAGCTCTAAGAAGGCTCGTTGCATTGAAGCCGTAGACCTTAACTTAGGCGTCGACATCAATGTCGTCGATGTCATCGAGAAATTCGATCGTGATGGCCCGCGCGTAGTCAGTCGCGAGGTGATTGCGAAGGGCCTGGACAGAAGCGGGCGCCAAGTCCAGTCCAGAGATTACCATTTTGGTGAGCGACGCGTGCTGGTACACGAGTGGCAGCAAAGCCGTCGCGTCGTTGCCGTCCAGCGTCTCGACCGAGAGCGTGTTAAGGTGGTGGAGCGTCGCCGTGCACGCCATGAGCTCAGCAACTCGGATGGTTTGTCCGACGTGGATCGAACGGGCGTTGGTGGCGGCTCGATACACGTCGGCCAAGACGTCGTTCAGGTCAGTGTAGTCGTCGAGAGTCGTCACTTGAAGGTGCAGATGCTGCAGTCGCGAGGCACGTCGAGCCGTCGCAATCAAAGGAAGCGCCTCGTCAGCCGTCGTGACGAGCACGTCTTTAAAGGTCAGACACTCGAGCGTGTCCGGGAAGTCGCCGCAGAGCTCGTGCAGCGCCCGCGACGACCCACGTACATGGTCGAGCGAGAGGTGCGTCAGACGTGACGCCCGAAGCGCCATGGCCAATGACGACATGACCGTGTCGGCAAACGCCACTGGGGACAGAGTGAGTCGCAGCAGCGTCGGTGCAAGGCCGTAGACAAACGCCGCCTGGGGCAACGTCGCATCCAAGCGCCGCTCGCTGTCGAGCGAACCCATGATCTTGAGGTCGCGCAGGCCGCTGCTGGTGCGCAGAGACCGGGCGAGGCCACCGGCCTGCGGGTGGGAGAGCTCGAAGTAGCACAGATCGATGCACTTCAGCGTCGCCTCATGGCAGCTGATGAACCGCGAGATGGCCGTGAGCACCGTCTCGGGGCACTGGGTGGCCATCGGCGAGAATGTCGGTTGGTTGAAGATGTGCAAGCTGTCGACACGACGAGAGCATTCGAATGCACAAAGCGTCCAGATAATGGCTGCACCGTCGATTGCAATGTCACCCGAGATCTCAATCACATGAGCTTCACGGATGTCCATCGCGGGCGGTAGCATCACGTCAAGCGCGTCGCAAAGGAGCGCCGTAGTCGTTTGAACGAGGCAGCTTGGCACCACCGGCGGATCCAGCGTCACCGGCACGCGAAACACCTGCTGTCGCGCGATACCGGCCGGCGAGAAAAAGCTGAGCAGCGGCAGCACCTCAAGCCCGCGAGCTATGTCCTGCGCGTCGAGGCGCGGGTGATCGATCGGCAGGATCGGCGCAACCTGGTCGTCGCCGATCACGTCGGCCATTGTGAGGAGACTCGGGTAGCCAATCGGGAGGATGTCGACCGGAAAGGCGCGGATTGCCGCAAAGAGGTCGCTCGGATGACCCACAAAGCTGAAGATGATGCGAAGCGAACGGGTCTCGAAGATGCTGAGCGGTGGCCCACGCAGGCGCCGGATCGGAGGCGCGTCCATGATGCTGATGCTGGCGTGCGATCAAAAGTCAAAGTGTGTGATGGTGAAAGAAGGCGACGCACACCTCTCGACGCAGATCATTCTGGTGACCGAGCGCGCGAGTAACACAAAACGAACCCGAGGTGCCACGGAGTAGCTTTATCACACCATGAGCGTACTACCGGTAGTAGGAGGACGGCGACAAGATTTCGAGAGCCAGGTTGTGCGACAGCATTCGGCTTCAAGTACGTGACCACACGTGACCATAGCCACGCTCGTAGACGCAGAACATGTCGGCTACAGTACTACGGTACCGATGGCACAACATGGATTGCGTCTGCCGGTACCCAGCACTCGAAAGCGCAATGCTGCGAGCAGCTCCTGTGAGGCACGCTTCCCGTCGCAATGTACTCGGCGCAGCGTGCGTGTGTTTGTTGCAGAGAGATTGATGCCAGACTGGCAAACAAGCGAGTATCGGATACTGTACTTGGAACTAGATGGCAGGAATCTCAAGCTTTCAGCTACTTGAAGTTGAAGGTCGGACTAGCACTTGATGTGGATTGGTCAAAAAATACTTTCTTTTTCCAATTGGCCGCTTCCATGTGCATGACGACGACAGTGTAAGCATGTGGCACACCACCAAGATGCGTTGCACGCGCCCCGCCACGGACGCACCAGCGGCTCCCAACCCGCCACTATAATAACGTTAGGACGATGACCCGGTCTGATCTGCACCCTAGCACACGTGCTCACTACGTGATGCGCTGCGTCGTCAAGCTGCATGCCCATCTGCACAAGCCAAACAAGGCACATCAAGCGTCACAACCCTCTTGGGCTACCTTTTCTCGATGTTCAAGACGGCCTAGAACATTTATCCAACCGCGTTCCAATATTGTATGTATGACTCTTCCTCCGCACCTGCAGCTGACTCAACGTCTGGCACGTCTGAAACGATCGCGTCTTTCAGACTGACCTGACCTACCACTGCCAGGCCCATGGACAATTGCCATCAAGGCGGCTAGTGTCACGCAGCACGAGTGGTTGCGCCGACGTCATGTCCCGTGAAATGCGTTCCAGCCGCCGCCGGTCTAGACCGTGTCCTTTAACCGAGTGTGTAAATGGAATCAATGATGTTGTTATTCATCTTAGATGTTACGATACTTGAAACCTTACTGGCGGCATCCTAATGATTCGCGTCGGTATGGAACCGGCTCTGGCGGATCATGTCGTAAGCGGCCTTGTAGCGCTTGGCCGCATTCTTGGCCGCCTTTTCCAAGCGCTGACTTGCGGTCAACGTAGCCGTCGTGTCTTTCATGGCTTGGATCAACGCATCGCGCTCCTTGACTGCTGCATCGCGCTCCTTGACTGCTGCATCGTGCTTCTCGATCAATGCATCGCGCTCCTCGACCGCTGCATCGCGCTCCTTGACTGCTGCATTGCGCTCCTTGACGACCTCGTCATATTTGCGCTTCGGCGCTTCGTGCGCAGCTCCCGCAACGATCGTGGGGTACGTCTTGAACAAAAAGTTGTCCTTGATGACAAAGTTGTCGCAGTCGTGGGCGACGGCGTTGAAGGCCTCGCGCAGCTCGTCCGCCGATACGTTCTGCGTGTCGAGGTGGCGCAGCAGCACGCACCAAAGAGGACCGTCTAGCACGGTGACGCTGACCGACGATGTGACGTCGGTGACCTTGATCAACACGTCCGAGACCACGTACGTGTGCTTGAACACTGCCGAGCCGGAGAGGTCCGCCGCCTTGTCGGCCGAGTAGCGGTCGGGCGACGCGACCGTCGCAACCACCACGAGGCCACCGTCGGCCGAGATGGCGCGACCGAGCTTGTTGTCGGGGACCACAGTGAGAGGCCCCTTGACGCCGTGGAGCGCCGAGCTCAAGGCGGCTTGGGCGGCCACCGTCGTCGCCGCGGAAGGCAAGCTGTTCATCGCCTTCTCGATGCGCGCGATCGCCATGAGCACGTAGATGAGGAAGGTGCTGCGGTTCATGGCGCCGTAGCCGAAGGCCGACTTCATGCTCTCGGCGTCGAAGCGCGGGCGCTTGCCGGTCTGCGTGGCGAACGTCGAGAACATGCTGCTTGCTGAAACCGAGTAGAAACCGAATATGACAGCATTTTCAATTGCTCGTGGGTTGTATTATTATTCAAAGTGTTTGACCGGCGTTTTTAAATAGACGGCGCTGATTGGCTTCTACACTTCCAGACACTGAATACCACGCTGCGATTGGTCCTTTGCTGTGACCGATTCGATATTTTTATTCATAATAATAGATATAAAAGCCGTGCTGCCTTTCTGCGGGTTGCAGTCGCTCGTGTTGCAGTCGTCCGCGCCGATCTGCCGCCACGGACGAGGCTGCCACGCACTCAGAAATCTCTCTGCATACCACCTGTACTAGTATTACACTTACATGATTGACCTACTCGCTAATGATGCGACGGCTTCTTGGGCAATGGCACCTGCAGCTTAGTCTCAAGCGGCAACAAGCCATGCTCGCCCGCGATGCTGAGCCACGCAAGACTGTAGTAGGCGTGCATGACGTCGGGATACGTGTTCGGGAACTTGGCGATCCCGCCACCGTGCGGAAACTGGCACGAGAGCACAAACTTACGGACGCTGGGAATGTCCACGAGGTTGTGGAACCCAAGCATCTGTAGCGTCGCGCCGTCCCAGAACGCGTAGCAACTGTCCGGCGTCTTGTTGGTGCGGCCCTGGAAGCCCCCTGCTGCCGAGAGACGAGCCAGCGGAGTAGCTTCTGCATCGAAAAGTGCACCTGCGCGAGACGGCCGCAGAGCGCTAGTGACGCCATGCCGCAGTGAGTCACGCCGCCCTGCGCTTCAAGGCCCGGGTTCATGCCAAGGCCGCCCTCGTACGTCTAGCAAGGGTGAGGATTCCTATCAAGAGCATGCAACGCACCGCACACCCATTGACGTAGCGCATGACGCCGTCGCGGTCGACCCCCGACCAGTCCTTGAGCATGTGCGAGATGGCGCAGACTCAAAAGACAAAGCGCAGATCTTCCTCGGTGCCGAGGGAGCTCGCCGAGAACCTAGCCACCACTGGTAAAACAAATATGAATGGAAGATCGCCTCGTACCCGCCCGTCGCTGGGTTTTGCAGATGGCGAAGGGACGCGATGACGGCTTGCTTGTTGACGCGGCTCAAGTTGTCGCCAAGCGTCCGGAGAATCGCTATCGACGCATACGTCGAGGCGATGTGGGCCACGTCGTACGTGCTGCTCTCGTAGTCCTTGGGCCGTTGGCCAAACACATTGCCCATCCACGGCGAACCGCGGAAGCCGCAGTCGGACACGTTGATGCTGCGGTCGCGGCGATCGGGGTGGACCTGCAGCGAGTAGACCCAGTCGATGAGCTCCTTCTTGTCGACGCGGTCGAGCTCGCCGAGGATCGCGAGGCTATGCATGCAGAAGAAGAGGAGCACGACGCGGTGGTGGTCCTGGCCCGCGTACGGCTCTGGCAGCTTGCGCAGGTGCCGGAGGAAGAAGAGCACATGCGCCTCCCGATCCATGCTGCTGCTGCTGCTGGTACGTCCAATTCGGATTTTTCACCCACTTCACCTTTGAATGCACGCAGTTTAGGGTTTAGGGCACCATTTCACTGTATTAAATAGTGTGGCAATTCAAAAAGTCGGTCCAGTACGAGAGCGTATACGTCGCGCGTGCATCAGCACGACCTCAAGTCTAGCGATGCAAAGGATTTTGCTGCATCTGGCTGTGGTGAGGATAGCCGCGTCGCAACAATTGCTGGAATGTCGATGTCTCGACATTCCACACTAAATCAGCAGTAGAATATAGTGTAAATTGTAGCGGCGTGGGATTGGGCAATATTCCAGAAACATCGGTGTGTGATTGGGCAGCGCACAATAAGATCTCATCGAGCGACGGCCAAGGACGAAGGGAAGCTGCACGAGCGGGAAAGCAATGAAGTCGCGGTCCTCAACGAGCGCATTGAGCTCGAGACGCCGGCGCGTGGCTCGCAGATGGACGACGCCGAGTCCTTCGACGTGCTGCTGCGCTCCATGTCGACCAAGAACGGCCTCAAGCGTCCCACGTTGCTCCACGTCATGGATTGTTATTCATGGCATATGCCATATTTAGCTTGACACTATCCGGACAAGGTGGCATTTTGGATCACGTTGGAAAACAGAACGATGAGCTGCATGTGCTCGGACACGAAGGGCGGGAAGCGCAACAGCGCGTTCGACATGACGCCGATGCAGGAGGCCATTGAGATCGTGCTGGCAAAGGCGCTGCCGCTGCAAACGACTGCGGTCCTGCTCCACGAGGTACTCGCGCCGTCGCCGTAGCGTACCACCCAGCAATGGTTCCTAGGCGCTTGGCTGCGTCGTGGCCGAGACCGTTCGCAGCAGCGTACGCTCCATACCGCGCAGGATTGTGCTGCAACGACCTGCTATGCTAGGAGCCGCTGCCGCCCTTCAGCGCCTCCGTCATGGATGGCTACGCCGTCGTGGCCAGCGATGGCCTTGGCCAAGTACTACTACACTATTACCCGAATCGCATGCTTCTCGTTCTGACACGAATTGGGGTAGTACCCAGTCCTCGATCGCATCGCCGCCGGTGACGCGCCAGGCAGCCAAGTGACGCCGGGGTGCGTGGCGTACGTGACGACGGGGTGTCCCTTGCCCGACGGTGCCGATGCGGTCGTCAAGATTGAAGACACGGAGGGCGTCTGTGACGCAGTACGAATGACACATGATCGCAATCAGCATGGCATAAAATGGCGCTAGAACGGCAACGAAGTCGCAATCAAGGTCCTCCACGCGGTCTCGAGTGGCACGAATATCCGCCCCATCGGCTTTGACATGCAAAGCGGCGAGATCGTCGTCGAAGCTGGCGAGGTTGTGACGCCCGCGATCATTGGTCTCTTGGCCACCGTACGTTGCTCCTTCTATGACAAGAAGCTTTGCTGCACTAACAAGGCTTCTAGGTCGGCGCCACGCACGTTCTCGTCCACCGCAAGCCCATCGTTGGCGTGCTCTCGACGGGGTCGGAGCTCGTCGACGCCAGCGCGTCGATCACTGGCGGCAAGATCCGCGACAGCAACCGCCCCATGCTGCTGGCGAGCATGCGCGCGGCCGATACCGTCGTTGTCGATCTCGGTCTCGGATTTTCTGCATTTTTGATCAATTTTGCCTCATCCATTTGGCTCAACAGGCATTTGCAGCGACGACATGGACACCCTCCGAACGCGTATCACGACTGTCTTGCCCGATATTGACATTCTCATCACGAGCGGCGGCGTCAGCATGGTACACGGCGTGTCGTCACGAATCGAACTCACTGGAACTCGCAGGGCGACCATGATCTCGTCAAGCCGCTGCTGCAGGAGCTCGGGACTGTCCACTTTGGTCGCATCCACATGAAGCCAGGAAAGCCGACGACGTTTGCGACGGTTCGCGATCGACAAACAAACTTGACGCATTGACAGATTGAAACATAGATTCCGTCAACGTCGGGCCCGGCCAAGCTCGTGTTTGCGCTGCCGGGGAACCCCGTGTCGTGCCTCGTGACGTCGTGCTTGCTCGTCGCGCCCGTGCTCCGCAAGCTGCGGGGCGCCACGGCCTGCGCCCCGCTCACGTTCAAAGCCAAGATGGCCCATGCCCTCCCGCTGGACCAGGAGCGCCCCGAATACCATCGCGCCAACGTTGCATGGAATGCCCAAGCGCAGCAGTTTGTTGCGACGAGCACCGGTGTTCAGGCCAGCAGTCGCCTCCTGAGGTACAGTATATCTCGCGTGCCGATAGAATGAACTCGAAAGTATCCCTAGTTGCCGCTTTGCGAATGCACTCTTGCACCTTCCAACGGGGCTCCGCTTGGACGAGGGCGCATGGGTCGACTGCACTTTCTCTCCGAAGCGGTGTGCTGGTTGATATCTACATGGTCTCGATTCAAATGGGCACTCTGGTAGGACATGGCTGCGCAGCAACCGGCCTTGCTGCCCGTCGCCCGGCCTGTCGCACCGGTGCCCCGGGCCACGGCTGCGCCGCGACTCTCCGTTCGCGCCTGTATCTTGACGGTAAGACGATGTTGGTTTTGTTGGAAGCTCATGTTTAGCAGGTCAGCGACCGAGTGTCGCGTGGCGAGGCCGACGATCGCAGTGGTCCGATGATGGCCAAGCTCCTCTCTGGTACACTTTCTTTTCTAGTGTGGTCTGTAAACTGGTGTATCGTCTAGAACTCCCAGGACTGGACGTGACGCTTCTGGAAGCGGCGACGGTGCCCGACGAAGTCGATGTGATTCGCAGCACCGTCCAGCGCTGGTGCGACGACTTGCGCGTCAACCTCGTCTTTACGTCCGGCGGCACGGGCTTTAGCCCGCGGGATCGAACCCCCGAGGCCATCCAGGTACTCTAACGCCATAGCACCTCGGCAGCTCTAGCGTTGTGTACCTGTAGCCACTCTTGGAGCGGGAGGCGCCGGGCCTTGTGTTCAAGATCATGCAAGCATCGCTCCTCGTGACGCCGATGGCGATCCTCTCGCGCCCCATTGCGGGGCTCCGCGGGCAAACTCTGATTGTGACGCTCCCGGGCAAGCCGAACGCGGTGGCCGAGAACATTGAGGCGATTGCGACTGTCTTGCCCCACGCGTTGCACCTCCTCGCCGACCTGTCGCACGACCACCACAAGGGCAAGGCGTAATACGTCGCGCCGTCGTTTCCACCAATTTTGAGATGCCGAAATGCAGTTTACTCCATCAAAATTTGCATTTTTTCTACTTTTGTAGTCGTTGCTTGTACACATTCCACTCGTAAAAGTCCCAGTCCTTGTCGTCCGAGCGCATGACTGACGACGATCCGTACAGATCAATCTATCACGTCAGTTCAAAATGAATCTAAAATCAAAATCAAACTCAACATAAACATGGAGTACCTCGTACAGCGCAAGCTGGTAGCGGAACCCTTTGTTTGGACACATGAGCGGCCGCCGCTGCTTGAGCAACGCGTACGCTTGCTGTAAATTCAAGTTGGTTTCCTTCATGAGGTACGCAATCACAAACGTGACCGAGCGCGAAACCCCTAACCGCATGTGTCGTCGTCTGCCTCGTCCCAAGACGAGACGGACCTGCGACACAATGGACGAGGACGCGGCCACGGACGTCCCGCGCCCGGTTCATAAAGGCAAAGACGGCGTCAAAGTGCGAGCGAATATCGAGTTCGGGCGAGTCCTTGATCTTCAAATGCATGTAGATAAACTTGCCCATGAAATGGAGATCGCATTGGCTCGCCACGTTGCAAATGTGTGTGATGCCAGCATCGTACAGCGTCACATAGTTGGCGGCCGCGTCGTCGCTGCCGACGGCCAAGTGCGCGTTGAGCAGCACAAGGTCTCGCGGCGCGCGTGAGACGCCGACCATGCCACCGAGCCAGCGCATGGCCTTGCGCAGTGACGAGTCGGACGCGCTGTACTTGAGGATGCGTCTCTAGCACGCGGTTGATGCGCATCACGAGAATAATGAATGGTATAGTGCGCAGTACTTGAGCGGCTTGGACGATCGCGGCTTCGTCGATCAAGGACGCTTGTATCGTCTCGGCGCCTGTGAACGAGCTCCGCGTGCGCTTGTTTTTGACTTCGACCAAAATGTGCTTGGGCGTCTTATCGAGTGTCTAGACAAAGGTGCAGCAACACACCAAACGGCCAGAGAGAATGACCTCGCGGACGGTAAAGAGGTCCGACTTGAAGCCCGCAGACGCGTAGCTGGGTCGGCGCGCCGCCATGCCACCTGCGTTTCGCGACTGTCTATTTTTTGTCACCGTTTTCCCATCATGCAAATGACGGCCGAGACGAGCGACGACGATGCGCTCGAGGCATTTCTGCGCGACGACGGAGTCCCGTCGCCCAACCTCTCGACCGACCACGATGCGATTTCGGACCTCGCGTCCATCGCCGTCGTTATTCCGTCGTACGTCGATCACTTTGACGTGCTCGTACCGGCCGCCGAGGTCGTTGTCGGCAGCGTCTCGCCCGAGACGCTCGCGGCGCAGGAGGCCGAGCTCGAAGCCGCGCGGCTCGCGCAGGCGCAAGCGGATGCTAGCGCGTACATTGCCCGCGAGAGTCTCCTCGCGTACAAGGAAAAGCAGACCAAAAAGCGGCTGGAAGCGCAGGCACAAGCGCACAAAACCAACTTGGCCAAGCGCGAGCTGCAGAGCCTGCGCGTCGTGGAGCTTCAGTCCAAGAAGCTCACCCAAGTCTTCCAGCACGCCGAGAGCCACATGAAGAACGTCCTTGGACAGCAGCAAGTACGCGTCGAGTAGATACGCCATAGCTCAGCGCGACATCATGTAGGCACATGTCCGAGACACGTACGGCGACGCGACGGCCCGCACTCCGATTCAAACGCGCCGGTACCGCGCCGAGTGGGCCAAGATCCCGCAGCCCGTCGAGCTCCACTTGCACATGCTTCGCGCGCCAAAGGACAAATTGCCCCAAGGCCACTATGTGCTTTTAGCAACGCTCTACGACCGCCTCGGGGGCAACCCGATCTCGTGGGGTGTGGCGGGCGAGCGCGGCATTGGTCGCGACTACCCTGGCATCACCCGGCCGATCTTTCACCGCGGCCACTTTTACAATACAGAACTGAGTCTCGACCAGAGCATTTTCTGCGTCTGCCCGTCCGAGCTCGATTTGCGCCCGGGTACGATCCTTTAATGTCTCGACTCGTCGAGCAACGGATCATTGGTATTCTCATGTGGGTAGCCAATGTCGTAATCCTCGAGCTCTACTTGCTCAGCGGCGCCAGCGCCATGCACGACACAGTCGTTGGTTGGGCCGCGCTGCCCGCGTGCACGACCGACTTTACCATCCTTGAAGGCCGCTTCAAGGTTCCGATGCTGCGCGGCGACATTGACCACACAATCACCAAGTACCACGTACGCCGACTCGCCCACATTTTGTCTTCAAGGCAATAGACAATATGAGGCTCATTTGTGTAAAATGGCGTAGGACATTGAGCGCATGTATACAATGGATCTCGGCGCTTGGCTCTGCAACGTGTACCTCACGGCCAAGCACTTGCCCCGGGAGCGGCTCGACGACGCTGGCGTCCTCCAGCGCGAGTACGACGTCGAGGTTGACTTCATGAACCAGCTTCTCAAGCTCGAAACTACCGACCGCGCGCTGCTCCACAAGGAGGAATACGCGGCAGCCATGGGCGGTGGCGTCGTCCAGACCAAGCCAAAGTCGCAGCACTTAGCCGACCATGTGTCCTGGGGCCACGCCGCGGCCGAGCTCCAGAGCGCACGGCACCGCAAGCCAAAGGCTGGGAGCAGCAACAAGGTCCTTCCTGGCGTCCCCGAGTCGGCACCCGCTCTAGTGGAAGCGCCCTCGAAGCTGAAGACGCCGAGGAAGAAGCGGTCGTGGCAGTCGTGGTTCCGCCGACGCAGCACCAAATCCAAGCCCCTCTTGGTGCGCTCGGTAGGCCCTTGCATCGATGTCACCTGCCTAACATAATCGTGTCAGATGGTCGACGAGACCATCGAGCTGCTAGAACCGAGGTCGCCACGGGCCACCGACGAGAGCGAAAGCAACGACGCCAACAACGACGACGAGGACACGCCGGCGGTGCCACCAAACGACATGCACGCGTGGGAAGGCTTTTCGTTCACGACCAACCGCCACTTGGATGAGACGGTCGCCAAGCACCAGCGCTTTGCTGTTTACCGCAAGCTGCGCTACCTCAAGCAAGAGCTGTTTGCGGATCTCGGCTTGGCCAAGGCGTCGACGCTGCAGTTTTGGCTCATGCTCTCCTTCCTTCTACTCGCTTTTTGGCTCCGCGTTTACGTCCACTACCTCGGGCAGTGGCTCTACCTCCGGTCAGCCAATGTGCCCGTCTTCACGTTCGAGCCCGCGCTCACCACGTGTGTGCTCAAGTACATTTGGAGCACCGTGCCGAGCGTCGTCGAGGTCGTCTGCATCTGCGCCGGCGTCGTCTTCAACATGCTCGCGTTTCTGCTGCTCATGCTCGTTGCGTACGTTTGTCAGCGCGTCCTTGGCGACTTTCCCGAGCTCGGCTCCCGCTTCATCGCGTGCTTTGGCCTCGGCACGGTTTTGGACCCGGCGCTCATCTTCCTCGTGGACCTCCTCTCGCACAACTATGCCTGCGCCAACCTCCCCGAGTGCGTTGACCCGTCCTCGGCCCTCTGCACGTACTACCGTCGATCTCTTGGTATATCGCTAGATACATATACATGGGAATATCTTCTAGGTGTGCCGAAGGCGACGCGTTCAAGCTCTATGCGCGCTACGTGCTCTCGGAAGGCACGGGTATCGTCGGCGCCGTCTTGACGCTGCTCCTCTACGGCATCCTCATGAGCCTCGCTGCCGTGCTCTTTTACACCTACCTCCTCCACTTGCACATGAACGGCCGCATGTTGGACGTCTACCGCCGCGTGCACGCGCGCCAAGGCACGTTCTTCGTACCCCACGACTTTGAGGTCTCGGCCGCCGAGGTGCGCAAGCTCTGCGACCGAGCATCTCGGTGGAAGTCCATGCACGGCGCCCAGCGCAAGACCGCCGTCTGCGAGTACGAGCTCCGCGACCCGCTGGACCCAACCTTTGTCGAGACCACCGTGCACATTGCAATCTTCACGCTGGAGCTCGACGGGTCGCGACAGCTGTACCGACACTTTATCCAAAACCCCGACGGCGAGATCCTCGAGGTTTTTGGCGCGCTCTCCGACAGCTTTGGCTCGCAGTACGCTTCGCTCGAGACGGCGCTTTTTCAGACGCAACCCGACGTGGCTACCCCGGGCTTGTTTGATACTATTGTATAACGCGATTCCAACCAAACGCCGCCGTCCCTTTGGCTATGCGACGGCGTCCAAGACAGCGGCTCCGAGCTCGTTGGGTCGCATCCGCGGCCGATTCCCATATCGCTCATCGTTAGAAATGTTTCAAAGAGATGCCCAGGACCACGTCGACTGCTATCTCGCGGCGACGCATCGCATGCCACCCTGGACGCAGTGGTAGAGTCGGCACGAGGTGTGGCTCCAGCTCGGAGGACTTGTTATCGTGAGATATGACATTTGAGTGTGGCGACTGTGGGTCGCATGCAGTGGCGGGGCATCGGGACGATCCGAGCTCAAGTCATCTCTACGAGGCCGAGACAAGGCAATGTGCAATCTCATGTCGAGACCGGTTGATGGTGGGCCGGTCAGCCCCTGGCAGCAGTCAGCCGACTTTTCGATCTCTCTCATGTACTAGGTGTTGAACGAGTACGGTCTCCTTCTCAGTCAATCGTAGCCGCGTGGAGAGCGCGCTCGTTGTGTTAGGTTAGGTATTCTCACTGCGTGTAGGTCACGGACCGCGTGACAGTCTGCGTCACCGAGTAGACGTGGTTTTGGCCTTCTTCTGGCGGAAGGAAGCGGGGTGGGACAAAGCCTTGGGGCCCAAAGCGCTGGTTCGCCGACGCAGTGGACGACGATGCAGCAGGTAGGACGGGTGGTGCCATGGACGTTGCGATCGACGTCGCCATCGGAAAGAGGTTGGCGTTCATACCGCTCGTCTTGTTGTGTGTTGTCATCGAGGTTGCCGCCGGTGGCAACACTTGCTGCACTGGGAACGGCGACGACCGCGGCGGAGATACGTGCGGTCGAAACGAGGAGCCCGGCGACGACTGTGCGAGCACCGGGCGGTAGGCGGGTGCGGAGGATGGCGTCGGCTGGGACACGGGTGCACTCTTTGGCCGGGCGTAAGTGGAAGCGGCTGCCGTTGTTGGCCGAGAATACGTAGTCGGTGGAGGTGGCGGAACGTAACTTGAAGCACGGGGTGCTGGCTGCGCAGCATGTGGCGGACCTGCGATCGTCGTTGGCGCATGGACCTTTGGCGCTAACAATGCCACAGTGTGATGCGATGGTACTGTAGGGGAGGCTGTGGGGTGCGGCATGCTGCCGTAGGCTTGGGCAAAGCGGGCCTCGGCCGCCGCCCGTTTCTTGGCCGCAAGCTCCTGCGCCTTGAGCCGCAAATTGCCTTTTCTTCTTGCTCGCGCCGGATCGACTCGGCCATCGACGCCATGTCGAGGCCTCTCGACGCTGCGTGGGGCGGGCCGGACCGCGCCGGCGTCGCTCGGGTCGGTTCGCCGCAGCCAGCACAGAACTTCATGTTGGTGACGTCATGGCCGCAAGCACAGGTGTTCTTGGTGTGATGAGGCGCGCCGCAGTGCATGCAGAAGCGGCAACCCGACGGAAGCGCGGCGCCACAACCTCCACAGACCTCGTCCATGCTGCTGAACCGACGTGCGAATGTGATGATGGCTTGGTCGTATCTATCCGGCGCCGATTGCAGCAATCCGGATACTGGTGCGCGGTATCAAAATGGCGCAGGTTTTTCCGGCCGGCTTGTCCGCGTTGTACACAAGCTCGCCGACGGCAACGCTGAGGCGGCGGCTTCTACCAACGAATCGTTTAAGAGCTATCGTCGCAGGTCCTAATACTGCGCCGGCAGCTATCCGCAACAGCTACTAATATGGCCAGAAACTTCGAAATCCACGTGATGGACCCATGTGGGCAGGCGTTGACAAACCAGTCGAGCCTCACGGACGCGAGCGTTCGCCAAATTGAGCTCTGTGTCAATGTGTCAACGATGCTAAATGCAACGACATGGAGGATGACCGATGCTGGCAATCGTCGTTTTGAAGGGTCGCCTACGCCGTGAAATGCTACAAAGGGGGCTTATCTTTTCGAGGCGCCATTGGTGAGCCCGTAGACGCCAGGATCGTTGCCAAGAGCATGGTAACGTGCTGTGTGGGCCCTTGATCGCAGCCATTGTCGACGCACATGTCCTCATTGCATGAGCCAGTTGAGTGTATGTACCACCGGTAAATGAGTACTATTTGAGGAGGATGTTTGCATGCTGTTCGAGAGCGAATACATCGCATGGAGCGTCATGAGGAGCTAAAGGCGGGAAGAAACTGTACATTGCAACGCTTTGGTCAGCGTGGTCATCAGTAGCATGGCGACGTCGCCGGCATGGCCGAAGTGTCTGTAGTCGAGACACAACGGCCTGTCTGCACCTCAGTTCTTAGTGGAGTCATATTTGACCTTGGATATATGTACACCGCTAAGGCGAGCTACTGGCACGTAGCATGCTGCGCAGAATGTGTAGTCTCCAAGCTTGGCTTGGTATCTCGCGCGCGTCAATGAATTTCTTAATTGAGGGCAGAACCACAGTTTCAGCACTTTTTGAGTTTAGTTTCAGATTTAAAACCTGCATGGGGAACACAATGCACAAAAATAGCAGAGCAGTTTGTATGTGTTGCCCACACGATGCCACAGAGGTGTGTTTTAATTTTCAGTCCGAGATCCGACTGGCATGGCGAAGACGGCCTTAGACGCGTACGCTGCTACCTTCTTCGCCAGCCTCGACCAACAGTCGCAGCCCTCGGAGCAGGCGGCCCCGACGACAGCAGAGCAGGTCGTGAGCGTGCTGGTACCGACGATGACGCTGGCTAGCGTGCGCAAGCTCATGCATGCCATCGAGTCTGAGCTGCAGGTTGCAGGACGCAACGCAACCCCTGTCACATCGAGCATGCTGCCGGCGCACGTTTGCGAGGATTGTGGCAATGCAGACGTCGAGAAGTTCCTTGTCACGGACCTCTCGGTCGTATGCATGGGCACGGACGGCGCCGGCTGCGGGAACGTCTTGGAGGCCTCGCGCCTGTATGAAGGCAATGCATACCGCCGCTTCGAGGACGAGGAGGACCGATCGCATCATGGCGCGCCGCCCAACCCGCTCTTCTCAGTGGGCTACAACATGCAGACGTCAATCGATAAGGTTGCTGGAGGAGTTGTTGGATGTGGACAGGTGTCACTTGTAGCTGTTTAGGATGGTGGACCCGCGGCCACCATGCTCCGGCGCGTGCACAGAGAAGTCGAGCTCTCGTGCAACGAGCTTGGCCTGGACTCGCGCCAGACGCGTGTGGGCTACAAAGACATGGTACTACCCACTCCAACTTGATGCAGGATGTACGGCCGTCTCCGTAGATGAAGCGCGAGGTGTTCAAGCTCATCGAGGACGTCGGCGCCAACTTGGACCTTCCTGACTGCGTGCTGCAGCTCGCCAAGGTGTACTTTGCCCGCGTCCGCGACCTTCGCGAGCAGATCCGCAACAAGCTCGGCACCGTGGCGGCTTGCGGCTTGCTCGCGCTCCCGACGACACGCATCCAGGAAGCGGTGCCCGTCTTTGCCTGCGGCGACTGCGCCTTGACCTTCAACGCCCAGCGAGGCCTGCGCTTCCACCACTGCCCCATGCGCTCGCCACCGCCTACTGCAGCTACTGTCGTGCACGAGACCGCCGTTGCGCCAGCTGCTGCGAGCCCGTGGGGCGCATTTGTGTTTCGCGGCGAGAAGCTCTTACACTGCTGCCCTCAGTGCCCACGCATCTACGTGACGCTTGGAGACCTCGCGGCTCACGCGGCTCGCCACGCCAACCAGAAGCGCAAGACGGACGCACGCGCGCTCGCTAGCAACACGCCGTGGAAGCGGTCCTGCTGCGTCTAGGTGGCACCTCTTCAAGCCACGACACAATGGCACATTAAGCACGGCCTTGTCCGTAATTTGTGACTGCAATGCATAGTGATGGACTTGCGTATAGTACCAGAGTAATGACTAAAAATGACTCAAATTATCGGAAAAGCAATGCAAACAACACGATCAAATGTCAAACTGGTCGCCAGCGACGGAGTTCTCGACGGTCGGACGAGGCGACATCGGCGACGCAGCGCTTGGCTCAACGCTTGTCTGGGAACTGCCGTCGGTCGGCGCTGGCGACTCGGGCGTTGGGTTGACGCGTGCTTTCTTGGGAGGGCGGCCGCGCTTAGGTGGCGTCTCGCTTGGTGGCTCCTTGGGGTGGATGCGAGGACGACCGCGCGGTTTCTTTGGCACGTTCTCGGGCTTCTTGGGGTGGATGCGAGGACGACCTCGGGGGCGTTTGCCACCGCTGGGTAGCAAGCTGCTTGGTTTCGGTGCAGCATACTCGTTCTCCGACGCGTCGTCATTGGACACTTCGTACTCGCTCCCAGAACGGTTCGACTCGTGCCCGTCGCTCATCTCGCGAGATGACTCGATGTCGGGGGCATCTTCGTGTCCATAGCGCTGCACAGCCTTCTTGGAGCGACGACTCTTGCGGTCCAGTAGCTTAGTCGGCTTGGTTGTGTTGGCAGCAGATGTGCTTGTGTCCTTGCGCGGGCGTCCAACCTTCCGACGGACGGTGGGAGTAGCTTCTTGGGCTTCGGTGCTTTTGTCGTCGACAATGTGGACCACGCGCATGCTGCGCCGGTGGCCCACGGGCGCAACAACCACCGCAGTCGTTTCCATGGCGTCTTTTCTCGGGCGACCACGCCCGCGCTTCGGCTTTGGCTCTTCGGACGTCTCGGGCGTTTCCGTAGCGTCCTTTCTCGGGCGACCGCGCCCGCGCTTCTTCGGCCGGTCTTGAACTTCGGACGACGCGTCATGAGGAGCGTCTGAGAGCTGCCGCTGGTTGTTCTCAACCTCTTCCGTCGCGGCAACGTTGGTCTGCACCGTCTCGGGCTCCTCGACACTGCCGTCGTCTCGAGCTGCAACGCCGACTGCATCAACCCGGCTGCACGGTGCAGTCGCAGCTCTTCCGTCGCCTTCGCGAGCAGCATCATGATGGACGTCGTCTTGAGAAGAGTGATCGAGAGGCGCGTCAGGCATCTGTCGTTGGTCGTCGTTGACCTCGTTCGTCGGGGCAGCGTTGGCCTCCACCATCTCGACCTCGGGCTCGTCCGCTTCGCCATCCTGCCCATGGTCGCCATGGCGCTGGGCGTGGGCGTCTTGGCTGCCGTCGTCCGGGTTGCAGCCGACGGCTCCTTCAGCAGGCGCCGGCGCCGCAGCGTCGAGCGCGAGGGCCGTCGACGCGTCCAGCTGGGTCATCGCGCACGTTGCAAATCTGCAAATGAATAGATCGCCAACTCTCTTCATACAAACCTCAAGGTGTTTCACACGTGCGTTTTATTAGTGTATGCACCCATAAATCTATCCTTAATATGCGTATTCGAGTTGCAGTCTAAACGCACGCTGCACGGTTCCCGCCCTTTTCGAAGTGGGGTGGCGCTAGCGACTGCGTTCGAGATGCCACCATACACGTACAACGCAAGATGCTATCGAAGAAAAGAGATCCAGTACAGACAGAGTGCTGCTACGTGACAAGCCGGATCAAGCGCTCCATCTCGCTGAGCTCGCCTGCCACGTAGGTCAAGAGGTGCAACGCAGACGCCGTGTCGATGCCGATGTCCTTGTTGGCATTTTGCTGAACAGCGTGAACCTGCGCGACGAGGCGACCGCTCTGCAGGCGATACTGCAGCCTATAGTCGCCACCGTGAGACGCCTGAGCCAACGTAGCACAATGGAGCATGTCACATACTCGACTGCTGCTGTGATGCGATCGAGGTCGGGCGAGAGGAAGACGAGCGTGTGGTCGAAGCCATCACGAACATGCACGAGACTCTGGATGAGGAAACGTGGTGCCATGACGCTCTTTGGCATGGTCCGCGCGACGCTGAGACCGTCGCGCAGCTCCCGTAGCACCTATTACTAGTACGTGGCACAGGTCGATGCTGCACACAACGAGCGCAAAGCGCGCGAACCTGGAAGCTCGCGGCGTTGGCGTGGAGCTGCAGGTACAAGTCTTCGCGGTTGCGCATGGCCCAGAAGCGGGCGCCGATGGCTTGGATGGTATCGTCGGTCGACGGCTCGTAGATGACTTTTCGCAGCGCGTGACGAGGCGGCCGTCATAGCACACGCCATGGAGGGCCCACCCGCCGCGTTGCAGTAGGATCGTCTCCGACGTCGGACTCGTAAAGGCCGACGGCACTTGCACAGCGACGAGGCGCATGGCAGCTTGGACTTGGCCAAGGACAAAGAAGTCGTCGTGCAAGATGCGCGTGACTTCCAGACGGCTCGCCGCCTAGCGCCGCCTCAGGAGTGACAGCAGATCCGAAAAGCGTAGTACCATGCTACGCGCGATGATGTGTGGCAGTGCAGAGCGCCGCTCGATGGCTTCGCGCAGCGCTCGGTTGTGCCGAAGAAGTTCGTTCTTGGTCTGTAAGAGCGCGTCATAGCGAAGCGCGTGGAGGTTGCCCGGGTGCTCTAGCCGGAGCTCGGCCACGCGGGCCTCGAGCGCAGCGACGCTGGCGCAGAGCGACGCGACATTGTCCTGCATATACAGCGCCCGTGGAAAGGTCATGACCAGCAACGCTGTACCTTTTCTTGCTGCGCCAGCGCTGCGTGCTCTCGCACTTGCGCAGGCGGCGGCGCTCGGCCAGCGCCAGCGTGGACGACTCGGGCATTTCGAAAAATGTCATTACATGCATTCTCGCTGGCTCTTCCGGCACCTGGTCCGTCTGGCCAGCGCTCCATGTGGCTGGCGAAGGGCAAGGTGCATGCCGCTATCATATTTGCGTCTTTGCCTGCGTGATTGCTTGGTCAAATCTGTTTACGGTGGCCTTGTAAATGGACAGCCCATCGCAATCTGGATGGCGATCTCGCGACCTTGCATTACGCGGGACCTTGCTCGCTGGCTCTGTGCTCTATCTGTATCAAAAAGATGCTCGTCACACGCTTCCTCACAACCGCGTCAACCAATCGCGCCGATGGCTGAGGCAACAATCAATGCGCAGTCGGGCGGTCGCGTCAATGGGTCGTCGAGGGGCACGTGACGGGTGTGCGGGAGTTCGCGCGGTGTTGCAACAAGTGCTTGAATCGATCTGGCGACACGACAGACCGTGGTGACCACACCAACGGCGTTCACTTCGGCTAGCTCCTTGCACCTTGGAGCTGACAGATAGTACGCCTGCGTGCCACACGGAAGGCATTCACGCATAGGCCAAGGGTTCCAACCAGTAGTGTCCAATGAACCTCCGTTGCATGGTGGACCTCGATCTTCCTCCACAGCAAGCACAGACTTTGCTACAGACTTGTACTGCGGCCGGAGGACGAGAAATTTGACGCGAGACGACAACGAGGAGGGGATTCAAATAACGTTAGATAATGCTGGCTACGGCGCCTCGAGCTTGACGTCGTCGTGCCACACGACAGAGCCAGAGGACCGCAGAAGATCTTCCCAGTGCAACATTTCCGAGATGACGTACGACATGGTATACTGGGGCGCGGGTCCGTGCGGACCTTGGGCTTTGCCCGTCGCGGAGACGACGACGTGGCCATCGACAACCTCGAGCCGCACTCTAAGACACGCACGATCAGCCAATCCGTTGTGCAGACCATGTACATACCGCATCGTGGTCGTGAGCGAGTTGAGGTCCGGTGTCAAATTGATAAAGCAATAGTCAAAGCCGTTCGAGAGCTGCACTTGGTACTGCACCATGATGCGCACGACGAGGTTGGGGCCGATCTGCAGCACGCTCCGAGAGACGCTGAGCGACTGCGACTGGCGCAAGATCTACGCAGTCGTCGATACAAAGAAGCAACAAAAGGCAGGCAGTACCTGGAAATCCTGCGCAATGTTTTGAAGGCGCATGTACGCCGCCTTGTCGTTCCGGACGCGCCAGTGGTAGTCGCCGACGTCGCGGAGGCTCGTCATGGCGTTCGCGCCGAGCACTTTGCGGACGTCGTAGTACGTATTTTGGTCGACTTGGCCCATGTTGGCGAGCCAGCCGCGCACGACCTGCGGCGGCGTCGGCGAGTGCCCGAACGCGCTGGGTATGTTGCTATCGACGTCGCGCTGCGTCGCCTGCAGCACCGTGTACAGGAAGAGGTCGTCGTAGATGCGCGAGTTGTCCACGTCCATCTCCATCTACGCCACGTTGAGCCACGAAAAGAGCACATTTCGGGTGCGTACGAGCGCCGTGATTGAGCGTGTGTAGAGGGCGCTGCGACGCTCGAGGGCTTGTTGGAGCAGCGCGTTTTGCTGGATGAGGCCGTGCTTGACCTTGACGATGGTCTCGTAGCGCTGCGCGAGGCTCGACGCATTGCTCGTCGTCGCCACCATGCGCATGTCGGCGACCTGCCGCTCGAGGAGGTCGGCGGTCTGGCGCAGCGACTGCACCGCGTCCTACGTCGTCGTGTGGTACCTCGTGCCATCGCACGCGCCGCACCTTGTGCTTGATGCGCCACGCGCGCGAGTTCTTGCGCTTGCGCGCGCGGCGATGCAGGATCGCGTCGTCGACGGCCTCGACGTTGCCAGCCGCCATCTTGTCAACTGCTTCCTTAGCCGGGGGCAAATTCGCGATTGGCTCCGTGACGAATGGCCGACATGTCCCACCACATGGCGTGCGCTGCCGGAAAGGCAACATCGGAGCGGAACGACGCCGCCCGCTCATACTACGCGCCTATACCATCTTGCCTGTACCAGTACTAGAATGTATTAGCAGAAGGTCCAATCACCAAATTCGGTGCATGACGACGTCGTCTCGCTGCGTGCGTCTGGTCGTCGCCTGTTTTTGTTGGTGCTTTCTCCTGCCAAGGCACCGACATTATGGGTGGTGCATCGTCATCTTGTTCCAGGCGGTTTCGCGCCAAGGGCAACGGCAACTTGGCGATCGCTCCTGTGGGCGAGATATGGAAGCTCACGCTGGCACGCTAAGACGACAGTTGCTTATCGTACGACCCGACCTTGGAAAAACGTCGCTGCCTCCGCTCGCAACACCAGTACATGTATGCGCGAAATCGCCAGTATCTGTCAAGTGGCCGGCCACATGTGTTTTCGATTTGGTCTTTCCATGGAGTGTTTGTGGCTAGAAAGGTCCGGGCTGTTTGCTCACCCAACCGGGTATTACGTCCGTCACGTCTCGCCGAAAAGGACACTTGGACGCTGCCGCCAAGACGCCGCGATCGTCCGAGCTCGCAATCGATCGGAGATGCGATCACGGCGCCTGCGACTTGTGCGGGTAATCCAGCTCGTGCGCGGGTATACCTCTGCACTACACACCACGGAGAGAGCTCCTGGAAAGCGCGTCTCGCCATGTGATGCCAACGCCGGGGTCACTGATTTGACCTTGGTGGCTCGCAGCTGGGTTGTCTCGATTATCTTGGCGTTCTATCGGCCACAGGTGCATGTATGGGACGCGGATCGACGCTGGACTTTCTCAACGCGAAAGAAGAAAGTCACACATACCAGATAGCGCGACACCGGAAGATGCTCTTCGTTCAGGTCCGCAAAGCAAGATTTGCTGCGCAAGGAAGAGAGGGTGTGGTATTGTAACGAGCTGCCAATTCCATTGGCCGACGAATTGGCGACATCGTATGGGGGACAATTCAACAATTGGAGATTGGAGCCATAGACACTGCTGTAGCCTCATCATCAATTCCCACGCCCACGAAACTTTTATGTCATCATCGTGAGCTTCACACGGCGCTACCGGTTCTATACATTTTGCATGGGGACGTGCTATTTCAAAGTGTACAGTGCAGCGGCACTGCGTCGATCAATCATGTACCAATGAGAGCGCTGAAGTGATATGTATCGGCCCTCTGTGAGTGTGTTGTCAGTCGCACCCTGTGAGGATGCGCTTGTTGGTCGGCGAATCGCCCAGAATCACTTGCAAACGGCAATGCTTCGTCGTCCGTATGATGCTTACATAGGTACAATGCTCGACATTCCAGCAGCTCTGCAGCACCATCTATTCTCACGCAGGTCGATCGATGAGGATATGCACTTGCTACCAAGAAAATATACCAAGGGCCCATGCATGACCTCTCTATGTGGACCGTGCATGTACGTAGTTTGTTACACTACTAGTACGGTCATTACTAGTATTTCTTAGCCTTTCTTATCTTGTGCGCAATGAAGATCTCGTGCTCGGGCCTAGTGCAGGGTTATGAGAACGGACTGCGGGACTTGCACGGCACTACTAGTAGTAGCACTCGCAAAAATCTCGAAGTCTAAGTTTGCTTGCAAATATCGAGTGACCGTCACGCTCGGTTGATGTGCAGTCGGGCCCAATCTCGGTGGACGGGGCCATCGAGCGACTACCAGATCATGCGTCGCCAGCGAAAGCAACGAAATTTGGCGTGGTCACAGAGCCACCATATACTCCGTCATGTGGTCGACTCGTGGCGATATGTGGCCGAGCCACTTGGTGAGCTGCTCGATCATCCTCAGCACAAGAGAGGTCGCGTCGAGGTGACGTGGCGCGCTGCTTCGCGAGAGGGCTTGGGCGACGACGGCGCCATGCACAATCGCGTACTTCATCCTACGTGAGACATCAACGATGTGTACGGGCAACGAAATAGGCATACAAGGTGCACGTCGTAATCTCGCTCAGGTCGGGTGCGAAGCTCAAGCAGCACGAGTGGAAGCCATCGCGGAATCGCATCTTGTAGAGGATCATGTAGCGCGTGACGAGCACACTCCCGGGAAAGAGGATCGTCGAGCAAGCGACAAGCAAGTCGTCGTGTGCGCGGTGGATGACCTACGCAGAGTACGTGTCAGCGCACATTCTGTAGGACATCCATCGAGTACCTTGTAGTCGAGCGCATTGACATTCATGCGGGAGTAGAGCTCCTTGTCGTTGAAGACTTGCCAGTGAGCGTCGCACGCAGACTGCGTATCGGTCGACGCGGTGGGTCCGACGTCGTACGTGGCATCGGCATATACGAGACCGTCGTAGTGGGCGTGCTTGGTGGACCACCCGCGAAGCATCTCGGGTCGCGCAAGGGCAAGCGCCGCGGGCACCGTCTCGGAGAGGCACTGGAGTGTGGCTTCAACTTGGTGAAGAAGAAACACATTGTCGTAGAGCCGAGGGTCGGCCAACCGAAATGGGGGCTACGCGAACAAAAATTGTCTGTTAACTACAATCGCCGAGGAGACTAGTAGTCCCAGTACGCACGAGTTGGGTGGGGAGGGCAAAAAGCGCTTGCCGCCGCGCTAACGCCTCGCGCAGCATTGCATTTTGTCGAGTGAGCGCCGTCTCTTGTTGACGCAGCGCTTCGAGCTCGCTGGTGCGCGGCACGAGGTCCGTGCTTCGAACCTCGGCATCTTTCCGGAGCTGACGCTCGAGCACTTCCACTTGGTGCCGCAGCGACTCCATGAGTTGCTACCAATAAGACGATTACATCCCGATTCAAGACGAAGAGTAAGGTGGTCGTACGTGCTCCTTGAGTCGCCACGCCTGGGTGTTTTTGCGCTTCCGAGCGCGCCGACGTTCCAGGGCCTCGTTCGTCAAGATCGTCATTTGAAAAGTGACGACCATGTTGCGCGCGCCCTACCACCACCACGTGGCAGCGCCAGCTGGGAGCTACACCCACACCGTTCCAGCAAGATCGCAGCGTCGTTTCACACGAGGCACTTGACGGCTCTTAAATTTTCAGATGCAATTAGCCACGTAGCGCGCCAGGAAGCAACAACGACAAAGGCGACGGTGCGACCGACGCAGCATCTATGGTCAGCATCGACTCTGCGACCGACTCGTTCACGTTAGCGATCGACTCGTGTCGGTTAGCGATCGACTCGTGTCGGTTAGCGAAGTCGTTAGCGATCGACTCGTGCCAGTCCAATCGTGCAAGTCTGCGCAGTCGGTTATCAATCAATGATGATTCCAGGGTCGCTCTGTATGGCAGAGACTTGCAACCAGCGGGCGGTGATAGTCTCATATCGTATTAATACATCCGCTGCCATCAGTTCTATATTACTGTACCCTTGTACGCGTTTGACTTTTGCGACTGTGAGGCTCTCGGCTTGATCACCGCCATACCCTGTATCAAGAACATCACAGATGCAGGACAAAGAATAGAACGAAAGGCTTCTGTCTCGCCTGGTGCGATAGTGTACACCAACTCGCCTCTCCACTTGGACGCATCACGCTGACCGGCTACGAAGAGTATGTGGCTTGTCATCATTGTCTGTACAGTCAATTTGTGCCGTTCCTAAAGCATAGCCCATTATCACGAAATACTTACTGAAGTCAGACATGAATCCACCAGCATTGAGCGGCAATTCCGCCTGCGTAGCTGGTCGGAAGCAAGGGTTGGTGGGAAATTTCGGCCCGTTGCATGTGCCCTCGCGTCGTCGTTCCTGGCCGCCCATTGAACGACGGCATTCATTACTGCAGTCGTCTTGCGATGTGCTCCGTCTAGAATCAGACAAATATTGGCCCAGTTCTCGCAACACGGTGATGCAGAGCGTACCGAGTTTGCTGTCAGTCGAAGGCTACACATGTCATCCACGTTCAAGTTCCAACCTTGTGGACATGAAGCTTGCCAAGCGTGTGCAAGGGTATGTTGATGCTTGATGGCACCTGGGAGCTGCAAAGTGACGGTTCGCGCGATGAAACATCCCCATCAAAATTTGCGCGGGAACTGGCACGATGGAATTGCTGCGTGCATTTAGACAGGCCTTCCCATCAAAGCTGCGCGACGAGGCGAACAAGTCCAGGTCGCGGCATCGCCGCCAACGTCCATGCGCCTGTCTGTGCTGATGCTCGTGTTGCTAGCCGTCAGCATTACCGCCGAGGCCGAGCCACGGTTCAAGATCATTAATCGGTACATGCATTTGGATCACCGATCTCTGGCGCTTCTTTGCAACTACATCTCGGAACGACCTCGGAACTGCGGTCTCTAGTCGCAGCACGGTTGTCGATAGCGATGTTCTACCCGTATGCATTGGCTGGTGCATTAAAAAGTCGGTGTCCTCATTCGAGTGACCTTGACCAAGTTGAACCATTGCAGATTTCAGTACACGAAAGAAGGAACGGCGATGCTCGACAATCCCAGCCAGGACCTTAGCGTCGTAGGTGTGCGCCTCGACGGCAAGATCCAGTGCCCAACGGACGTCGATGGATGACCATGGTGTTGCAAGCTTCTTGGGCAAAATTTCGCCAGCGCGACATGGAATGGTTGGGTGGTTTTAGACCAGGTGGAACCGACCAATCAAACGTCGCGATTCCAGGCGACCTTTAATGGGCAGCATCGAGGTGGCGATCGCGGCCGCCGGGCCAGCGTCCCTGGCCTTCGAGTCAAGCGCGGTGGACACGCGTAGCATTCTCTATGTCCAGGACGACGTCTTTGCCGCGCTCACGCATCAGATCACAAAGCCCACGCTGGCGGTCCTGCGCTCCGCTACGAACGAGCCGCTAGCGGTGGCCCAGATCCGTCACGCGCGCGAGCTCCCGACACATGACCTTGGCGCCGCGCTGGCCGCCATCAGTGGCGACGATCATGCATCTATCGCGATACCTTCATTTGGTCTCTCGACAGCGCTCGGCGAAGTGACGACGACGCTACGCCTCGAGCAGCTCGACAACAATGTTGTGCCACCCACCCTCCGCTTGCATTTGACGATGAACATGGAGCCGAGCGCGTACACGCGCAAAATCCTACTAGCCTTGGAACAATTGGCACCAAAGGTAACCTGCTGCATACTCGGCGCGCAAGGCCAACATGGCTGCTCGTAGCTGCTGATGGGAACGCTCATCTGGCCCGGTCGACGGATACCGTTGCGATGGCGCAACGACCTCGACATCGCTGTCGTCGCCTCCATGGACGCCGAAGACGACAGTAGCTTTGCAAGCTGTGTCACACTAGCCACGGCTGTGACCATCTCGAACGGCTCTTCGCCGTCATCTTCGTCACGCGGTCGGCCGATTCCAGCGTCGGCGGCGGTAGATGTTGCACGAGAGCTCGCCTGCCACGCGTCCATCGTACACGACACGATCAGGTTCCTCACACAGCGCTTCCAGGACGGAAGCATGGGCTCGCGCGGCGTCGGCGCGCTGCTCTTCGGTGTCCCCGGCGTCGGCAAGTCGCACTTTCTGCGCCTCCTCGCGGGTTCGATTCCCAACGTGCGCTTCCATTTTGTCACGTCGCCCGATATGTTTCAGACCAACGCCGGCGCGTCGGAACAGAAGATTCTCGACATCTTCCACGAGGCGTCGCGGGCGTCGTGGGCCGTCGTCGTCCTCGAAGACGTGGATGCAATCGCAGCCAATTCCGAGACGGCGCTCGACAAGTCGGTGCTCGCAACGCTCCTCGCCGTGCTTCGGACACTTCCACGCCACGTCGCCGTCCTCGGTAGGGCTCGATTTGGCATCCTTTGCTCAAGTGTTCAACTGCACTAGCAACGACGAACCGCAAGGATGTGCTGGACCCTGCGCTCACGACGAACGGGCGGCTGGATCTATGCCTCGCCATGGCGCCACCAACGCTGCTTGAGCGCCACGCCATCTTGACTGTGGTAGACAGTGACGTCGCTGTCGCTATCAGAACTGATATCTCATTGGCGTAGATCTGTCGGCATCTTGACGTGCAAAGCGATATGCTCGAGCTCATGGCACAGCGGACGTCGGGCTTTGTTGGTGCAGACCTGCTGAGCCTCGTCCGCGAAGCCGCCATGGCGTCCGTGGATAGCGGCGCCCCGGGGCGCCTTGCGGTGCACCACATCGAGGCCGGGCTTCGCGTCGTGCGCCCGTCGGTGCTCCAGGGCCAAAAGACCGCCACCTCGCTGCTCGTGCCCATGTTTGGTGTGGCAGATGCGCTTCAGACACTCGACGTCGCGGTGGTCGGGCCGCTGCGCGACTCGTCGGCGTACCGGCGCATGGGCATCCCGCCGCCCCGGGGCGTCCTCCTCACGGGCCCGTCGGGGAGTGGCAAGAGCCACGCGCTCGCGTACGTTGCGGCGACAGTCGGTGCTCATGCGACCGTCGTGCCGGTCATGTGCACCGACTTGGTCACCAAGGTCGTCGGTGGCACGGAACAGGCGCTTTCGGCGCTCTTCGCCACCGCGCGCCTCGCGGCGCCCTGCGTTCTCCTTTTCGATCAGATCGAGAGTTTGGCGCCCGTCCGCGGCTTTGACACGAGCTCGGAGCAGACATTCGACCGCGTTCTCTCGATGTTGCTTCTGGAAATGGACGGCGTCGGCTCGTCGTCGTCGGCGGCAGGTAGACAGCAATGTACTACGTTCGTATCCCACCCTTCTTCGATGCGTTGTAGCCATGCGCAAGATGACGCACGAAGCGTTCCTGCGTCAGCACGTGGTGCTTGTGGCGACGACGACACACGCAAGCCAGCTCGACCCTGCCATCTTGCGCCCCGGGTACGTGCTAGCGTTACGATGCAGCGTTGGATGCAGATGGATGATGTCTATGTCGGATAGGCGCTTTGACCTCGAGATTGGACTCACGTTTCCGGACGCCGACGCCCGGGCAGAGGTCATCACCCACTTGTTGGCGCAGACTCCTGTCGCGATCCAAGACCGCTTTGCAACAGCCGAGGCCTTCACGCAGTGGCTCGTCGCTGCGTCCGACGGCGCGTCCGTGGGCCAACTCAACGCGGTGTTCCAAGAGGCCGCGCTGGCCTGTCTGCGCAGCGACATCCATGCGACCAAGGTCGCCTTGTCGTACTTGGAAGAGGCGCTGCAGCAAGAGGTTTGATCTTTGTGTTGGCTTGGCGTCCATCTCATCAGGTGCATGGCTGCGCTAGGTTGGCAAGGCGCGCGCTGTCGAGACACTGGAGATCGATGCGAGTGGAGCCAGCGACGAGGACGAGTAAGATCATGGGTCAACAACGAGGATCGGATTTACGCTTCTATTACTACTACTAACGTTACGTGGGATGGCTCAGCTTCGCCTTTTAATTGCTCTCTTCTGGTCGATGGCGAGACCGCAGACTGCGCATGGTAGCAGCATGCACGGAGTCATGGCATCCACATCCTTCTAGAACACTCGGGTGCCTGTACAGAGGTTCCTCGCCTGGGTGGAGATTGTCTGCTGTACGACGACGTTGACGCAGCGTGTGCGTTCTTGGGTCTGCCTCGCAGCAGGAGGAGGGCTTGCTCCAGCCACGCGCAGACGTCGTCGCTGCCGTATGCTACATGCACATCGTTGGCTGCCGGACCTCGAGCTGTGCTTGGATCATCATCGCCATCCCCTATCTACTCTTCCTCGTGTATTTCGCTCAAATGCCACTTGCGTCCGACCACCACAGGCTCCAGCATCCGGACATCCGGATACCATGACACTAAAATCACGCAACTTGAAGCCGCAACTGGAAGGTACGAGCACGTCACCACAGCACAAGGAGCTCGTCTACGCCGCAACACATTTTACACGATATTATAGACGTCCCTCTCTTGGCACAGAGAGGAGAGAAAGGACAGGAGCTCACGTGCGGTCGGGCGCTCGTCGGGCTCGTGCGCGAGGCAGCGCGACGCGATGGCAAGGATCGCAGGCGGACACGATCGCGAGAACGCTGGCCGGAGCTCGTTGGCCGCAACAAGCATCGCAATGCGGGCTTTGGTGAGGGTAACGTTGACGCCACCGACGGGCAGCGTCACGATCTGGTTGAAGTACGGCACTTGGCGCGTGTCGAGCTCCGAGAGGAGGACGCCGAACGAGTAAATGTCGGCTTTTTCACTGTAGCGCGTGCCCTTGAGCACCTCGGGTGCGATCCACGGCACGGTGCCAACCTCGGCCGTGAGCACATGGTCGTCCGGTCCAAACTCGCGGCTCGTGCCGAAATCGCCGAGCTTGGCGACATACGCATCGTTGAGCAACACGTTCTTGGACTTGAGGTCGCGGTGGATCACGGCGGGCGTCACCTCGCTGTGCAAGTAGGCCAAGCCTCGGGCGACGTCGCAGCAAACCGCCTCCTTGCTCCGAATCCCCGCAGCAGCAGGTGCGTCGTCGGCCGTCGCCCACACAAAACGCTTTTCGGTGCTCAGGACGCTCCAGAGGTCGCCGCGCGCCATGTACTCGAGCACGGCGCTGGGACTTTGCGCGGACGTAAACGTGATACCGATGAACCCGACAATGTTGTCGTGGCGCAGAGAGGCGCCCAGTCGGATCTCCTCGACAAAGGCTTGGACGGCGCGGAGCTCGTGCACGCGCTCGGGCCGGAGACTCTTGAGCGCGACCGTGTGGTCCACAAACTCGGGGCCGCGGTTGAGCGTCGCAACGTGCACGACGCCAAAGCCGCCCTTGGCCACGAGCGCGCCGCGCGTGAGGCAGCTCGCTGGAATGCGGCAGCGCCGCAGAGCAGGATCGATGCGCAGGTCTTTTACTAGGAAGGCCGTGTCCGAGAGCTTTCCGTACGTCGCTTCGTGCTCGGCGAGCGCATTGTGGCGCCGGTGCCTGGCGCGGTAGACGAGAATGACAAGTATCAAGACCACGCACGCCGAGGTGAGTCCGAGGATCGCGTAGATCCACGCAGCCGCCGCCGCCGCCGACGCGTCTTGCCGGTCGGGTGTCGGCGGTTCCGGGAGCATGCAAATGGGAATTTGGTTCCAGAGAAGGCGCATCTCGGTGGACGCATTGCAGCTCAGGTTTTGATGCGGCAGCGTCAGGTTGTCCAGGCGCGCGAGCCGATCGAATTGCGACGGCGTCGCAAAGAGCGACTGAAGCGGGTTGTCACCAAGTGCGCTATGGACACATGCGCGTGAACGATCGGTGAGCAAGTGGTTTTTGTACAGTGTTTTGAGCCGTGGGGGCAAGGCGACGTGCAGCATTGAGAGGTTGTTGGCCTCGAGGTTTCTACGCAAATGCCGTAAATTTCTCTCTCGTGATACGTCCAACGAGCGTACAAGTGCAAGAGAGTATCGGGGAACCGAGTTCCGACGCCATTCCGAAGCCGGTTGTGCGCCAAGGACCTAGTCAGTCCTGTCAGCTATATTAACAACCAGCGCGTTCGTACAAGTGCTCGAGTGCCACGGGCCATTTGACATTGGTCAGAGAGTCAATCGCATTGTCTTCGAGATCCCTAGAACGCAGAGATAAAGGATGAGGTACATTTGTACAAGGCGTTGGGTCTTACAAGACTTGGAGGCCAGGCGGAAACTCTGCATCAAGGAGCGACGTGATGTGGTTGCTTTTGAGATAGAGCTGGTTGAGCGCCGTGCTGTCCGAGACGCTCGGCAACGGGTTCACGCGGCCAAGACACCCCAAGGCGTTGTAGCTCACGTCCCTAGAAATGGCTGAGCAAACACAACTACAACGCCGACCATACAGAATGGCGACTTTGGACGGAAAGTGAACGTTGGCGATGCTCTTGAGTGCATTGTGGCTCAGATTCCTGCGCAGTGTACGTAGCTCGATCGGAATTCAGGGATCATCAGCGTACAGTCGGGTGGCCATGACCCACATGTTGTTGTCGTCGGCTGCGAGCTCTGGGCGCAGCTGCGAGATGCCGGCGTAGGCGAGGTTGCTATTATAGTCGCACGTATGTGAGAGAACGCGACAACAGACACCAGCGCACATGGAGCTCGGGTAGCGCGGAAGGCTCTGCACGACGTTGACAAGCGTCCCAGTTGGCAGCGAAAACTCAGCAGTGGAGTCGACCGAGATGTCGACGAGGTGGGTCCCATTCGGATGCACGACACTTGCAAAGTAGCTCGCGTTGATCGTGGCGCCGATGAGCGTCGTCGGAGCTGGAAAGGCGACGACGGCTACGTCGGTCATCGCAAAAGGCAATGTGAGTGCCTCCGACCACCCAAGCGCCAACAAGTACTGGTAGTAGCTCCCAGTGGTCGGTGCAAAGGCGGTGTGTATAATCAGCGTCCCACAATCGCGTCGCGTTCGGCGAGGGACATACAGCGACGACGCTCACACGGCGCCAATTCGAACGCGTACCGTACCCGGGTTCCGCCACTGGCACTTGCACACCGTACTTGGCACGGCAGAAAACCACCGTGAAAATAAGAGGGAAATCACGTGTAAAAAGTGATAAATAGCACAGGGTGCGCCACGTCATGATGACCGACAGGATGAGACGGGCGACACCCGTCTTCGTGCTACGCTTTTCGCTGCTGCAAAACCATGAAGCAATGCGGATGCATCTCCACGCGCGCATGTTCCTCCAAGTAGCTCTGGTTCAGGACGCTCGTCTGCGAGCACCTAGTACGTCCCACAACGTACGGTTGCGATGCGAATGCAAATGGCATAAATCATCACGCATCTCTAAGAACACGAAAAAATCAAGGCCGTAGCAGCTGCCAAATCAGTCCATAGTCTGTCGTGCCAACACAATGCTCATGTTGTATTAGTTGTGGACTAGTTTGTGTTTCGTCGTGGACGTCGGGCAACCTTGCATGGCGTACGCATGGCATCTGTATGCGCGATGACCACGCGAAGCACCGCCCTTGGAATGACTGTGCGCATTCAAATAATTAAGCACATGGGGTTGTACACAATTGAGCGCACTCGATTGCAAGACACCAATTCTGCAATTCGTCGCTCCAGTGCGTGTCAGAAAGGGCTACCAAGTCGTAGGACTGGCAGGACCTGGCGTCTTAGGCCCATGCGGCGTGCAGCCAACGGTGGCCATGACGTTTGAAACGTGCGGCCGGAAGGGAAAGAGCCAGCGCGGTTGTTCATGCGCAGTGTGCCAACCCACGCGACGATCCGCAAGCTACAAGGAGAACCGAATGTCTTGCGCCGAGTGGGTGAACTATTAGTGTGTGGTGCGAATTGCTTGGGTGGATCGCAACGCTGAAGACCCCGTGATGACCATATGTGTGTCCATCGCGCGCTTCGATTGGTCGATGGGTTTTGGCGCCTCGGGTTGCGCGACGTTCGATTTCGTCTGGCTCATTACGGCCCCACATTGCGTCGACGTTGCGTCGCCTCACTTTACATTTCTGTGCAATGTGGAAGCGAATCCTGTTGCTTTGGTGCCCGCTCGGCGCGCTCGCGGCCGTGAACGAGTCCATCTCGTGGGGCACGCTGTTGCCGTCGCGGCCCCCGCGCCACGTGACGCAGGTGACGCTCACGACCGACTGTCGCGGCGTCAACTTTACCTCGACCAGTGACGACGACACCATCACGTTCGACGGCGTCGCCGCAACCAATTGGACCATCGAGTTTCCGTCGTGCGTCTGGTTTCCAGATGGCCGCGTCGCGCGCGGCGCCGACGTCTCGGCCGTCGACGCACGTGGGTCGCTCAAGTTTGGCTACTTGTACGCGATCCGAAACAACCTCACGGTCGATTATGTGGAGCACTTGCCGTCGCATGCGTCGACCATGTGGGTCGCGTAGCCAAGCTGCGCGGCGTTCTAATTTTCTGTGCTCTTAGCATTTTGGACAACTTGGGGATCAACGCGCTTCACGACGACCTCTCGACCGACGATCGCGGCCGTCCCGTCATTGCCAACCGCGTGTACGTCGATCGACTTCTACCAGCATTTCGCATTGATCATTGTCCAGTCAAATGGTCAATAACGCCATCACGACGATCAGCGGCGTCCGCTTTCCCGACACGATCGACGTCTTGTAGGCCCCAGATTCTGCATCGTTGCCATGCTCAGGTGACCTTATTAGGGAGCTGTCCAACAACAAGATTGCTCACCTGGGCGATTTGAGCCGTAGTCGGCACATCACGTTTCTGTACGTGGTCGGGTCATTCGTGGATGTGGTTGACGCCGTTTTTGGCTAGACTGGTCGGGTTCAACCGTCTCCAATCCCTCGTCGATGCTATATTTCCGTCGTCGCTCCTACACTTGTTGGTCGCCTCGCGCCGCGTCATGAGAGCTCACCGCATGTTGCGTAGTTTTCCAATGTACAACAACATTACGAGCCTCCTCAACGTTCGCTTCCCGTCGGCGCTGCAGACGTTGTATGCCGTCACCGCTCCCACTTTACACTAAGATCTTAGCGTCGACTTCATAAACTAGGGATCTCCAAGGGAATCAGCTCACGTCTCTGGCCAATGTGTCGTGGCCGACCAACCTCCTCGACTTGTCCGTGCATGGATTCGTGTGGACCGCGGCACTCATCTCAACGACCGATAGGGGCCTCTCGTTCAATGCCATCACATCGTTGGACAATGTTGTCTTCCCGTCGACGCTCGATCAATTGTACTACCTCCCAGGTCGACGCACCAACGCATAATCTTCGCCTACGTAGGCAGGTTGCACACAACCGCATCACCGAAGTTCGCGCCAACTTTCCGTCGTCCCTCACGTCATTGTACGTACGACGCGAGCTTTGCGGCTTCACGCACCGCGACTATAATAGGTGTCTGGCGGGCAACAACATTACGGCTTTTTACGCCAACCGTTCGCAGTTTGAGCTCCTCGCACGGCTCCGCAACCCCAACAAGTCGTCCCTCACGTACGATCGGCATCGCGGTGCGTCGGGCAAGTGGAACTTCCAAGGACCGTGCGACATTGTCCTGAGCACGACCGCAACCAACACGACGTGTGTTGACCACACGCACACGCGCCTGCTCTTTGACGTCTTCCCCATCTGCATGCTGCCAGACGACGAGGCGTCCACGGGCAGCTCGAGCGCACCGTCCGAGGGCTACCTCCACGTCGTTGGCGTCGCGGCCGGCGGCATGCTCCTCCTTCTCACGCTTCTTATGACGACCACATTTTACCGCCACCGGGCAACCAAGTGGCAATCGTCGACGAGTCACGAGACGCACCTGCCGCTCGAGACGCCACTTGCGATCCGAAACGACGTGCGCTTCGACCCGGCACTGCGGTCGCGGCGCGTGCCGGCGTCGGACGTCGAGCGCCACGCAGTGCTCGCGCGTGGCGGCTGCGGCATCGTGTACCGGGCGTCGATCCACGGGTCGCGCATGGTCGCGATGAAGCGCATTCTGCCGACGCGCGCAGACGACATCAACGTCGTCGAGGACTTTATGGCCGAGATCCGCCTCAGCGCGAGTCTCGAGCACCCCAACATTGTTGCGTTCGTCGGCATGACGTGGACGAGCGTGTACAATTTATCGGCCATCTACGAGCTCATGTCCCACGGCGACCTCTGGCAGTTTCTCCGGCGGAGTCATGGCCTGACGTGGCACGGCCCCGGTGTCTCGAAAGCGTCGATTCTGCGAGACGTCGTCGCCGCACTGGTGTATCTCCACGCGCTCTCGCCTATGGTCGTGCACCGCGATTTGAAGGCGAAGAACGTCCTCTTGAACGACGCGTATGTCGCCAAGCTCGGCGACTTTGGCACGAGCCGCGAGTGCGCCGACCACACAATGACGGCCGAGATTGGCACCGTGCCGTGGATCGCACCCGAGGTGCTCAAGGGCACGCGCTACAGCGAAAAAGCCGACATTTACTCGTTCGGCGTCCTCGTCTCCGAGGTCGACACGGTCAAAGTGCCGTACTCTAACGTCCACGACTGCTGCCCGAGCGCCGACGGCACCTCGGTCGCGCTGGCGTCGGCCAACATCGCGATGCGGGTTGTAAAAGGGACGCTCCAGCCGTCGTTCTCTCCGTCGTGTCCGTCCGTCGTGCTCGATATTGCTCGCCAGTGCCTCTCGTACGACCCGGACGACAGGCCGAGCGCGGCGCAGCTCGCAGCGTGGCTCCAGCGCCTCTCGCTCTGAGATCTAAGAGGTGCCAATGCGCGCAGGCGATAGTCATGTGTAGTTGTTGTTCAAATATCAAAGTCTTGCCAATGTAATGCAATAGTAGTATCATGTAATCCGAGTAGCTTTCGAACGTTTACAAGTGATAGCTTCGCTGGGACGTCTGCTGGTCCGTACGTTGCGCCTGCTGTTGCACGGCCGCGAGGCTCCGGCTCCGTGAGCCTAAGACGACGCGAGCTGCATCATACTGTCAAGCCAATAATAGGACGACGTTACACGGTCATCGCCGCTTGGTCGTGTGGGACGACCGCGTCAAATTGCGACTTCCGAACGTCACCGTGCGGGTGACGTGGCGGGCTGTCATGGCTGCTTCGAACTTCGAACTTCGGGACAAAGGCCAAGTCGAGGCGCCGGAACCGAACGAAGATCCCACATCCATGCTTGGTCGCGCAAGGCGCTTCGTCCTACTGCGCGAGGCGAGTGCCATCGCATAGAGTGTGCGCCAATCTGAGTGTTGCGTCCGGGTGTGAAAGGCGACGTTGGCTTCTCGTTGCCGTCCGCTCAGATCGGCGGCCGGCTCTTTGCGTTGCCCAAAATTCGGCCACTTTCGGATTAGACGTGGCGATGGTCACGCTCCGTGTCGTGCTCGTCGGCGCTGCCGCCGTCGTGGCCGCTATCAGCGCTGTTGAGAGACCGACGCTGCGCACGGCGTGCCCCGACGGCGCCTGCGTGCAGTACCCGAACGGGACGCTCGTCGCCGTCCCGAGAAGCGCGGAGTGGGACGTCGTCGTCAATTGCAGCCTGCCGTTCACAGACATTGAGGCCTTGCCTGCAAACGCATCCAGCATGTACGACGCGCTGATTGAAGGCGCTGCTTGACGCTCGTTTGCTAGTATCCTCGACAGCGTTGGACTCGAGCGACTGCCGCACGACTTGCGCGTCGACACGGCTGGCCGCGCCGTCCTCGCCCAGCGCTTGTACCGCCTCTTACGTCGTCATGCACTCTTTCACGAGTCAAGTAGAGCGTTCCCAAACAATGCGCTCACAAGCCTCGAGCGTGTCCACCTGCCGGCCGGCACGACGCACTGGCAGGACACGAATCGGTCGCGACGGGTTCTTATCTTCGTCCATGCGTAGGGACGTGCACAAGAATGCGATTGCGACGCTCGGCGACGTCTCGATGAACTCGAACCTCGTGCACTTGTAGGTTTACCGCATCGCGGGGTGCATCGAGCTCATATATTTCGTCGCTAGAGATGTCAGCGGCAACCGCCTCACCTCGCTGGACGCGACCAAGCTACCACCCTCGCTCCAAACTCTGTACGAAGCGTTTACTACATCATTTTGTCGCTCACGAAGAAGGTGATGTGGCAGGTTGCTCGCACAGAACCATCTCTTCTCTCTGGACGACATTGCATTTCCCGAGACCTTACAGACGCTGTACGCTGGTCGCTGGATAAGGTCTCGAGCCGACACTTGCTGTTGTTAGGAACGTCTCGGGCAACCGCATCGCGAGCATGGACGCGGTCGTGCTACCTCGGCAACTCGAAGATCTGTACGTTCTACTCCTTGGGCGCAAGCATCGACACAACATTTACGGTCTGTTCTAGGGACCTCTCGTTCAACAACCTCGTCAATGTGAGTCATATCGTGTGGCCGCCACTGCTGCGACGCTTGTACGCTTGCCATCTCTAGCCATTTCTCTTGATACCACGTGCGTCTAGATCGCTTGCTGGCAACCAGCTCCGCGACATGGTCGCTGCCTTTCCGCCGTCCCTTACAGCGCTGTATGGCCATCGTCGCTAGCAAACGGAGACGTCTTGACTCATATTGCGCGCCTAGATGCCTCGGTGGCAACCCGCTTGTGGTTTTGTACGCGAACGCGAGCCAGCTCCAGCCTCTCATATCTCTTCTGAACGTCAGCTGCGCGCCTCGCACTCGCAATGACACACGGCTGCGCAACGTCACATGCCGGGGCGGCGAGGCGCCAGCGCGCGTGCTACATGGCGTCCCCATCTGCCTCGTGGAGAGCGCTGCGTCCGACGTCATCATGGTGGCCGGCGCGCTGCAACCACCCACCGACGCTGATGTGGGTATAACGAGCAGCGCCAGCTTGCTGCCCGTGGCGTGGATCGCGCTCGCGGTCGTGAGCGTTCTCTTGGCGCTCGCGCTCGCGGGCTGCTGCTGCTACCGGCGGCGGTATCACCTGGCGAAGCGAAGCAAGCAAGTGTGGTTCTGCGAGGACCAGCCGTCGAGCGTGCTCATGCTCGAGAGCCGGCCAACGGTCGGGTACGGCCTCGTCGCCAACGACATTCGGTTCCAAGCACGGTTCCAGGCGTGCTTCGTGCCGCCCAACACGATCGTGCGCGACCGCGTCATTGCGCGCGGCGGCTTTGGCATCGTGTACCTCGCGACCATCTACCCGTCGACGCGCATGCCGCCTTTGCGCGTGGCCATGAAGCGCGTGCTGCCGCAGTTCGCCGACGACGTCGGGCGCATCGAGGACTTTATGGTCGAGATCGACCTCGGCGCGCGCCTCTGCCACCCCAAGATCGTGACCTTTGTCGGGATCACGTGGACGACGCTGTACAACATCTCGTCGCTCACCGAGTACATGCCCAACGGCGACGTCTGGAGCCTCCTCGAGCGCAGCAAGCACGAGATCGTGCTGCCATGGAACGTCGCGAGTACCGCGGCCTTGCCAACGCCAAGCGACGAGAAGGCCCTCCCGCGCCTCACGGTGAGCGACGTGACCGAGCTCTCGACCTTTACCGAGTACGATCCGTGCTGCCCTGTCTCCAAGGTGTCGATCCTCGCCGATATGGCCGACGCGCTCGCCTACCTCCACTGCCTCCGCCCGACCATCGTCCATCGCGACGTCAAGACCAAGAACGTGCTCCTCGATGCCAACTGGGTCGCCAAGGTCGCCGACTTTGGCGCGAGCCGGAGCTACGGCGACAGCGACCTCGTCATGACGGCCGAGGTTGGCACGGTGCCCTGGATCGCACCCGAGGTGCTCAAAGGCGTTCGGTACAGCGAAAAGGCCGACATCTACTCGTTCGGCGTCGCCATGTCCGAGGTCGACCTCTGCATCGTGCCCTACTCGAACGTGCACATGTGCTCGCCCGACTCGCAGGTCTCGCTGACGATGGCCAAGTCCCGCGTCGCCGTGCTCGTCACGACAGGGCAGCTGCGCCCGTCCTTCTCGCACACGTGCCCGCCTGCCATCTTGGACATTGCTCGGCGCTGCTTGGCCTACTACCCCGAGGACCGGCCGAGCGCGGCTGAGCTCCGCGCGTGGTTCCAGCGCCTCCAGCCCTCGACGGCTGCATGAAGCGCGTATTTATTGGACTGCAGTCCACTGCGTCCCGCCAAATATTACATATTGATATTCACATATTGAGTGCGCACGAGGGGCCAATATGATATCACTTGGGCCGTGCCCCATCATAGTAGCCGCCCATATTCGAACGAGGGCGCGCATCACGGTGAAATATGTGCCCCGTCGTTGTATAGACACGGTGTTGGCTAAACACACGCAACGGCGAACGGATGCAGTCGTGCGCGGTGGCCGTTGATTGGTGCGCAGGTTCAAGTCTCTCGTGGACGCCCTGATCGGTGCTGGATCGTCACTCCTGCGGCGATGCTACGCCAGGCAGTCGATGAAGATACCTCGATCGTCCCTGCATGGCCACGTGTCGCTCGAGCGCGATGCTACCAAGTTCTTATTGCTTGCTGGCCACGCAAAGGGTTGCATGTCGGTCCCATGGGTGTGGCAGGCTAGTGGGCTAATGACGGTGATTCTATCCGCAGCGTCATGACGCCACCGTCGTGTTGGCGCCGGGTGCGTTTGTCGCATTCAACTGCCGGATGCGGCGCTGGGAGACTGCGCGCGTCCGGATAAAGGGCCAGTGCGCAGGTTCCAGCGAAGTGACTTGTATAGTCGCTGCCCGCGGCATTACATCCCTCCGCACCAAGTTGAACGTCGCACAAGCGATCCCGCAACAAGGTACCCAAAAGCCTGGAATTCTCCACCAGTCACTTTTTTAAACACGTCGTATTTAAATACGCGGCCCGCCTCTTTTGCATCGTATTTAAATACCCACGCCAGCGTCGTCGCCATCTGGCGCGGTCGTCTTGTTCTCGCACCAGCCACTTTTTATTCCACCTCGATACAAATACCGAGCTATTTAAAAGACAGGATTTAAATAGACCCACGCGATAAAATTCAAATTTCAAATGCAGTCCATACAGATTCCAAGATGTCGGCTCGTACAGAGAAACTGAAACTGTCAGTTGGCAATTCTTGAAGCGGGGGCTTTAAAATCGGCGGGGTCGCGCGTATACCTTGTGACTCCCGTTGAGTATAGTATACTGAAAGGTAGCTTAAAGCGAAGATGAGGACAAGTCCCTCCTTCATTACTCGAATTTCTTTGTTAACCACAAATTTGGGCGACCGACCACTGACGGTTCCCCCAGCATCACCGAGCAGGCGTCCGAATCGAAGCCGGAAGCACCAAGCACGAACGACAGAGGTAGATGATACATGCGACGCCAACGAGCCTCGGCGCCGAGCGCCCGCCCGCTGGGTGGCGCCGGCTTCGGAGCGCTTCGGCGGCAACCACGGGCGATGGGCGGCGAGATCTCATCCTTGTGCATGTGTGCGTAGAAGACCTATCTATAACATGTACCCCGGAAGTGGACAACCAGGCTCGGTGCCCCGCCGAGTGAACCCGAACGGTGGCGGCCCCGTCGGCGGCGGCGTGCCCAACGTGCCCTCGGTCGGCAACGTCAACCCGATCCGCGACATGCGCGAGATGCGCGACCTCCGCGGCCCTAGCGTCAACATTCCCCCGATGCAAATGGCCGGCGCGCCCGGCAACGCCAACGTGGGCGTCGTCAACGTGCCGCAGAACCAAGCGTCGCTAGTCAGCGGCAACGCGTCACGCATTGTCGACATGCTCGAGAGCGCCAAGAACGAGTTTGAAAGCGTCTTGCAGCAGCTCAACATTAGCAAGATTGAGAACATGGAGCTCGAGCGCAAGATTCAGTCGCAGGTCGCCGAGATGGACCAGATTCAACAGACCCTCAAGGCGCTCGAGAACAACCACCGCCGCCTGCGCCAGCAGTACGAGGAGGACGTCATCCGCATGCGCCGTCAAATGGAGGGCGGCGTCAAGATGGGCATGACCGCTGGTAAGCGGAATCGCTCGGACGAGCAGGCCCCGCCCCCGCAAGTTATGCCGCCCATGAACCCCGGCCAGCCGATGGTTCCCGCGCGCTCCCAGCGCAGTGGTAGTCCCGTCCGCGTCGCCCCCGCCCCCTCGATGGGTCGCCCGGCCGGCCTCGACGAGCGTGACCAGCGTGGCCGCGAGCGCCCGTCGCACCAAGGCCCTCCTCCCACGATGCAGTCGTCGTCGCTGGCGCCGCTCGAGAACAACCTTCACACGCCGACGGCCGGCCGCCGTAGCGCCATGCCGGGCATCCCTAGCTCGCGCGACTCGGACCGCCGCGACGTTCTCGACCGCCGTGGCGACGACCGTGATGTGATGAAGAACGACGACCGTCACCGGATCCCTGGCCCCCCGCCGGCGTCGGCCGCTGTCGGTGGCTCGTCGGCCAACTCGTCGCCCGTCATGAAGAAGATCAAGTCGAGCGCGCCGGATGGCAAGTCGTCGAGTGGCAACGGCCCGAGCAAGTCGTCGGTACCTGCGCCGGCGCCGATGCAGTCGTCGCCGGGCAACCCCAAGATGCACCACTTGAACAACGAAACGAACGAGTCGACGGGCTCGGTGACGCCGCCGCCGTCGTCGTCGGCGCCGGGCGGTGGCAACTCGACGCCGTCCAACGGCAACAATGCCGGCTTTTCGAACAACGGCTCGTCGAGCTCCAAGCAGAGCAAGGTCAAGTGGTCGATCACGTACTCGAACAAGGGCTCGAGCACGCATTTTCCGGAGACGGAGCGCCCGACCGTCGAGATGCATCACACACTCGACCACCAGAGCGTCGTCTGCTGCGTCCGCTTCTCGGCGGACGGCACGAAGATGGCGTCGGGTTGCCACAAGACGGCGCAAGTCTTTGACGTCGCGACGGGTGCGCGCACGTTCTGGGTCCAGCGCCCGGCCATCACCAACGCCAACGGCGCGCAGCCCAACGAGAACGAGGACGCTTACGTGCGCTCGGTGTGCTTCTCGCCGGATGGCACGAAGCTCGTGGCCGGCATGCCCCAGAACACGATCCGCATCTGGGACATTGCGTCCAACGAAGAAGGCCCGCCGCTCGTCGGCCATGAAGCCGAAATCTACTCGCTCGACTACGTCAACAACCTCATCGTCTCGGGCTCAGGCGATCGCAAGGTGCGTCTCTGGGACGCGCGCTCGGGCGAGTGCCGCCACGTGTTTGGCACGGAGACGGGCGGCCCTGCCGACGGCGTCACGAACGTTGCGCTCTCGCCGGACGGGCGTCTTTTGGCGGCGGCGTCGCTCGACAAGGTCGTGCGCATTTGGAACACGGAGACGTCGCAGCTCATGGACCGCTTGGAGGGCCACTGCGACTCGGTCTACTCGCTGGCGTTCTCGCCGGACGGCAAGAACGTCATCTCTGGCTCGCTCGACAAGAACATTATGCTCTGGGACGTGTCGGCGTCGGGCCGCACGACGACGCGGCCGCGCATGCTCTTCCAAGGCCACAAGGACTTTGTCCTCTCGGTCGCCTACACCCCCGATGGACGGTACGTGTGTCTCCGATGATAGCAAAGATCTTATGTGTCTTGCGTATAGATGGATCATGTCGGGCTCCAAGGATCGGTCGGTCATCTTTTGGGACCCGCGGACGGCACGGTCGGTGCTGACGCTCAGCGGGTACCGCAACTCGGTCATCAGTGTGGCGTCGTCGCCGGCGTCGCCCTTCTTCGCGACGGGCTCGGGCGACTGTTTTGCGTGCATTTGGAAGTACCAATGTCAAACGATTTAAAGGAGCCGCGGGTTGGTGTAAAATTAGTGCAAGGTTGTCCAGCGACAAAAAGACAAAAACAATGTATTGCGTGCAAACGACAGTCTTGTCTCTTCCCTACGGACGCTACAAAGCACGACGACGCACACACACAGATCGATTAGTGACAGGGGGACACGGCGCGGTACTCGAGCCGACTGCTGCTGCTCGACGGCGACGACGACGACGCCGGACCCTCTTTGGTCGCGCGCCGCACTTGGCGAATGTCACGCCGCACGAGCTTCCACTCGGCTATGATGCGGTCCTTTTCTTCTATTAAGAGGTCGCGGCCGTAGTGGAATGCATGGCAATCAAACTGCAGATCGGTCTCTTCCGCCTCGAGAAGCAGCGCTTCGATCGTATGCAGCTGGGCGTCCACGTCCGTCGCGTCGTTGTGCAAAAACACCTACATGCACATGGGCGTCGTCAGCGCGTGGTGGTGGCGGAGGGCGATGCTTGCCTTTTCCGAAGGACCGTGAGTAGCTTCCGCGCGTGATGGACCTTGCGACGGAGGGGCCGCATCAGGTAGTCGGCTTGGGCTTTGGCATCGAATGTGGTCTGGAGCTGCACTTGTAGGTACTGCATTGTCTCTCGGATCGTCGCGCGCATGGTGGCGCAGTTGCCTGCGGGGCAGTCATGGGTCGCTGGAGCCAGCAATCCAAGCATGTCGTACCGTAGAGGAACTCTTCCTTCGCAGGCAGATCGGCAGAAATGTACTCCTCGAGCTCGCATAGCATTTGGTCATGCTGGCGCAGCGACGACATGGCGTCGTATACGTCGTCTTTAAACGGGTAGGCGACCGACGTGAGCTACGCATCGTGCCCGCAATCAGCGTTGCCCTCCATGGGGATCTGTACCTTGGCTATCAGCATAGCTAGCTTCTCTTCGAGCTCCATGCAGCGCAGTCGTGTGCCCATGAACTTGATGGGGGTCGACGGCTTCTCGGGTTCGGCCACCGCGGGGACGCCGACGATGCTGCCAAGCTCCATGAGATGGGTATCTACAGGAAGCAGGCGATGAGCTCCTTGCGTCTACCTCGATCCCATGAAGAGGTCATCCACCTTGCGGGTACATGGCGCCGAGGACTGCGATCGAGCAGGTCAAGATGCTGCTGAGGTCGGCAACGGAAGAAGATGGCATATTGAAGAAGGTGGAAATTGGACTGTGGTATCCGGCACGAAATGGAAGATTCGGTGGCATTGTATTGGCCCGCATTTTAATGCATCTCTTCTGGCTCTCTTCTTGTCGAATGTATACCAGCTGTTTTATTGCACGTCGATCTTCGCGCGTCTTTTTCCCACATCCATGCGGCCGTTTCCTATACAGTGCACCAGTGTCTCTCGCGGTTACAAGCGACCTATTTGTATTCCGACCATCTAATTCACCATACATTTATAAAGTGTAGCTTGCGAATATTCGAGACTTTCTTTTAATATAGTCCAGCACGCTGGATCTTTAACCGGATACGGATACTCGACCAACGCGGATCACCACGCGTGCAGCAACGTGGTTCATGATGACGAGGATGCTACCACGTAGTAGCTTTGTCTGGTTGCTACAGCAACATTGAATCTACACCCGTCTCCTGCAGAGCGTCCACCGTCGAAGCAACGGGACCTCTCTAACGTGGCTGGTGCGTTTTCCCTTCCTCCGTGTTGGCTGGCTCGCACGAGCACGCAGCTGTTGTTGGGTCATTCATGACGCTTGCAACACGAAGCATCCCGTTCTCATTCCATGCATTATGGCCATATCAACGGATTCGAATGGTTGAAGCCATAGCTCGCGCACTCACCGCTGTCAAAGTTGCAGGCCTCTGTAAAGCAGGTTGGGTCGCAGAGATCGATCCAGTCGATGCAGCCACACGAACTACCTTGCGCACAATTCGTCGGGTTATTGGTCAAGTTGCAATATGTGGAGCCGCGCAGCTGGACGTTGGCGGGAACGCCCGTGCCTGGTGTCTCCCAGACGAGCGGGTTGTAGCGGAGCTGAATCGCGAGGTCGGGCCGACCGAGCACGAGGCGCTTTGGCAGCGCAGTGACGCGGTTGTGGTCTAAAGACAGTATCTCGAGCGACGAGCAGTTGATGAGCGCGCTCATTGGGATCTCGTCGATGGCATTGAACGAGAGGTCGAGGTGCACCAAGCGTGGCCACGGGATCGCCGACGTCGCGGTGCCAAACATGCTGACGTTCGTCAAGCGGGCTTCCGAGAGAGACAATCTCACGAGCTGCTTGGCCCACGTCGCCCAGACACTCTGTGGCACATGCGCAATCTGCGAGCCCACGAGTGCGAGGTGCAGAAGGTTCGGTAGCGGTGCCAAGTCGCGCAGCACCGTCGGCACGCTTGCCAGAGACGAATGCCGGAGCTCGAGCTGCATGAGCGTCTGCGGTATCGCCGTGGGTGGTATTGCCCACTCGGAGAGGTTGGAAAACTCGATTGCGAGTCCAAAGAGGTTTGGGAAGCGCGCAAAGAGCTCGGGGGTAGGACCGTCGGGCAGGGCACAGCGCACAACGTTGAGGAAGAAGAGCGATGCGCCGATCGACGGCGGGATCGCGCTGGCAATCGTGCGGCCAAGAAGCTGCTGCTGCGCGCAGTTGAGACGATAAAAGACGCAATCGCAAGACGACGAGAACCACGACGTGACCTGGAGCTTGCACTCGGGCGGACATGGCGCGCGGCACCACGTGGACGTGACGGCGACGACCGCAATCGTGAGGCCCCAGAGCATACAGACAACGAGGTAGCTCTTGAGCGCGTAGCGTTTGGAAAAGTCAAAGTCCCACAGCTTAGGGTATCGCTTGACAATAAACGTGAAGCCAAACGTGCGACGTCCGTTCAAGCGCTGGGGAGGTACCCACTTGGCCTGGATCGGGCGCAGCTTGGCCGCGGGAATGTGAATGGCATGGTCCAGCGAGTGGGCGAGGAGCTCGAGCGTCATGTAGCTCGTTGCATGCGGTAGGAGCTTCACGACGAGGTCGCCAAACGACGAGACGACCACGTACCGATTGAAGAGGATCATTTTGGTCTGCCACTCGTAATAGTTGATGCCGTCCGAAGACGCTGTGTCGAGGAAGAAGGCGAGCATGCTCGAGAGAAACAGGAGTGTCGAGAGCACCGTCGAGAGCAGAAAGCCAAACGCGCAGCTGAACGCGAGCAACGACGTGCGTCGCAAAAAGCTGTTGGTTTGAAAGAGCAGCCACGGCGAGCCGAGCGCGTAGGTGGCAACGCCAATGCCAAAGACGAACGAGAGCGTCGGGTCGGTCGTGCGATCCGCCATGCGCTTGCCTTGGTACGAGAACGACACCAAATTGCACAAATGGCTACCGAGTACAAATGCCTCACTGACGAGCGCGGCGTGGCGGCGCTTGGTCTTCGGGTCGTTGGCGCCGAACGGCGAAACGCGCTTGCTGACTGAGTCTCGGAGCGACACAAAGGTGCGTATGACCGGCGACTTGTAATGGACGATCGCAGCAGCATGGAGGACGGCGAACGCAAAGTAGAAGCCGGGGGAGACCGACTGTAGGTACCACGGCAAGAGAAAGACCGTGTCGGCGGTCGGCGCCAGGAGGAAGAGCGTCCCAAGCAGCGCAAGGTGGAACGCGTGAGCACGTGGACGGTCGAAATGAACAGAAGCACGGGAAAGCGCATGAGCGCCTTGTAGAGCCGCGTCTTGAGGTCCGAAATCTGCTGCTGCAAGGACGTGGATAGCCGACGAAGTGTAGTCGGGTGCGTCATGAACTCGATGACGGACGAGACACGGTCGTTCATGTGCCAGCCGACGCCTGAGAAATGGCTGCTGGGAAGGCCTCGTGGTCCCGCGCGGAGGATCCCGCTCTCGCGTCGGACACTGCTCCGCGACCGCGGCATCGTTGATTGTATAAATAGGAAGCAGCAACTAATCATGATCGGCTGAGAGTATCAATCTGTCAACACAAAGCCACATGAACTTTAAGAATGGACAACGCTAGATTTCCCATTTAGAGCCCGCGGCCAAAGATCGCGGTGCGGATCTGGTCCGAGGCGACGGCCATGAGACTGCGGTAACTCTGTTGCTTCATGGTTTCAAACCCGCGCCAGAGCAAGCCCATGGCAAAGCCTTGGACGACGCCGGCGCCCGGCATGGACGCGACGGCTTCGTTCTCGCCGATGAACGCCATCGACCCGAGGTTCGTCCACTCGAACGGCGCCGCGCTCGTCGGGTTCTCTTCGAGCTTCTTGTTGAAGAGCTGCGCGAGGTACTCGCCTTGCTGCTGCGCGACTTGGGCCGTGGCTGGCAGCGACCGCAGATGCGCGTCCATGGCCGCCAAGAGCGCCACGAATTCGTCCTTGTCGAGGCGGTTGTTGTGGTCGGCGTCCGCCGCTTCAAAGATCGCGTGCAGCGCGCCGTGGACAAACGGACGAGAGAGCTTCGAGGTCCCGCGGCTTTCTTGGATCAAATGCACGTGCTCGCGGAACTGCGGGTACGTCTTGGATGCGTGCTCGAAGAGCGCCGCCATGTCTTCAAACGAGAGACTGCCTTCGTGCTTGGAGTCGAAGTGGTCGAAGAGCTCCTTGGCGTGGGCGACCGACTTTTCATACGTGACGGCCGCCGCGTCGCCGAGGCAGAAGAGGTTGGTGCTGCCTTGGACGCGGAAGTACGGGTCCACAACGACGGCGCGCTTGTTGGTCTGCTGCTGCGGGAAGTGGGCCGCAATCGACGCAGCGAACGGGTGCAGCCCGATGCCCGAGCACCACATTGTTGTGCCCGACGGCAGCCGCGTCGTCTTGCCGGTCGCCGTGTCGAGGACATCGACGCTGTCGGCGTACACTCGGGTGACGCGGCACTTGAGCCGCGTCTCGATGCCGTGCTTGGCAAAGGCCGACGTCGCGTACGAGGCAATCTTGCGATCAAACATCGAGAGGATCTGGCTCGCGCAGTCGATGACGCGGACGGTCGCGAGCGACGCGAGGTGCGGGTAGTGCTTCTTGAGGTCCCGCTGAAAGAGGTCGTGGATCTCGGCCGCGAGCTCGACGCCGGTCGGGCCGCCGCCGCAGATCGTAAACGATAAGAGGCGCTGCTGCTCTTCGGGCGATGTTGTCGGTAGCGACGCTTGCTCCCAGCGTGCGTGCACGAGCTTCCGCAAGCCCACAACGTCGTCGTACGTCTTGAGAAAGTGCGCGTGCTCGGCGACACCGGGCGTGCCAAAGGTGTTGGCGACAGACCCGACAGCAACGACGAGCTGGTCGTACTCGAGCGTGAACGGCGAGCTCGGATCCAGCTCCGAGACGCACGTGACGCGGTTCGTCTTGGGATCAATTGACGTCGCGGCCGCCTCGACGAAGCGAGCGTGCTCGGGCAAGAAGGTTTGGATCGGCTCCACGATCGACCGCGCCTCGACCGTGCCCGTGGAGGCGGCGGGCAGTAGCGGCGTGTAGAGAAACACGCCACGCGGCGAGACGACCGTCACGCGTGTGTGGTCGTCGGGCTTGAGCTTGCGCAAGAAGGCGACAGCGCCCCAGCCTGAGCCGAGGACGACGATGTGGCGCTTGGTCGGGTCCTTGGCGATATGCACCGGCGCCTGCTGGTTCCAGGCGACAGCGGCCGACGTCGCTGACGCAATGGCGAGTAGAGGCGCAAGGCGCCGGGCGCGGAGGAGGACCGACGACATGATGAGGGTCGGCAAGGCAAATCGAAAATGAGAACGAAGTCGCCCGCTGCGAGATCGCAATCTTGCAGCCTGTATAGCGGTGCTTGTTTATACTAATGCCGAATATAGTGTAGCAACACTATTAAAAGAAAGATCTCGCTCGCACTGTTGATGATGCGCCAAGTCGTATTCGCCTGGATGTGTAGTTGCTCCACTCGCTTCGCACCAAGGTACTGGCAGTGCCAATAGAGCTAATACCCATGAATATCATGAATATATAGGCGACATGTAGCGGCGGGTGATTGCAGACTGTCGGATTCATCGGGTGAGGCTAACTGTAGGAAGAGATCCTCTTCATTCGCCTTGCATAATCAGGCAATCCCTCGTCCACGCTGGCAGCTACATTATCGTCATCAATGATGCCACTGAACACTGAATTACACGACATTGTGAGGACTGCAGTAGCCTGGCCGCATCGTTGGCAAGGTAGCAGTGTGCGCTTCCATCAGAGTGGAGGAAGCGGCCACGAGGCCAAGCCCTACGACGACCTGGCACTCGGTACTGCGAAGGAAGCTGCCAAGGATCGCCTCGATGCATTGTGTGGTTTGTGACGATCGTGCATGTGATGACCCTCACCAGGTATCCACGGAAGTAGTGTGGAAATCTATTTTTAGATACCGTTGCGAGCGATATTGCAGTTGACAAGGATGCTCAAATGTATGGCAGGTCGCCCGGCGGCCGGGAACCAAGACGTCTTTGCCAAGCCTCCGACGGGCCTTCCGAGCGCCGTCTGGGAAAAGGAGTTTAGCGTCCTCTTCAATGGGCGCAAGCCCGTCGGCCTCGGCTTCGTGGCCACCGACGTCGCGACGCCGTATGGGACGTACACGTGCGTCGTCCAGCACGTCATCAACGCCAAGGTGCACGCGAACCACGCGTTCGACCACAACGAGCACTGCTACTTGAGCTGCAATCTCAAGCGGTACGACCTACTCGGTGATTCCTTGGAGGCCTCAGGGGCCATTACGTAGCGTCATCATGCCCGGCCTCGTCATTCGCGGCATCAATGACCTCGACGTGCGCGATACAAGTTTCGACGTCGTCGTCGCCAAGTACATAGTTCTTGATTGGAGGCAACTCATTTCTTATTGTGCAGGGTCAAGACGGCCAAGCGTCCGGTCTTGCTCACGTTTGCCGACCCCAAGTCGGCCGATGTCGCCGCGAACAACGAGCAGCCCGCGCTATCAGACGATAGCGACGTGCGCGAGCGCAAGCTTCACGACGAAATCATCGATCTCCGCACGCAGCTCGACGAGAGCTCTCGGCAACGGGACGAGGCGCTCCGTCAGCTCGAGCTCTTTAAGAAGTGGAACGATTCGCTTCTCGCGACCAACAGCGAGATGGACGCGACGACGACGGAGCTGCATGACCGCATTGCGCAAGAGCGGGCGGCGTACGAAGCCAAACACGCCTCGCGGCTCCTGGAGCTTCAGCACGAGCGCGACCACGCTACAAGCAAACTGCAAGAGCTGCGCGTACTTCCGTCATGTAAAGGGTCTCGCACCCTGCACCTTGTGCTTGTAGGTGGAGCATGCTAGCATGGCCACGCGAGCCGATGAGCTGCACGCGCGCCTTGAGGCCGCACAGCAAGCCAAGCGAGCGTCCGATATGAAGCTCGCAGCGCTCGAGGCGGCACGTCTTGAAGACCTCCGCGCGATGGAGGCGCTTCGGCGAGAGATCCACGACGAAGATGACGCGACGACGGAGCTCGATAAGCTCTTAGCGGTGGGTTGGTACTTGAACGATCGCACAACTGATGCAGTTGCCGTCTAGACCGAGCAAGACAATGCGGCCTTGGCAACGTGCGCAAGTGTCAAGCAGCAACATCTGGACATGCTCGCATCGGTGCGGCAACAGCGCAAGGACCACGAACAACACAAGCGCGACCTCGAGGCCAAGCTCCAAGCACACGCCGACCACGTCAAGAGCGTCATCCTAGATCTCGAGCACCAGCGACAAGCCCACGCTGTGGCCAAGCAAGTGCAGGAGACGACCATGTCGCTACCGCTGTTGGCCACCGAGTCGCACGAGATCCAGACGGACGCGTCGCCCGAGCCTAACGCTGCGTGGCAGGACGAAAAGCTGACGCTGACCAACCGGATTCACGAACTGGAGGCGCAGCTCGAGGCCGAGAGGCAAATTGAAGCGTCGCTGAGCGACACGATCGCAGGTGCATCGGCCATCGAGGCGGCGCGCGCGGCCCGCGACCAAGCCAAGCTGCTCATCCTTCGGCGCTTCATGACGCAACTTTCAACAACGGGGATCCTCGTGCACAAGGTAATCCAGTCCCAAAGCGATATATGTCGTCATCACCAAGGAACTCAATAGCATGGCCGCATGGGGGCTGCGCACCCTCGCTTTTTATATGCTGACGTCGCGGGGCACTGGCTGAGCTGGATGAGCGTCGACGATGCAAAGAAAGAAGGCGCGTTCCAGCACCCGCGCAAGCAAACCACGATCGAGCTCAAGCTCGTCGTTGACGTCTTGCCCGGGAAGCAGACGCATGTACGGCGACAGCGCATGGACTACTGGACTGTGTCTTGATGTATGCTAGGTCTTCCACCGAACCTCGGTGACACCGGCGAACCGTTGTTTCTCGCTCATCTGCGCCAAGCCGTGTCGCACCATCGACATGGAAACCGAGACGCCCGAGCAATGCCAGCGGCTCATCCAAGGCTTCCGGCTCATCCGCCAAGCGTTTCTGGACCACGGAGCGATCGTTCTCTAATCTATCTACGCCTTTATTCCGTATTATTGACGACGCTGCATTACTTGTACGCCTTGAACACTTGGTCGATCGCGTGCGCGACCTGGTCGTACTCGGGAAACTCGTTGATCTTGCCGCAGTAGACGAGGCTCGGCTTTTGCTGCATGGCCGCAAACACGACGCGCTGGAGGTCCTCCTTCGTCACCGCGTCGATCTTGCCGCAAATGACGTCGGGCTCTCGCGGATGCCGTACGTGAGCAGTTGCCGGCCAATGTCTTCGTACAGAATCATGCGCGACTCGAGGTTCATCAACACGGAGGACTTGAGCTGGTTCTTTGCTCGGCTCAGCTCCGTCTCGTCGACGCCGTTCACTACGCCATCACAAAGAGATGCTCAATAGTACACGCAAATCCAAAAGCCACGAGCGTACTGGCGACGGCCAACATTTGGTTGACGAGGAGGCCCACGAGCTGGCTCGTGTGCTCGGGCATGCACGCGCCGTAGATACCGAGGAGGCCGCTGTCCGAGTGCAGCGACGAGAACGCGAGCGCCGACTCGACCCAGTAGTACCGGTTGAGCACGTGCGTGTAGAGACGAGAGTACATGCCTTTGCCCGGGCCGCCGGCCGAGAACGAGTCGCCGCCACCCAAGAGCGTGTGCAAGACGCACACGGGCACCAGATCTAGCGCGTGCATCAGATGTGGGTCCGACGCAGATAGATCCGCGTACCCTTGTCGTGCCAGCCGCCGGTCGGGAAGGCGAGCGCCGCATACGAGAAAGGCATATCGTCCTTCTCGATCGTGACGAGGCCGCCCGTGTAGACGCTGCTGTCGACGTTGACGGCCTCGGTCGCGGGCGGGACCGACCCAAAGAGCGACGCCGCCTTCTGAACCAGCACGCTGTGCTCAATGCCCGAGCCTGCGAGCACCATGCGCGGCGCGACAAAGAACTTGCGGAGATACGCGCGGACGGTCTCGACGGTGAGTGCGTCGACCTTGTCTTCGGGGCACTGCAGCGGCCGCCCAAGCGTGGCGTGGGCGCCGTACGCAGCCGAGTGGATGCGCTCGAGGAGCAGCGTTTGCGGGTTCTCGGCCAAATCTTCCGACTGAATCTTCATAATGTACTTGGTGAGCTCGATTTCGTCGGGAAGAAGCGCCGGGTGCAGGATCGAGTCGGCAAGGAGCTCCAGCGCACGGTCCACGTTGTCGCGAAGCACGTCGATCGTGTAGATGATCTGCTCGCGGCCGCTCGACGCGGTGGTTTGCGCACCAATGGTTTCAAACTCGCTATCGCGTGGTAGCATGAGCGTGGCGACAGGCGACGACGAGGCTGGCGTACCGGACGAGATCCGCGTGGGAGCGGGTCGTCGAGCTCTTGAACCCGAGGTGCTCCATCATGTGCGTGATGCCCGTCGTGTCGTCTAACAAAGTGCTACAGTCATTCCTGCATGAACAGGTCAGGGTGTACTGGTTTCGTGGCGGCTTCCCGCGTCGACAAAGAGCCCGATCGTCGTGGCCTGGCCGTACGTCTCCTGCGAGATGACGCGGAGACCGTTGGGCAGCACCGTCGTTTCTGTCTGCGGCGCCTTGAGCTGGCTCGCGGGCTTGAGAACGGGCAAACTACCAGCCGACACGTCATAACGATGCACATGACGTGATAGCGACTGCCTCTCGCAGTGCTGCTTACCCATGCATGGGCTCGTCGAGGCTCAGCTGGCGTTTGAACGATGCCTATGTTGCGCCAAGGCGTCAGCTGCGTACGCGACTCGTATCTGGCGTACGAGGTCAGGCTTGAGGATGGGCTCGGTCGTCGCTTCCTTGGTGTGGACGTACTGCGTGAGCGTCGGGCCGGCGTCGGGCCGCGCGCAGAAGGACCGCGAAGCTTGGATGGCCGTGAACGGCGCGGCCTTGTGCTTGAGGAGATGGCGCTGGAGGTGGAGGAAGCGCATGCTGGATGAAGCCTCGCGAAAACAAATGGAGGATGGCACGCACCGCAAGCCCGCCGGCAAGATGATATCCGGATGATGCGGGTGCCGGATAATCGACCCGATCTTTCGCGAGTGCTTTGTCCGAGGTCCGCCTGTCGCTGCGATGCCTTCACCTGCATACTGCTGCTCTCTCTAACGCTCGGCAGCTACTTAATCAGCCACGTCTCTTGCCTCGACCGCCAAGGTCAGACGGGCAGCCTTGGATCAAGCACCCACGGCAATGCTACTGCCGGTCGTACATGGCCACGCTGATGGCCACCATGTCTTCTGGCCAACGCGCACCGAAGACAAGGGCAAGGATGCGAGCCGACACCGTCTTCCTGCGGCTTGGTTTGATTGCGTGGTTGTCGCACTACATGGAGGTCCAGCTAGCACCAAACCCCTAGCTAACGTCAATCTCACAAGGCGCTGAAAAAGGGCAGCACCCTTTGCCAGGCGATCAAGGTGCGAACCAACTCATGTCTAATACCTATCATTCATGCACGTGCGCGAGCTACTGGTGGCAGTTGATGGCGGTTGCCAAGTCGCCTGGGCCGTTTCCTTGGTTTCCAGAATTTCGACCTCTCGCATTCCATATGTTGTGGATATTATAATATGATAGAGGTACATGAAGGTCAGTATTTCAAGGTCATTCAAGTCTTTTATTATCTAGTGTTGGCGCAATATCTACAGAAATGGCTCTTAAAACGAGGGTTTTCCGTAATATGGCGAGGGGCCGTACAAAGCGCATTTCCAAATTCCCGACCTCGATGGCGCAATACGGCAAGGCCTCGTACTGGGACGAGCGCTACACCAAGTACGTGGCAGCATCTCTGTCGACGCTCATGATGCCATGCATAGGGACGCGGAGCAGTTCGATTGGTACCAGCGCTATGCGGGCCTCAAGGACCTCGTTCTGCAGTACCTCAAGAAGACGGACAATGTCTTGATGTCGGGCGCTGGCAACTCGCGCTTGACCGAAGAGATGATGAACGACGGCTTCCAGACCATCATGAACATTGATGTCTCGCAGGTCGTCGTCGACCAAATGGCCAAGAAGTACGAAGGCCACGAGGGCATGCAGTGGCAGCAGATGAACGTGTGCTCGCTCTCGTTCTCGGACGAGACCTTCGACAGCGTCTTCGACAAGGGCACGATGGACTCGATCTTGTGCGGCGAAGGCTCGACGGCCAACGTGGCCAAGATGTGCCAAGAAGTCTACCGCGTCCTCAAGCCCAACGGCGTCTTTTTTATTGTGTCGTACGGCGTGCCCGACAACCGCCTCAGCTACCTCGAGAACAACGAGTTGCACTGGAAGGTCACGGTGCACACGGTGCCCAAGCCGACGGTCAGCGCCGTCCAGGTCACGGACGCGGCCGATGCCAACGCTGTACATTACATTTATGTGTGCCAGAAGGGCGTCAAAGCCGACGCATAAGGCGATCCAAGCAGCATCATAATACAAGGCATTGGTATTCTCGACATCGCGACGCCATTTACTTGTCGTTCCACTGCTTCTTGCAGCCGACGCACTTGTAGAACGTCGTCGATGGCTCGTCCGCCGACCGAATCTGGATCTGCATAAAGTAGGCCTTGTGGTGCTCGCAGAACGGGCAGCGGGCTATGAAGAGGAGAAGGATATGTAACCTGCAGCATCCCATGCGGCGACACCCTACTGTCGGTCTGGTCGACGTTCTCCCACGCTTCGTCGCCGCCCAAGACATCGTCGACCTGCTTGCGCTGCAGAGGCACCTTCTTCTGGACCTAGCAACGTTGCATGAGCCATCGTCGGTCGCCGGTTGTCGTTGTCGGACCTTGCGCGTGATCTGGTAGATGTACGGGCAGGTTTGGCAGCAGAAGCGCATGCCATCGCTCTACGCAGGTACGCTGAGCCTCCATGCACCTCCATGGAGCAGGCGTACATCGGGCTCGACCATGAGCAGGTTGCCGCATGTAGGACAGAAGTGCATCGCGCGGCCAAGTCACCCAACCAAGAAGTCCCGACCAACGAATATGCGCTTGGGAGATATATTGCTCACGCCTAATTAGGACCATCCGAATTTCAACGCTGGGACATGCCACTCGGGATCTTTTGACGTTTGGGAACGGAGCACGATGGCCGACGACGCGCAGCAGGTCTTCTACTTTGAGGAAATCCCGATCGAGGACGAGACCGAAGACGGCGCTGCCAAGGAGGCTGTCGCTAGCTACAAGCGCGTCGACAGCGCGGTCCGCGGCGACGTCCCGGCCAAGCGAGGCGGCGCGACGCTCTCGGTGGTAGCACCCTCAACCAGGCATGGCCGGCGAGAATGCGTCGAGCTAGGTGGAGGCCAATGGCGAGAAGCTGCTCTACTTGATCGGCGGCGCGAACCGAGAAGCGCGCATGTTCAATGATGTCCACGTGTACAACGTTGGTGCGTCCACCATAGCGAGGCGGCGATGCTACCACCACCATCATCGTAGGCACCGGCGCGTGGAGCCAAGTACGCTTGTAGCCATCACAACGCATCATCTTACAGGCAGTAGGTGTACGTGACCAACAGCGCGGTCTTCCAAGCACGCAGCGGCCACTCGGCGGTGGTTCTCGGCACCCGCATATTCGTCTTTGGTGGTCTCAACCTCCCGCTACAAACCACATTCAATGATGTGCACATCTTGGACACGGGTACGTTCAGCATATCTCATCGGCATCTAGAACCATGGTGCGATCATCGAGCATGGTAGCAACCAAGTCGTGGTCGACGCCGGTCGTGCAAAATGATCCGCCGCGGCCACGCAACGCGCACATTGCCATGGCCACGACGAAAGGCATGGTCGTCTTTGGCGGGTCGTCTCCAACCGACGGTCCCATGAGCGATGTCTTCCTCCTCACGGTGCACGAGCCGACGCTGCGATGGGTTCGGATCGACTGCAACGGGCCGGTCATGGCGCCGCGCGAGCTTCACGCAGCGGTGCTTGTATCGCTACCGACGGAGCGCATCTACGTGAGCGGCGGACGGCTCCAAGACGGACAGCTCTGTCGCGAAGTGGCTACGCTGGATGTCGGTACGCTTGCCGTGCGTTCCGTGCCGTTGGTAGACGTATCTCGTAGCCTCCTGGACGTGGACGATCCAATCGAGTGGCGAGTTTCGACGCTGCGGCCATGTGATTGGCCTCCTCGATGCTGCGTGCATCGTCCAGTATGGCGGCTGGGACGGCGGCAACGGCTTTTGCAACGATTGCTGGGAGCACCCATGTACAACGCGTCGCGACGTCATCGTCTCATGCGATGATCAGTAGGCGACGACGGGCAGCTCGCACCTGCGACGCTCGAAGAAGCGCGAAGCGGCGACCACGTCCTGCTCGAGGACGGCGCCGACGTCGTCCATGACGGCGGGCGACTGGGGCACACGGCGTGCGTCGTCGACACCCGCCTCTTTGTCTTTGGGGCATGACAATCGCAGACGACCTCGACGACCTCTGGCACCTGGCGCGCTGCTAACGCTCGTGGAAAACGAGAAGGATGTAAAAGGCTCTATCAGATTGGACTCTCGACATATTATATATACTGGCGGCTAGACCTTTTCGACGCCAACGACTTCTTTGAGGACGTCGTAGACTGTGAGGCTAATGCCGGTCGAGAGCGGTCCCTAATGCATCATCCACATTCCGATGAGTTGCCATCGACGAAACGCGTCTCGTACCCGCAGCCATGTGACGGTCGCGCCCTTGTAAAAGCCGCGGAGGCCTTCGTTCTGCAAAATGAGCCGGCACGTGGTGCGGAGGTTGGTGTATTTGCGCTCGCCAGCATGGGCGCCCGAGAGGTAGCCGTCGCTTTGAATGCGCTTCCGGATCGTATCGAGCGGGTACGTGACTACGACGCCATCAGAATCGACTCGTCGCTGTCAAGCAAGACGCACCGGTTTGGGCCATCGAGCCCGCGAAATAACTGCACAGAAACTTGGAGAAGGGCGAGAGCGTGTACTGCTCGCGCGACACGGCTGGCGACCGCTGCTCGTACTGGATGTCGGCGAGGTACTGCTTGAATTTCTCGTTGAGCGTAAAGCCAATGCCTGTGTACGGCACAATCCCCAAGAGATTGACAAAGAGCCCACGCGAGAAGGACCGGAGCCCCTACATGCAATCCATGAGCCGACCGAGGTTGCAATAAGAAAGACGTCGTACGTCGGTGCGATACATGCACTGAACTGCGTCCAAGACGCTATTGTACTGCATCTTGCCTTGCTGCACCATGTAGCGCGTGCGGAGCACGTCCATGGGGTAGGTGAAAATGACCGAGACGCCGCCTAACCACCAAGATGCCATTTTTAAAACCCATGTTCGCCGCGAGAAAAGGTCGCACCGGCGATACTGCCAGAGAGAATGAGCTGCGTGTCCGTGAGCTTCTTCGTGTACGGCAGTGCCGAGCCCAAAGCTTCGTGCCGCTCGTGGTTGTAGCCGTGAAACTGGCGGCGCACAAAGTCAAACGACGAGTGCTGGATGCCCGCATACGGAAACACACGGAGCAAGTTGAGTGAGTTGCCTCGAAAGAGCGCGAAGACGCCTAGGACGACGAGGATCAAACCCTGAACCATTCGGAAATACCATTTACCGTCGCGGGTCGCAATTTCGAGCCCGAGCTTGTACGCGTTGCGCAGTGAAAAGTGGAGCGACTCGGTGACCTGGAAGAGCACCTTGACGCGGTCGACGGGGGCGAGCGCCGACTTGGAGATCATACCGGCAATGCCACCGACGGCAAACGACTTGGAGACCGTCGTCACGTGGTCTGTCGGGGCCGTCGCAGACTTGGGTGTCGACGGCGACGGTGGCAAGTGGTTGAGGTGCGGCGCCGGCGGCAAGTACGTCGTCGTGCGCGGCAGCGTCACGCGCACGGTCGCCTTCTCGTCCATCGTGGGCACGCGCGGGATCTCGATGATGAACATGCCATCCGTTTCGTTCACGAGGCCAAACTCGATCGCGCAGACCTCTTTGACCCAGGACGCGTAGACCATCTGCACGCCGAGGGGGCTAATCTCTTTCCAGCGCATGACGAGCGTGCAAAACTCGTCAAATGAAATCATCGTCATGGCATGCTCGTCGCCATGGGGCTCGTCCTTGGCGTGGCGCGCGAGGCTTTCGCGCGTAAGCCGCTCGAGCTGGGCCGTCGTGATGTAGAGCTGCGACGGGTCGGCCTGGCGGATCTTCTCGAGGAGCGCGGCGCCCGAGATCTTGCCCGAGTCGGTCGGGTCGAGGCGCATGAAGAACTGCTTGAGGATCGCGAGCACCTCGGGCGTCAGGTCAAAGTCCGGGTTGTAGAGCTTGAGGTTCTCCATGGTCCACGTGAAGTTGAACTCCTCTTCCTCGGACGTCGTCTTGGTCGGCGGCGCGCCATCCGCGCTCCGAGCCGTCGACATCCGCGGGTGCGCACTGGGAGCGTGGGAAGTTGCAAAATGGCAGCAATTATCCTAATTGAACTTGGTTGCCACAGTGGGATGTCATTATTTTAGCCCTCGGCTCGTCTCCCCACTTGGTGTTTGTATACCCTGCGGTGTCTTTAATCCAAGCCTGGTCACAAATTGTTCCAAGGTGGCGGCTAATAAAACGCCATTTGCCGTGGCGCGGTGCGGTTGGAGCGACACCGTGATACGACTACGGAGCACAAGAGAGAAGTGCGAAGCAGCGATCATCGCACGCCAACGCGGTGGCTGGCAGTAGTCAACGGTGCGGCGTGGCTGAGGATTTGACGACCAGTTCCGTGCGAACGAGCGAAACTGGTTTGAAATGCTCTTGCGCACCAACAAGACTCCTTGCGAATACGACGGACGTTGGTCCTTGCGCGTTGAAGCGTGGTGGAGAGCGCTCGTGTCTCTAGATAGAAAGCTCTGCAGAGCCGTCCAGTGGCACTCCAACGGCTACGTTCAGCGCCGTAATCTCAATTGGACAGTGGGCTCTTGTAGTCGCCAATGCGCCATCAAGGCATCCCATTCCCTCGTGCTTTCGAAAAATGCTTGCTACTACTAGATTAGTAGGTGTAGCCGACAGAGATCATAGTTGGATGCGCCCCAGGGTTCACACGCGGGTCCAGTGACGCAGGTCGGCTACAAGTTGGGTGTTTTTATCGTCGAGTCTCAAATTCCCAGTTTTTGCCTAAAATACCTAATTTCGACCCATTGTTGAGTAAACGATCCGCCAATCAACGGTCACGGGAGCGCATGCGGTCCTTGGACGACAGGCAGCGATAGGGATCTGTCCGAGGAAGCGGATGGAAGCCACCTACGCGTGGAGGCTGATGGCGCTGGCAGCATCGACGCAGCCATGGCACGTGCGACCTCCAGCCAGTCGGTGCAAGATGCCAGCGCGCTCGAGCGCGCTCTCGAACGCTACGACGCGCCATGACGACTTTTGCTGCAGCAAGCATGGATCACCTTTTGTGGAGCCGGCAACGGCGACGCAACACCCGAGCATGTGCAAGCGCCGCTCCCACGTATCGATGCGTCGAATGCATTCGTCGTCCCAGTGCATGTCTACGAGCTGGCTAACGTCGAGCACCAGGCCATGAGTCTCAACTCCTAGCATGGGTTTCGGGCTCGACACGGAGCTCATGATTTTGACGCACGGGTACCTGGGGCGTCCAAAACGTGATCGATGACATGCTCGACACGCTCCCAGTTCGAGAAGCAGAGGGCCTTGGCGTGGAGGAATACCTTGTACAGCTGCGATGTCTCTGTCGCTGAGGGAGGCGGCGCGGCAACGATGGCCTCGACGGAAACAACCGCGGGCTGCCAACGTTGGTGAATGATGCTAGTAGCACGGCCTTTTACATCGCATCGAGTCTGCAACTGTTGTGTACCTCAACGTGTACGCTGTCAAGCTTCCATAATAGACGCCGCATAGCGCGGAAGCAGCGCAGCCCGCTGTCCAGACCATAGCATCGCCGTAGAGGCCGAGTCGCAGCAGCGTTCGGAGCTCGGTCACATCACAAATCGTCGGCAACGCCGCGAGAAAGATGGCAGCGCGGACCGGGGCTGGGACGAGGATGTACGCATACAGGTTGCAATAGGCGCAGAGACCCACGAGGGCGGCCGCAAGCATCGACGCCACCTGGGTCCGAGCACACTTGAGCACGAGCGCCGAGCGGGCGAAGCACGCGATTGGTGGAAACAGCGGCGTAAACCCCAAGCTGCCAAGGCACACAAGGCCGTACGCGACGATTTCCTTGTGCATGCGGAGCTCCCCGAACGCTGCGTCGCTCGTTTCCTGTCCACGTCAATAAGCAAAGACATGGTGTGTCTATTTCGCTGCACCTTGGTCGTTGCACGGCCTGCGTGCTGGATCAAGGCAGCCGCAGAGAGGTAGATGGAGAGGGCGCTGAGGACGACGTTGAAACCGAGCTGAAAAGCGGCGGCGAGGCTCGACCCAACAAGCTCGATGACGTATCCAAAGGCGTGGCGTACGCCCATTATTGGCTCGTCCAAGCGCGCAGTGAGCGCTCTCTCGAGAACGTGGAGCTCCGAGTCGTCGGCAGAGATGACATGCACTGCAATGCCACATAGACATAGGCCAAGGAAGAGTCTGTTGGGGAGGTGTAGGGTGCTAGTCGCTCGAGACTTGGGCGCCGCGACTTTGATTGTGAGGCTGCTCCGACGGGGTTGCGTCTTGGGTGGCAAGCGACACACGCTGGCGGCGCGACGAGATGCATCCCACCCCGGCGTGTATGTCCGTAAGAACGGAAGCGCGGCTAGCAGGATCGCAGCGAGAGGCAAGAAGAACACTTGGTTCGACGACGGCGACGGTGCGACGAGTGGTGTCATCGCTGGTTGAAGCAGGACTGTGATCTCGCCCGTCGCAATGCTGAGGACAGCACCCGCGAGAAGCCCTCCGCCGGCGACGCGAGACAGATAGATCCAGCGATGCAACTTGGTGGCGCCCATGCCCACCAAGAGCACTCCCGTGAGACTCGTGAGGACAAGGCCCACGGCTTGTCGATGGACATCGGAGTCGTAGGTCGTGCGGATCCACGGCGCAAACGACGATGTCTCTTCCGTACCAAAGCACAGAAAACGCGACGAACCAAAGAGCGCGTAGAGCAGGGGCACCGCGACGCTCATGACGACGCTAGTTTGGACAGGGACATGGAGCGTACTCGCCAAGACCATGTCTTCGGGCAGGATCAAGCACGCCAAGACGACCGCCGTCGTCACGTCGTGTGCCAAGTGTATACGCGGGCGATACGAAGGCAACCACTCGAGCACCGGCATGCGTTCTGCTAGCCATATCCGGGCGAAGCGCCACGCAAGCAAGCACGGACGCATGACTCCGTTTCTATTTTGGCCTTTCAAATGCCACAATTACCAACCTTATATGGTGTGTGCGCCACATTTAAACCGTTGCCATCCAACCATCGGTTTCGGTTTCGGCGTCGCTGGGATCGAGTCATACCAGTAGGATAGGGCGACGGGTATTCTACGTGAGAGGAGTCAACAGGACGATGAAGTCTCCTCTTCCTCTCACCTCCTTTCCTTTTCCAAGCCATTGCGAGCTCGGTACGGGTCTTATTTTCGGCATTGTTCGATCGTGGCGGTGAAACGAACGGCGGGTGAACACCTTCCATTTGTGTTATTCGAAGTGTTGGCGTCGCAACGGCTTCGATCCTTGTGTTATAACGTTACATGTATGTGTGTTATCGGTGTTCTGTGAGTGTGTTATCGGTGTTATATCCGTCGAAACCTTCGATGGACCGTTTTGGAGCTTGAAAGGGCGCTGCCAAAGCGCTTGAAGTAGAGTGCATTCGATCTTTGGACTTGGACATGGTAGCCAAACTCCTTCGCTTCCTGGGGATTGCGGCCCTCGCGTCGCTCGCGCTCGCCGCCTGCCCCAACAAGTGCTCGGGCCATGGCACGTGCGGCCCCAACGACATTTGCTCCTGCCAGCAGAACTGGGTGAACGCAGACTGCTCGGGGCGGCAATGTCCTTTCACGCGCGCGTGGCAAGACACGCCGATGTACTCGGACGACGCGCACTACTACGTCGAGTGTGGCGGGCGAGGGCAGTGCGACCGCGCGACCGGCATCTGCAACTGCGAGGGCGACTTTACGGGCTCGGGCTGCCGCCGCTTGCGCTGCCCGGGCGACTGCAACGGTCACGGCACGTGCCTCTTCATCGAAGAGCTTGCGGTACTTTCGAAGGACCCTCGCGTCGGTGGTAAGGCGGGCACGACGTATACGCTGTGGGACCGTGAAAAGATCCAAGGTTGCCAGTGCGACCCGGGTTGGGAAGGCCACAACTGCTTGAGCCGCGTGTGCCCCAAGGGCGACGATCCGCTGACGGTGAACGACCCGGCGTACCCCGCGATCACGCAAGTGGAAATGAAGCAAGGGATTGCCATCTATGGCACCGGGACAGTCTCGATCATCCTCAAGTACACGGACCCGTACGGCAACATTTGGTCGACGAGCGCCATTTCGGGTACGAATGCTGACATTTGCGCAAACATCCAAACCGAACTGCGGAAGATTCCGAACCTCGCCCTCTTCTCGACAACGCTCTCGGGCGAGGGCCAAGTCACTGTATCGACAGAAAACATCGACATTTTCACGCGCTCGGCATCGGAGCCGGCAGTTGGTACTTACAGTATTGCCGATGCAGACGTGCTCGACGCGACCCGGCATTTTAATTTGCTCGCTACGTGCGTCGTTTCGTTTCCGGCCGGCCCCGGAACCTCGGGGTACCAGTACCCGCTCACGTGCGACGTCGCAGCCCATCCCTTGGCTGGCTCGCAACCGCTTCAAACGGCAGCTGCGGTACTTACCACCACCGCCTGCACTGTGCACGAGCACTATGCTGGCAGCTCTCTGAGCCCCGTGACGCTTCCCCTCACGGAGCTCGCCACCTGCTCCAACGTAAGTCGCACACGATTCTCCATCCGGTCACTAACCTAATGCCTATATGTAGCGCGGTGTCTGCGACTCGTCGCGCGGCGAGTGCCAATGCTTCACTGGTCACAAGGGTCTTGCCTGCGACCTTCAAGAAGCGCTGGTCTAAAGCAACACCAATCCATTGTTCCGTAATCATGTATATATACATATACCTTGTAAATGCTCGGTGCACACGCTGCCTCCGCACGAAGCTGACCCCTCGCCGCGCTCCTCTAAACAGCCCTGCCCCAAGCGCTCACTATGCTCGGGTACAGCTTCGAGAAGCGCCGTCCAAGGTGCGCCGACGACGACTGCAACTCGCACTGCTCGGCCGCCCGCATCTGACCCGTGAACGGATGCGCGAATCCGGATTAACCCGCTACATAGCTCTTTGAATCTCGGTGCTGCCAAGGCCATGGACCCCGGGGACCGACGTGCGTTGAAGTGACCGGAGACCGCGAGCGCTATGCTCGAGCGTGGATGGCACATAACGTTGCTGGCACCGTCTGTCCATCCACCGTACATTTACGTGCACGCAAAAGCAAATAGCAAGCGGCAGGATCAGCGCGCCACGTCATTACGTCCGGATACCATAATCTTGATCACACTATTCAGCAAGTCGTGATAATTGGTGTCGACGCGATGACGACCTCGGTCCTGGCCCGGATCGGGCGCTTACCGCCATGTGCATGGCTCGTCCGTGGCCTAGCGACGAAGAAGCCACCGATCGACCTGCGCGAAGAGGACCTCGATGAGTCGTTCGTCAAAGGCAGCGGAAAGGGCGGCCAAAAGATCAACAAGGTCCGCAACAACGTCTTCCTCAAGCACCGGCCGACCGGCCTCTTTGTGCAATGCCAGAAGACGCGATCGCTTGATGACAACCGCCGCGTCGCGCGCAAGCTCTTGGCCGCCAAGCTGGACGACCACTTTAACGGCGCGCAGAGCGTCCGCAGCCTCAAGATTCTCAAGCTCCAGAAAAAGAAGGCGAAGAAGAAGGCCAAGTCCCGGCAGAAGCACCTCGCCGGCTCCAAAGACGCCGCTGCTCACGATGTGGACGAAGACGACAACGACGACGACGAAGATAGCGATGATGATGAAGACAGTGACGAAGACAGTGGCGAAGACAGTGCCGACGACCACGACAGTGAAGACGACCCAGATGACACAGATGACAGTGCGCAAGACAAGGCCGCTGCAGCTGCACGCAAAGAGCAGCAGTAGCGTGCGGGTGCATAGTATTAAAACGAGAGATCGACGGGTTTTTCTTGCTTTTGGCTTCGCGACCCTTCCGGCGGGAGGTGCAAGTTCTCGAGCTTCAGCTTCCGCCGTTCGCGTTTGATACCGAGCTGGGCGTGCTCGAGGGCGTGGGACGTCACGGACTGGAGGCGCGCGAGCTTGTGGATGCAAAAGAGCCCAGAAAACTCCCTACGCTCAGAACCATCAAGCTTCGGAAATAAAATGGACGATAAATAGGGCACGTACTGGAGCTCGGATGGCACTTGTTGCAGGTCGCCGAGGAACGAGCTCACTTCAAAGGCGTAGTCGCCAATGTGTCGGAGTTGCGCGGCGAGCGACCGCGGGAACAAGTACAGCGGGATGCTCATCATGCACACCAGACGATGGCGGTGGCAGTGCAGGAGACCTTTGATCGCGCGCAGAAATTGTACGAGGGGCCCCGCGTTCGTGACATCGCTGTAGATGACGGGAGACCCGACGTCGCTGAGCGCGACGCGCACGACAACGTTGGGCGGCGTCGTCTCGAGGAGCGAGACCAGCTGGAGGTAGACGTCGCGGTAGGCCGTGCCGGGTAGCGTGCAGATCTCGACGCTCGTTTCCTTCATGTCGGCTGCCATAGGCTTGGAGAGGTCAAAGCTGTGGCAAAAGCGATGGCTACTACTGCTGGTCGTTGGCGACTCGGCGCTGTACTTTTCGTACTGCCACGCGATCGTGAGCTTGGATTGCACCTGCGCCTTGACTTGCTTTTGCGCGAGGCTGAGCTCCAACGGTAGAGACTCCAAGACGGCGCTGTCGGCGGCGACCGTGTGCGCGTTGGCCAAGCCTTCGGCGGCAAAGTACCGCAGGAGATCGGCGCTGTACGAGCCAAAGCAGGACGACTCGAGCAGTGTGAGCGACCCGAGAAGAAGACCGCCGCCGAGGAGCGCGTCCATCTCGCGCAGACCGCTGGACGTGAGCACTTGGTTGTTGATGAACGGCTTGGTGCCACGCAGCGGCGCGGCCGCGCTCGTCGCCCGCCGGAAGCTTGACATTGCACCAAGAACGCCACTGAGTGCAAGTGCAATGCGCAATCTTATTTTCGGCATTTGCCGCCCCTATCTGTTCTTGGTCGCGGCATCTTTTCTCTGCCGCGTGGTGGCTGACTGCAATTCAATCCGGGAACAAGTAGCCCAGTAGCCTGGACATGCCGGGCTGGAACCCTCGTCTGATCGACCTGTGCAACGTTGCTGCTCTTGTGGTCAGCGGTCTGTTTTCGGCATGCGGCAGATGTGCCGAATTTAGAGCATGGACCTTGAAAAGTTAAGCATACAAATGCCAAGATAGTACAAGTAGCCGCTGTTGTCGTGTAGGGCCAAGCAGCGATGCACGAGTCGGTCGTCATGTTCCTTGCGCCCTGGAGCGCGATCATGGGCCTGCTCTACCTCACGCCTCTCTCGACCTACATGGGCGCTAGCAGCCTCACGATCGTCTTCTTCATCAGCGCGATCCTGGCCCTGCAGTTCCTCGTCGTGAAGCGCTCCAACTACAGCAACGTCCGCACGACGCAGGAGCTCCACGTGCGCCGCAAGGTCCAACACGGTGCGATACCAATGCTTCATGCGGCGCTAACGCTGCATGTAGCGGGCACGGGCGTCTTGATCGTCGTGGCGACCTTTTACGGCTCGGCCCTCGAAGGTTTGTGCTCGCATCGCCGTGAGGCAGCCGCTCATGACCTCGTCGTACTAGCCGCAGTCATCTTGGCCATCTGCGCCTTGACGTTCTACTGTGTGAGCTTCATGCGTAAGCAGTCCAAGGCCGTCGACGCCATTTACCTGCAAATCTTTGGGCCGATCCTGCGCCAGCACGAAGTCGGTCACCGCCTGCCTGGTACGTCGACTGGGCAAGGCGACCTCCGCTGACCGCGATCACGCTTAGGCGCCTTTTACTTTCTCATGGGCTCGGCGCTCTCGTTCGTGTTATACCCCAAGTTCATTGCCCAGCTCGCCGTCCTGCATGTACGTTGCGACTGCCTCTTGTCTGTGAGAGCTTATTGCGGATGGTAGCTCTCGCTTGGTGACCCGTGCGCGTCCTTCTTTGGCATCACGCTGGGCCAACACTCGACCAAGCTATGGAACGGCAAGACCCTCGCAGGCGTCATTGGCTGTTTTCTCGTCTGCCTCCTTTCGAGTGTCGCCTTCCTCACCACGGCGACGCACGATGCAATCACGGACCTGAGCACGTTCCAGGTATGTCCTCCTCTTCTACTAGACTTGTAGTGTGAAGCATGCGCCTGGCTGTAGCAACTTCTCTTGATGGGCATGGCGGGCATTGCTGGCGCGATCGGCGAAGTCCTCAACGTCGGCTGCGACGACAACCTCTCGATGCCGCTGTTCTCGGGGCTCTTCATGACCCTTTTTTACCACGCAATCCTCGCGCTGTAGAAGACATGGTTTCTGCTTTGTACCACTTAGCTTAATAGAGTATATTGTGGCAACGGCCCCATGCCCTTGACGATGATTACAGCTCGTTCTTGCACGCGTTGCGATGTTGGTTAGAGTTGTGTTAGCGCGATGACGATGTTAAGCAAAACAGATTGGCGAGAGAAGTTAGTTTGGATTGGATTAGCGTAATATTTTAAGGTGTAGCGGAGGACCACGAACATCTTCTACGATGGCAGTAGGAGCGTCCGAGGTGGCCCAAGGCGTTGATGTAGCAGACTGAAAAATTGGAGACAATCATTTCCGGATTGAACACAGAGTGTAATCTGCAGGCTATTGTTATAAAGACGACGTCGTGGTAGATAGATCGATCAGAGAATTGTAGTCAATGTTTAAATCACGCTGGGATCAACATCAAGATTTTCCTCACTTCGAGCAAACAACGGTCAGACAAATGAATCAAGTGTAGAATGTAGGAACAAAAAGACCAGCTGCCTCATTGGAGGAGACTGCCAGTGAGTATAGTCCCGTAGCTCTTGCAGACTGAAAAATTGGAGACAATCATGGGAACGATTGAACACAGAGTGTAATCTGCAGACTATGCTATCACATACATGTGGCTCACAAAGTCAACCGCCCTTTGCAGAGCGTTGGAAGGTGTACGCGAGCACACCTGTCGACTTCATAAGCCTTCGCTATGTGCTGCGTTCTATGCCCATTTGATGACTAGGAACATCCCGCGGGTTGTTGGACGAGCGCACGACTTGCTACTCTTCTAGATGGCGACCGATGGTAAATTGCAAACTGACCACCTCTCACGGACTCGCCGCCAAACGACTGGTCGGGATCGTATCCGGATGCACCAATCAAATGGCTTCGCTCAACCCTTATCCTTTAATATACGAAGACCAACGAGTCTGAGAGGTATTACATTTGAAAGGGTGACGGTTTCGTGCGGAGGTTTCGCCACGCCATGGCCGGATGGCGGGAAGCAGCTCCGTCGACTTAGCAAATTGAAGTTGACGCAGCCACCGCCGACGTCGATACATTCCAGCATACTAGTGGCCAGTTGATCGTGGACGAAAAGAGGCCGGAAAAGCACTTGCACTCTTGCATTGCGGCAACGAGGCCACGAGGCACGAGGCGCGTAGTTTAGAGCGCCAGGCAACGCATGGGCCCCAAGCCCGCTTGTGGATTCACACTCTCAGGTTAGCGCTGTCAGGTATGTTTTCTTCTACATTTTGTTTACGTCCACTCCAAAGCGCTTGCAAACAACGACTGCAGCGAGAGCAAATCGCAAATTTCTGAAAACCTATCCAACAGATCCCGATCGCGCACGGGAAACTAGGGAATAAACAATGTTCCCTTGACGGGACACGACCAATGGGACGGCAGAGCCTGTCGGAATTGATATTACCTGCAAGAGCGCGTCGGTCGATCTTTCCACTTCTCGCCAGTTGCAAAGTTTGATTGATGTTGGCAGAGTGGACCACCGAGTCGTCCGTGCTCCTCGGCGTCAACACGACGCTGCTGCTGCTCATCGCAGCGGTCTTTGGCTTGAACGTCGCGCGCCACCACCGGAACCTCCACGACGCCTACTCGCAGGTCATTGTGCTGCGCCTCGCGCTCTCGTTTTTCATCTCGGGTGGCGCGTACTTTCTCAACTTTTTGTGGCAAATCATCTACCGAGACGAGACGCTGACCGAGATCCAAGAAGCGATCGGCCACTTTATCTCGGGCCTCCTCGAAGGCCTCGTGCTTCTCTCGTTCTTCGCGCTCCTCGTCGTTCAAGTCGGCGGCACGAGCCACGCGGTGCGCTTGTTTGCCCAGTACGCCAGCAACGGCGGCAATGACGCGGCGACGTCGATGGCGTCAGCGCAGAAGCACTACAGCGTCTACCGACGTATTTTGTGTCTCTTCGTTCTGGCGCGCCCGTGCATGGCCGTCGCGCTCTCTCTTCTGCACTCGAATTCGAATCCGACCAAGTCGATTCGCACCGTCATTGCGGTGTGCAACGTCCTCTTCCTCGTCGCCGCCGTCGCGTCTGTCGTGCGAACGATGCGGCGTCTCCGCGTCGAAATCCCGGCGTCGTTTCATGGCGCGGTCAAGTTTATCATTGTCAAGCTGCTACTGCTGCTCTCCGTCTTGCAGTGGACGGTCTACACGTACATTGACGACGACGCGAGGACGCCGTCGCACTTGGAGATTTACTGGACCGCGTGCATGCTCGAGGTGCTTCTTCTCTCGACCGCGTTCTACGTCGCGTCGGCGCCAGCGTCGTTCACTGCTGCCGACACGCCGAGGGTGCCCTTCTGGCGCTTCTGGGATGTCGCTGACAACCCGATCCGCGGCAGCAAGTCGGTCGACCGCCTTCCTGAAATGGAGTTCAGTCCCGCGCCGGCGACGCCGCAGCACCTCGTCTAAACACCCCTTGTGTCTCGAACATGACCTTGAAGATGAAGAGTCATGCCCCATGCGGTTGCAAAGTCTACGATAATGAAGAAACACGATTTGCTTTGTATGACAACTTCTTTGTGCGTACAACCCGTTCCGGGTCTTTGCCGCAACTGCCTCAACACTTGTCAGCCGACACGGGCGTGTCGAGCCCATGTGTGCAACGCCACGTACTCGTGCTTCTACCTACTTCGACGGACATGTTTCCTTGGCCTTGTACTCACTTGGCTCTAGGGGGACCGACGCGACGATGTACAAGCAACGACCGTCTGGGGTCTCGATCTCTTTATTCCGTGTAAAGAAACGAGTTTTGCGCGCGGCGGCGCATCGCGATCGACGCCCGCAGGCTGCGCGCCTTCGTCTTGTGCCCCGCGCGCTTATCGGCCGTCGACATCATATTGTACTTGGCTTGGCCGTGGCCGCGCACCTGGAAGATCTCGCGCAACACATCGTTCTGCATCAAATGCACTTGGAAGCCCGTTGCGAGTTCGCGTCGAAGCACGTCCGCCTGGAAGAGCCGGCCCCACGTGTTGATCTCGATGAGCTCGTCCTCGACGTGCATGTCCCGCTCTTGTGGTCCCATGCCTACGTGACCGATGCACCGTCTGTCGTACGCAGGCAGCTACACACCTGTTTCGAGCGTCTCGAGCACCTCCTTGAACGTCGAGCGCTGCGTCTTGCGGTTCTTCTTTCCGATCGTTTTGCCCGACTCTTTCATAAACGACTAGAAAAACCATCGACTTCCGCGCCTTCCAAGGCAAATATGATTGATACCTGGATCTTGGGAATGAGTCCCGAGATGGGACTCGACGACGACTCTTGGTCGTACGACCACGACGACTGGGCGATCGCGTACTTGTACTCGATGACGAGCGCCAGCGCCTCGCACGCCATGGCGCGCACCGTTGTGTCTTCGCCCGCTTGCACCATATTGACCAGCGCCACGATGTGGTCTGCGATGATCGAGCTCTGGTCGTAGATCATGGGCACGATCTGCGACGGGTTGAAGCAGCTGAGCAAGAAGGCCCAGCACTCGATGGCCGCGACTTTGAGCGTCGGGTCGTCGTTGAGCCCGTCGTCGCTCTCATCGCGCTGGTCGTCTTCGCTGCCAATGCTATCGTTATCGTCCTTCTCCACGTGGCGGCCCGTGAGGATCGAGCCAAGGAGCTCCAGCACTTCCCACTTGGGCTGGTCTTCGTTGGTGCACATAAACACGGAAATGCTCAGTGCGTAGACCGCCTCGACACGGAGCTCCGTGTCGCACTTGTCTGTGACCGTCCGGCGAAGCGGTTGCAGCACGCCTAGGACAGGATGCCGCTACACCATCGACCAACGCCATGCCCATCGTACCGTTATAGTAAGCCTCTTCGTCCGAGCCCAGCGTGATCGATACAAGGGCCAAGAAGCGCAAGCAGAGCACGGCCGACTCGGGATGACGCTTCTTCAAGCACGCCAACGCGGCCGTGACGAGCCGCGACTTGATGCTGCCCACTTCTTGCGTCAGCGCCGACGCACAGAGCAACACGTTCAGCTACAAGTCTTGTGGGTTCTCGATGCTATCCATTTCAGTGCGCGCACCTTCTCGAGAGCTGCGACCCGCGTCTCGTCCCGCTTCTCTTCGAGCTCTTCGACAAGGTCATGGAGCGCCTCCTTGGCGTCCTTGGACTTGCCGTGGCCGCCTTTCCATTCGTCGAAGCCGTCAAGCTCTGACTCGGAGCTTTCAGCGTCACGGTTGGTTAGGTTGCTCACCGCCTCGACCGACCGGACATCTTCCTCATCGCCGTCGTGGGCGAACGCATGGCGGAGGAGACGCTTCCCTTCCTAGAGGCTGCATGAGCCTCATGGAGCCATGGGCTTGGTCATGCATCTACCTCGCTCAGGCGCCGGCGATGGTGAGCGTCGAAGCGACTCGCTCCGTGATGCTTCTTGCCTGACTTGCCCATCTCGTCGTCCCAGTGTATTGCAAATCTGCGGATGGCATTTTGGATCGTTTCTGGTCCGGATACAAGTCTGCTGTAATCGGATGCGTGGTCATTGGTTTAGATGTCAGATTGAGGGCACATTTTAACCAATGATATCGCGCACTTTCGGATCTTGAGCCGGTGTCGTTGCTCGTCATGTCTCGCAAGGCTAAATGCTACGAGGGTCTCTGGTGGTTGACACAACACACGCAAGGAATGTCAACGTCGTGGAATGCATTGCTTTCGCTACTTTTTCTTTTTTCCCTTGCTCTTCTTCTTCTTCTCGAGCTCGAGCTTGGCTTGGAACTCGGCTTGCTTCCGCCACGCTGCTTGGCGCATGCGGTCGTCGTCCTCTCTCGCTTGGCGCTGGCGCTCGGCCTCCATTTTCTCCCGGTCACTGGACCGCTCCTTGGCGCGGTCGTCCAGCCATTGTTCCTAACGCCCATGAGCGCACCGATATATATATATATATGCTGGTAGCGTACATGCTCTTCTTGCTTTTTGCGGTCTTGGTTGCGCTTGCGCTCGCGCTCTGCCGCGTCCATTTGCCCTTTCTTCATGAGACCGCGCTTGCGCTGGACGACGTCGGCCGCGTCAATGTTCTCGGCGACGCGCTTCGAAATCAAGTTGGCGTCCGAGAGCGCGATCTTGTTGTTGCCAACGTCGAGGCAGAGAACCGTACTGTTGTTGTACAGCCCTTTCACGAGCGCCTACGATAATACAGCTCACATTTTCAAAAAGGCTATTGCTTGGCATCTCGGACCTTGCCGCCCTCGACGCCCAAGCGTGTGCGCCAGAGGTTCACGCTCGTCAGCGTCGCATTCTTGGCGAGCATCCCGCCAAACGCAGCAATGCCGGAGAAATCCGTCTCGTCCGCTGTCAGCGGATTGCTCTCCAAGCTCAAGTACGCGAGACCTACAGATAGGAACTTGAATCGACGCTCGCTCTCGGTTGAGTCACTGGACCTTCGTTCACCGCAAGCGCTGCCGCGAGCTCCTTCATGGTCGTCGGGCCAAAGAGGTTGCTCTCTGCCTCGAGCTTTTGCAGCGATGTGTTGCGTCGCAGGACGTTGGCAATCGCCTATACCCTCCATCCATAAAGAGCTCATCATCACGCGACGAATCTCTATACTTTTCCCGCCATGTCGTCGAGCTGATTGCCGCTCAGATTGAGCGCGCGCAAGCTCAAATTGAACGGCAGCACTTTGGAGAGGGCGCGGGTGGCAACCGAATTGACGCGGAACTGGGCTTCCATCGGCGTCGTATTGGCCTTGACAAGGTCCAGCCACACTTCGAGCTTGGGGTTGTTGGCGATCTCTTCGATCTCTTCGCTGAGCTCGGTCTCGCGCTGTTGCCGCTTGCGCTTGATGGTTTCGCGCAGATAGTTGCGTGCCGCCGTCTACAACGCACGCGATGAGCCCCTTTGCCAAGGCACGTGGAAGTCACTTGAATCTTTTGCGTCATGCGCGACTCGCGCTCCGCGCTGTGCTCGGCATTGAGTTCTTCTTGGAGCCGCGCGGCGTCGTCGTTGAAGAAGCCCTTGGGCTGAATCCCGCGGTCAATGAGCTACATGATGACGCTAAGCTGCCGTGCAAGGTCAATTCGATATACCTCGCGCCGAAGGTCGTTTTGGCCGAGCGAGAAGGCATCCACGGGCGTGCTGTCGTCGGGCGTCACCCGAGACATGATTGCCTCGCGCTCGTCCGGCGGGAGCTTCTCGAGGTCGATTTCGACGTCGTCATCAATGTCAAAGTCCATCGCGTCCATCCTAGCGTCTGAATCGGCGCCGGTAGTCTCGTGACGCTTGGGAAAGCACGCAAGGGCGGCGTCGTCTTTCTCTAAATATCCAACGTTTTGATTCTAGATCGCGCCTCCTCGACGCCCATTGGATGGATACGTACTTCGAAATCAAGCTCCTTCGTGTCATTGTACGAGTATACTCTGATCAGCGCTTCGACCGAGCGGTCGCCCACATATGAAGCGAGCGTCCATGGCCCTCGGCGAAGCACTGCTGTCGAGCGGGAATCTCGTGCATTAGGTAAAAGATGATTGCATCCCACTACAATTTGTAGCAACGACGCCTATTTGGACGCCGAGATGGAGGCACGCACAGCCGCATACACCGTGTTTCTTGCGCTTGAAAGAGGTGCCAGCGACCCACGCCGTACGCAAAGTAGTCGAAGGCCGGCGAGGACTTGGGCGACTGCACGATGGCCCATGTCGCCCAGTAGAGGTGCGACGCCAGTGCATAGACATTGGCTTCGAGTCGCAGTGCTTCGATGGCCATGTCGTCTGCGCTCTCCAAGTATGCGGCGCAGAACGCTCGCTGGTCGGCCTCGCTCGGGTACATGGCCACGTCGCCGACTTCGTCCGGCGGGCCGTGCATGAAGTAGCACCACTCGGTAAAGTGGTTGCCAATGTCAAAGCCGCGCGGGTTGTAGTGGCTGTACTCGAAATCGATAAAGACCACATCGTCCGTCTTGCTCGAGAGCATGATGTTGCTGCAGTTGAGGTCGTTGTGGCAAAACACGATCGGCGACGGCACGGACCGCAGGAGGTCCTTTAAGCGCGTCCACCCGAGCGCCCACGCGTCAAAGTCCACGAGTGCCGGCGTCACGACGCTCTGAGCCAGACGTAGCCACTCGTCAATCGTGTCAAGCAGCCGTGGAGCCCGGTCGATTGCAAGGTCGACACCGTGAAAGACGCGAAAGCGGCGCGCGACCTTTGTAAAAATCGCGGGCACTCGAAGGTCCGTCGCAGTTAGCGGTCGGCCGGCAATAAAGGTCTCGATGCGACCATTCTCAAAGGTCCCGACGAGCCCGAGGCTATCGAGATATGACAACATTAGCAGCCAAAAGAGGGTGCGTCATGATACTACCCAAGGTGCTGCTGGGAAAGCGCACGGTAGATGAAGAGCTCTTCGTCACGGTGCATGAACGCGTCGAGGCCGTGGCCATACACGCGAAGGATGACCGTGCTTGTGGCTATCGAGCAGGCAAACATCGTGTTGGATTGGCCGCCTACAGCAGGATGGAAGCGCGTCAAGGGTAGCGGCGACGCACCGTGCAGCTGCGAGATGGAGATCGCAGTCTCCTGCGCCCATCCAGGCACGAGCGCCTGGAGAAGATGGACGATGTCGTCCCGAAGACTCGACTCTGGCTGGGCGAGGCTCGCGATTCGTGCCGGGGTGATCTCAATGTGCATTGTCGCCGTGTGGTCGATTTGCCCGCGACGTCGCGGCGTTTGATTGGCTGAATCGGTTTTCCAATTACGTGTAGTCTAGCCTAGGCTACGACTGCACTAGCCTAGGCTTCGGACAAGGAACAAGCGTACGAGCGTACTAGTACTGTGCTACTGCAGTAAATTGGGCGAGGATTCGACCGTAGTTGCTCCTTGCTCGACACGGCTCATCACCAAGGGTCCTTCTTCTGCTGAGCGGCCTTTTCACGGGCCTTGGTTTTACACAAACACTAAATTCGAACCAACACTATATCAAGTGGCCGGTGCGATCCAAAATCCGATTGACGATGGGCCTGCAAGGAGCAGTCGATGAGGTTGCGGCGGCGCTGGCCGCAGCCCCGCGCTGGACGCTGTAGCATCGTTCGCTTCTGCGGTCCACGAGGTCCGTCGCTAGACGCACATCTATTGCTGCTCATCGCGGAATGCCATAGCTGCCACACAACGCGCCAAGCGATCCGACTACGACAGCTATGCGAGCGCTTCTGGCCGAGATCGCCGACGATCCCGTGGGAGCTACGGACGCGATAGCGAAGGCCCATCTTCCCCCACCGCTTGTGGCTGCGATCTTACGCCATACAACAGAGCTGCAAGCCAAGACGCCTGGTGCGGCCATTCCGCACCTGCACCGACTGGACTGGTACACGGTATACGAGTTTGTATCTATGAGGACGACGTCTGCGCTGTGTAGGCGAGTCGATATTACCGTTGCAACAAGCTCGATTGCGCCCGTTTGGCAGCCGACAGTGGTGCTCCGCTTCCGAATGACTGACGGTAAGATCCGCGTCACGGAGCTACCGCTGCAGCAATTCCATGAGCTGCGCTACAACACGGCCAAGGTACCCAAGCCGCTACGTCCAGCAATCCTACAACTCGCCACGCACAATACAATGTAGATCCTCCAAGAGATGAATCAGCTCGAGCGCCACCCGATCATGCGACTGACGCAGAACGGCCAAACGAGCATGTGATCCGCCGCTCCAGGCCGAAGCTGCACAAGATATCATAACCAGATGAGATGAAGCATCGACTGTGTTGCGGCGGGTGGTTGAGTGACATGCGTCGGGATAGCCTTCCTGGCACCTCCTAGACGCTGATTGCATGGAATCAAGGGTCAATGAGATGGTCCTCCTTGTCTACCTTTGCCCCAAAATGGATGGATACGCTCATAGCGGGGTTCAAATAGCTTATATTAGTCGACAATATCACATACACACATACGCCCAGACCTAGACGGCGTTCTGGCGCTGGCTGTGGAAGGCCGCCCAGCGACACTTGGCGTACGCTTCAAAGTCAAAGTCGATCGTCGACTGCGTCGCCTGGATAAAGCCCCACAGCGACCAAAACAAGTGCGTCGCCAGCGCATACGTGTTGGCTTCCGTCCGCAGCGCCTCCACGTCCGCCGCCGTCGGCGCGCCGTCCGCTTCCAAGTACGCACGGCAGAACGCCCGCTGCTCGTCCACGCTCGGATACGCTCCAAAGTCGCCGAGGTGCGGCGTCTCGCCGTGGTAGTTGTAGCACCACTCGCTAAAGTGGTTGCCGAGGTCGTACCCGCGCGGGTTGTAGTGGCTGTACTCGAAATCGATAAAGACCACGTCGTCCGTCTTGCTCGAGAGCATGATGTTGCCGTACTGCAAATCGTTGTGGCAAACACGACCGGCGACGGCACGGCCGCCAGCATCGTCTCGAGCGTGCCAATGTCCTCGGCAAACGCGTCAAAGTCGACCGAGATGGATGTGGCGGCAGCGACCTTGGACTTGGCGTCGCGAAAGAGTTTGTGGATGTTCTTGAGGATGCGCGGGTGGCGGTCAATGTCGACGTTGACGTCGTGGAAGGCGCGGAACTTGCGCGCAATCTTGGTCGAGATGAGCGGGTCGCGGATGTCGGCGGCCGTGCACGTGGCGCCGTCAATCATGGTTTCGACACGGCCATTGTCAAACTCGCCGAGGAGGCCGACGCCCAGGTCAAACTGCGAGAGTTGCTGGAAGACGTGCATCTCTTCGCTGCGCTCAAAGAACGCGTCGGTGCCTGTGCCGTAGATGCGCAGGAGCACCTTGCGGTTGTGCTGCGTCTTCTTTTCGCACGCAAAGATGACGTTGGTCATGGCGCCGCTGAGGTGCTGGATCGTCACGTCCGCCGGCGACACGTTCTCCCAGCCCGAGACGACGCAGCCGAGCGCCTTGGAGATCTCGCGGCGGAGGAGCTCGGGCTGGTTGTCGAGCGCGTCCGGGATGTCGACGTGCATCGCGATCGAGACGTTGCTCGAGTCCGCGCGGAGGGTAGTGTTCGGGGCCATGTGAGCTCGACCAGGCAAATTCGGAAATGACAAGAAAAGAATGCTGGGTTCGGCTCTCCTTGGCTGTGATTCGTCGAGCGACCGACCGAGAGTGGGACGGTATTGCCACCTGCTGCGACGTCGTCCAGGGCGATTTCTTGAAGTCGGTGCTTTATTGGGCCGTTTTAATGCATTAATGCACCAGAGCGCTCAAGGCACCGTACAAAGTGGCCTAGCTACTACACGTGCGTGATCCATTCTGTCGACTCGGTTCACCTCCCAGTCTCGCGCAAGCGGAGGGATCTCTCCGACAGTTCTGACGTCAGAGCGTCGCGAGGTCGATGTTCTCGAAACCTCGATCCGTTGGGTGGTGGTATGTGCGCGTACATGCAGGATTCCATGGCCGATCGTGCTCCAGGTACCAATGCGTGTCTGGCTCAGATCGAGCGTCCGACGGCCGCGAGACAGGACGTCGATCAACAAGGTGTGGGATTGCCTTACTGTTAGTTCGAGCACTGGATTTGATTGCTTCCGTTCCGCTTTGCTACCTTCTCGCCGTCTGCGGCAACGTCTAGCGACGAGACTCGTTGCGTTATTCGCTCTCGGTGGCCAAAAAAGCCAGCGGTCAATCACGACCCACGATGGCGCTTCAACCCAAGTGTCGACTCGACGCAGACCTGGCACCCACCTGCACGTCGTGAGAACACCGTCTTGCCGCGGACGGACGCGACGGTGGCATCCACGCTCCACCTCCTCGCATGACCTTGCATCGCGCGCTGCTGCCTCTATATCACCTGCCCAACGAACGCAAACGCAAGGAATGAATGGCGTGCACGGCTCATCGATGGCCGCCTCCATGCTGCTCCAAAACTTGAGGCTGTCCACAGTATCTTGGTTTCTTCCATCTGTTTTGGCATTTGGTCCAGAGCGCGGTGAGAAACATGTGAGAAACAGAGTGTTTAAATCCCACGTCACGCGAAAAAAGAACCCTGGTTCCGAATCGCACCACGTACGTCCTACGGCGAGGAAGCGAAGAGCGGTACGTACTCCGTGGACGTCAGCTTGCACACAAGCTCTTGCCGTTGCCGCCACCATGCACCACTTTAGGCAATCAAGCGTTCTGTCGGTCCGCAGGTTTCTTACAGTAAGGTTGAATTCAAACATGGTAGACGATCGCGATCGTGGTCGTCATCTTTTGGGACTATATTTGGGCTCTTCTCTGGGTCTCCTAGTTCAAGGGTCTGGCGACGGCGAAGCTGCTTCGGTGTCAACAGCCGGCGACAAGCGGCTAGCGCGCGACGGCCGACAATTACCACGTATGTGAAAAACGTGGACACCACGAATGTGATAAACGTGAAACACACACAGGTGGATTAGCGTCCCTCTTTTTGTCAAATGGACGACTCTGCCATTTGCGACGCCGAGATGCCACTGTAGTATCCACTCGCCTACGTGGAAAGCGCTGATTGGTCATCTGAAATGGCGCGATTTGACTGGTGCAATCTCAACGCGCCTTTCCCATTTTTCTTGAAGGATCGCCCAAGTTGGGTTCCAATCGCCTTTTCCTTCGGAAGTTCCCGCCTTGCAGTCACTGAGTCATGGCTAAGAGCGACGCGCCCCCCTCGACGCTCAACGTCACGTCCTACTTGAAGGCAGCTGCCTCCTTTGAGCGCGAGAATGAAGGTCTTCGCCGCCAGGTCGCAGGGGCCCTCTCCACCACCGTCGCTGGCTGGGCCAACGTTGCGCTCGACGACATCACGATCACGCATTTGAGCGGTATCAAAGCGCATTGGCTTGCAATAAGAACCTTATTGGTACGTGATAGGTGCCATGACCAACGTCATCTTCGCGTGCGAGAAGCCGTCGTCGCCCAACAAGAAGGTCCTGCTACGCGTCTACGGCCCTGGCACGGACGCCTTCTTCTCCCGCGGCGAAGAAACCCTTGTCTTCCAGCAGCTTTCCGAGCGCGAGATGGGGTACATCCATTCACAGAGCCACCCGAGATGCAGTTAACAGACTGCGACCATGTATAGTGTTGGTCTCCTTGGCGAGTTTGACAATGGCCGTGTCGAGACCATGATTGACGGCGCCACGTGCACGGCCGCCGACATCCGCGACCCGCTCATCTCGACCAAGATTGCGCGCAAGTTCCGCGCCTTCCACGACGTCAACGTCGACATTGACCGCCACCCGCGCATCCTCAAGAACATCCACAAACTCTTTCGCGACGCCAAGTCCAAGGTCGCTGCCGCCACATCCATCTCGGTCGACTTTGACGCGTTTGCCGAGGACATTGGTACGCTCGAGACGATGCTGGCGGCCGTGCCGTCGCCAATCGTGTTTTGCCACAACGATTTGCAGTACGGCAACATCATGCTCTCGAGCAAGACGGACGACGTGGTCTTTATCGATTTCGAGTACAGCCACTACAACCCGCGCGGGTACGACCTCGGCAACCACTTTAGCGAGTGGTGCTACAACTACCACGGCGAGACGCCGCACCTCGGCGACTTTGGAGCGTATCCGAGCGTGGACGAGCAGCGGGCGTTCTGCCGTGCGTACTTGGAAGCGGACGGTGCGCCGACGGCGGCGGACGTGGAGGCGCTGCGGACGGAAGCCAACACGTATGCGCTGGCGACGCACTTGTTTTGGTCGCTGTGGGGCTTTATCCAGGCGACGCAGTCGACGATCGACTTTGACTTTGAAGCGTACGCCAAGTGTCGCTGGGCGGCGTTCCAGACCCGAGCAACGCTGCGCGTCGAGTAGGTATTGATAGCTCAAACAGGTCTTCTCTAAATTGCTAAGTTACTTTTTCAAATGCTGAAACATGCCCGATTTGTTGAGGTAGTCGCGCAGGTACATACTGCCAGAAGCAAACGTCGAGAGCGCGACCGAGCCACTACAAACACAGAAAGGAGGTGAGTTCGGCCCATAAATAATGACCAGGTAATGAATGACGTGGCAGACATACAACATGACGTTCATGGCCAGGTCCCCCGGCATGTGAAAAGCGGCGTTGAGAAGCGCGCCACCGAGCGTTGCAAATTGCAGCGCTGTGTTGGCCTTGGAGAGATTGCTCGGGTTGACTTCAAACGACGTGAGGTCGTCGGTCTGGAAAAATGCCGAGCTGTTCGTCTTTGTGTGGTATCGATGGTAGAGCGTGCCACCAATGAGCAGGAGGTCCCGACCAAAGATCACAACGATAAGCGGCAGCGGCAGCAAACCCGCGTAGCCCATGCTCACGCACAGCGTGCCGACCATGACCTTGTCGGCAAGTGGATCCAGAAATGTGCCCACGATCGTCTAGCCTTGCGATTGAGTCTTGGCAAAGGCAATGCACATGCATATATATACATACCTTTTGGTTGAGCTTCCGGGCGAGGTACCCGTCCAGCCAGTCGGAGAATCCCGCCGCGCCAAGCACTATTTTTGATGTGACGTGGCGCGCGACAAAGACGCAATCCATTACCTCCAATCGCAGCAGGATAGCTGCCCGAGACAATGAGGTAGCCAAGGTACGGCGTCGATAGAATCCGAGTGAACGTGATCGCGTTGGGCAGTGTCACCACTTGGTGCGGGTCGTTCGCCTTCTCTTTCGACGGCGGTGCTGCATGCAGGAAGCGGGCGAGCGCTGGGCCAGAGGTCGCCGTCACCTGCTTCGACAAGCGCGGCGTAAGGAGCTGCCGCGCCTTGGCGAGGCTCAGGCGGCGCGAGAGCATCGTCGCCATTGTCGGAATGCTGTGGGCCTCCATTTTGGCCAATCAGTGTTGTGTCAACACCGGACGGCCAATCAAGTGAAACGTCTCGAACAAAAATGCAACAATATCCGCACGTTTGGGCCAATGGAACGCCGCCGTACAATGCACCGTCCAACTGTGTCATCTCGCTTCGGCCAATCAAATACAGCAGGGATTTGAAATGGAGAACAACGAGGCGTAGGCTATTTGCACGCGTCTTAGAGCCTTTGGATGACCATCCTACAACGCGGGCGCGGCATATCATAGGAAGATTTGCATAGAAGATTGATTACCGACGCACTGATGCGTAGTACATGGTGCTTGACATGGCCAACGTGGCGCCTTTGATCTGTCGCAGGCTTCTTGGTAGCCGCTGGAAGCTCCAAAGGACCACCGCGGCAGTCATCTAATCTGGCTGTCCTGTCAATACTTCAAACGAGTCACTTTCTAGAAAACGCGGAGATTGTTGCGTGTTTTCAGCCAATGTAGACGGGCCATGTCGCATTGTGCCAAAGGCATGGTCTTTGTCGCACTATTCGACTTCAACCCAAGACAACATCATCATGTTGGCTGCCCGCAACGTTGCGCGCCGTGCTCTCCACGCTCCACGTCATCTTGGCTTGAGCTGGCGGCTGCTAAGCTCACAGGCAGCCCTTGCGGAAGTGGACCAACGCTTTACAGTCGAGCTCGCGGCCCTCGACCAACCCGAGCTGCTGCGCGCCAACATTACAAAGGCCTTGAACGCTATCGTACCAGGCTGGGAAAAGGCAGCGCCAAATGATGTCGCGCTGACGCACCTCAGCGGTACTCCTCCAATGCCAAGCTCGGCGGTGTTTGCATCATTCATCGATAGGAGCGATGACCAACGTCATCTTCACGTGCACGAAACCAACACCAGTCAACTCGGAGGTGCTCCTCCGCGTCTATGGCGCGGGCACCGACAGCTTCTTTGAGCGGAATGAAGAAATGCAAGTCTTTCAAGAGCTCTCGCGCTACGAGCTCGGGTACGACGACGATACTCTCTTATCGCTCATCATGTCACGGCGTGTAGAGTCGGCCTCCTCGGCGAGTTTGACAATGGCCGTGTCGAAACCATGATTGACGGCGCCACGTGCACGGCCGCCGACATCCGCGACCCGCTCATCTCGACCAAGATTGCGCGCAAGTTCCGCGCCTTCCACGACGTCAACGTCGACATTGACCGCCACCCGCGCATCCTCAAGAACATCCACAAACTCTTTCGCGACGCCAAGTCCAAGGTCGCTGCCGCCACATCCATCTCGGTCGACTTTGACGCGTTTGCCGAGGACATTGGCACGCTCGAGACGATGCTGGCGGCCGTGCCGTCGCCGGTCGTGTTTTGCCACAACGATTTGCAGTACGGCAACATCATGCTCTCGAGCAAGACGGACGACGTGGTCTTTATCGATTTCGAGTACAGCCACTACAACCCGCGCGGGTACGACCTCGGCAACCACTTTAGCGAGTGGTGCTACAACTACCACGGCGAGACGCCGCACCTCGGCGACTTTGGAGCGTATCCGAGCGTGGACGAGCAGCGGGCGTTCTGCCGTGCGTACTTGGAAGCGGACGGTGCGCCGACGGCAGCGGACGTGGAGGCGCTGCGGACGGAGGCCAACACGTATGCGCTGGCGACGCACTTGTTTTGGTCGTTGTGGGGCTTTATCCAGGCGACGCAGTCGACGATCGACTTTGACTTTGAAGCGTACGCCAAGTGTCGCTGGGCGGCCTTCCATAGCCAACGTCAAAACATTGTCTAGCTTGCATCTCTATTTTATCAATTACTTGTAGTTTATCGTTGGTGCCTCAGAACTCATTTCCACCATGGACCCCGTAGCGTCGGTGGTGGAGAGAATACTGGATCGCAGTGCTACGGCTTGGGTAGTGTCTGCTCGAGAAGAGCAGCTTCGGCTTCGAGCTCCTTGTTCTGACGCTTCTGGGCTTTGGTTTGGAGCGTCGAGAGGAGACCGCTCATGGTGACGATTTGGTTGCGAATCTCGCGCACACCAAGGTTCTCTTTGGAGCTCAGTAGGTGCAAGATGGGGTGCATGCGCATGTACTTTTGAACGCTGGCTTCGGCCGTCGCGATCGTCTTTTCAAGGGCCGACGTCGAGAGCGCGTCGACCTTGGTAAAGACAACCTGGAAGTCCGTGTCGAGGTCTTCCATGAGGTCCATAAACTCCTGATCCACGGACGTGATGCCTCGACGACTGTCGATGAGCACAAACACTACACGAGATAAGAGGCAATACTGAACAGACGATGCCACGTACCATGCTTGAGGTTGCTGCCCGTGCGATGTTTGATGTAGCGACCGACAAGGCGATGCCAATCGTCCACCATCGACTTGGGCGCTTGTGCAAAGCCATACCCTACATACATTCGTGCATGAGGAACCGGCATCTTCGGCATGGGAGCACTAGATACCCGGCATGTCGACGAGTGCAATGTCGGGTTGGCCGCCGGGCTTGCCGCCCACCGACACAAAGTGCAGCTGCTGCGTCCGGCCAGGCGTCTTGGACGCCTTCATGATCGTCGACGACGTCAGCGCGTTGATCAGCGACGACTTTCCGACATTCGAGCGCCCGGCAAAGGCGATTTCGGGGACGTCGCCACCCGGTAGGTCGGCTTTCTCGCTCGAGCTGAGGCTGGCCATGCGCTGCGACTCGAGGGCCGAGAAGACGCGCTTCACGAAGGCTTCCTCATGGGGCTTAATGGACGGAGGCAACTCGACGTCCTTGAAGAGCGACCGGAGGGCGCGGAAGTTGGTGCTCGATCCGCGCTTCGCCATCGAGCCAAATTCAAGTGTGCACGCCGCGATGCCATTGGTCGATTCGGAATGGATTGCTTCTTCTTTTCGGCACGGATTGTTGGAGATGCCACATTTAACGCTGCTTGAAGTTTGTATGGGCTGGCGACAGGGGCCAGGATTTTGGCTTGAGAAACATCATGAGCTCGGACGAAGGGAGCGAGTACGAGTATGAGTACGAGAGCGACTATGGCGGCTCCCAGCCCGACGAAGGCGAGGAAGAGATGATCGACGAGACGGCCGTCAAGATCGAGGTACATGACGTCGCGAGACGATGGGGCTCATGGCGGTACCTAGAACACCTTCTACGAGGCCGACGACTGCAAGAACTCGGACCCGACCCGCGCCCTCCAGCTCTTCCTCCAGGTCGTGTCCCTCCAGAGCGAGTCGAACTCGAAGGAGAAGGACCACACCAAGTACCGCTTCATGTCGCTCGAAAACATCGTCAAGCTCTGCGCGCACCTGGGCAAGCCGGACGAGATGGTCGGTCACTACGCCGAGATGCTCCAGCTCCTTCCGAACGTCACGCGCAACGAGTGCACGGACTCGATCAACAGCATCCTCGACATCGTCTCGTCGCTCTCGGCCACGATCATCTCCAAGATGTACACGATGACGCTCGACGCGCTCCGCGTCGCGAGCAACGACCGCCTCTGGTTCCAAACCAACATCAAGCTCGGGAAGCTCTACCTCGAGCTTGGCGACTACGCGCCGCTGCACCGCGTCTTGGAGGAGCTTCATGCGTCGTGCAAGCTGCCCGACGGCTCGGACGACACGAGTAAGGCGACGTCGCTCCTCGACGTCTACTGCTTGGAGATTCAGGTACTGCACCGTGGATAAACCCCATTGAAACTTAGGCGTGCGCTAGCTCTGCACGGCCACGAATGACACAAAGAAGATGAAGGTGCTGTACCCAAAGACGCTCGGCTTGGACGCGGCAATCTCGGACCCACGCATCATGGGGTAAATGGACGTGTTCAGAAAGGCGCATGCTGACATTGTCATCAGCGTCATTCGCGAAGAGGGCGGCAAGATGTACATGAGCGAAAGCTTGTGGATGGATGCGTACAACGAATTCTTCGAGTCGTTCCGCAACTACCAGGCACGTCGACATGGGCTGCTTGCAGTCGCCTCATGTTGTCGCTGCACTTAGGAAGCAGGCAATGCTCGCGCCAAGCAGTGCCTCAAGTACGTCGTCCTTGCCAACATGCTTGCAAGCTCGGACATCAACCCGTTCGACTCGCGCGAGGCCAAGGTCTTCAAGGACGTGGATGAGATCAACGCGATGTTGCTCCTTCGTGCTGCGTACGACAGCAACGACATTCAGCAGTTTGAGAAGATTCTCAAGAACCCCAAGAACCAAATCAGCAGCGATCCTCTCATGAAGCGGTACGGCCAAAGTATGATATTTTCTTGCATTTGAGCATGCATGCCGATTCAGGTATTTGAACCCGCTCCTGCGCAACATTCGCTCGCAAGTCATCTTGAAGCTCGTGGGCCCGTACCAGTCGGTGCTCTTGTCATCGATCGCTAGCGTACGACTGCACACGTCCCAAGCGTATGGTTTGAAGAGTCTTGTAGGACATGAACATTCCGGTCGAAGATGTTGAGCTGCTCATGGTTGAACTCATCAACGACGGGCGCCTGCACCGTAAGATCGACCAACAGCGCGGCGTGCTCTTCAGCCAGGAGCACCAGCGGTACTTTTTTGAGAAAAGCAGGAGCATGGCTCACACAAATGGGTAGGTCGCGCGAGACGAACGTCAAGACGGTTGAAGCCCTCGCCAAGTGGACTCAGGCGCTGCAGCAGCTGAACGCGGGACTCCAGAACCGCCCGACGAACGTCAAGTCGATGTGAGATGGTTCGTCTGGAACACTACACGTATTGGATTACTTGCGTTTCGATTCTACGACGCGGTCGGCCACAGGCGCAATAGTTGTATCGAGTCTAAAACGCCGTTGCATGGATCGTCACCTACGCATGAAGATGAGGCTTGCTGCATTCATGCCCTTGTTGAGATACCGTGGGAAACTCGAGGTCATGGCGGCTCTGGATGAGCTTGAGCTCGCCTACAAACAAAAGTGCAGAGTCGCAGCGTGAAAGCACGCGTCGTACGGTTCGCAGATTGCGCAGCCGACGTGCGCTTGAGAACGGCTTGGATAGACGCAACAATGTTCTCGACAGCCGCCTTCAGCCCCACATCGGGTTTCGAGAGCCACCCAAGGAGGAGCGCAGCAAAGAGGTCACCCGTGCCCGAGTAGTACTCCTGGAGGCGAGGAATTTCCATCTTGAACTGCTGGAAGTCTGTGCCTGAGATCTTCTCGCTGGCATAAATGAAGAGCGTCTCGGCGTCGTCGCTGGTGAGGAAGCTGCTAATGACGACGATCTTGGGCCCCATGCCATGGAGGTGGCGACACGCTTGGATGACGTCCGCGTCGCATGTCATGGGCAGACCCGTCAAAAGCTCGCACTCAAACTACACCACCAGCTGAGCTGTCGTCGCAGAGCGAACCAAGTCGTACCTGGTTGGGTGTCACAATGTCGGCCAGCGGAATGATCTGGTCGCGGTAAATGTCGACTAGAGCATCAGAAGTGAGCGACGCCGGTAAGCTCCAGACGCGGACCGAGCTCGCGCGGGACGTAGAGCTTGTTCTCATCGCCCATGACGGGATCACACACGTAGAGCCTACGACGCTGCATGAGATGAACTCCAGCGGTGTAGTTTGACGACGCACGTGTCCTTGTTCTTGGCGCGGAGCTTCGTGAGCGTGTTGACGATGGCGTGGGCCAAACCGGGGCTGCCAATGTAGCCCGTCAAGAGGTGCGAGTAGTTGAGCAGGTCGTTCTCTTCGAGGCCCAAGACAACCTCCTCGAGCTGTGCTGCGTCCATGCGCTGCCCGCGGAACTTCTTGTAGCCCGTGTGGTTGCTCAGATGCACCTGCATGCATCGTCAAGCGTACTACTCGCATGATCGCGTGTTGTGTACCGTGTTGAGGACGTCGACCTCGACGCCGAGGAGCTGCAGCGGGAAGACGGCGCTGCGGTTGCCCACGTAGCCATGGACAACGTGGGATTGGATCGAGAGCACGCGGGCGTCCGTCATGGCAAAATGTTGAAAACACTCCGTATGTGTTGCGTGCCTTTAGCCAGTGGCGCCGTGTGAAACGTGCGGTTGTCAACTGGAGTCTTGCGATTTGTATGCACGTGGAAAAGGCAGCCGGGATGAAATCGCGGTGCTTCCTCACCAGCCTTCGCAGCGTTCCCACGCACGCACCACGTGAAGCGCTTCAAGGTTCTGCAAGAGCACTAGGTCCCTTGAGCAAACACATTTGCCTCTGTCAAGAGCGTCGTATTTTATAATGTTAGATAGAGACCGATCAAGCGGTGTGGAGCCATCGTGCGTCAGACTGGGTGCGTCGACGGTGCACAGACAATGGACCTAACGGTATTGTCTTTCAAGGCAAGAGCATCGTCGCAGGCGTTGATGTATTTCACAGTGCTACACACTGGTGCTACACTACGGTCATATCTCGCGCGTCAGCGCACAAGGCGCCACTTTGATGTGGCGTGCGTTTAGCCATCGACCGCGTCCGGATATAATATGCATTGTGACAGGTCTGTCTGGATAGAAAGATATGAATTCTCGGAGGTAATTGGGTCAATTCTATGGTGGTGGAGCCATTCCACAGTCAGTTGAAAATCACGAAGATGTTGGGTCGTTTGACGCAGGTTACTCGCGCGATGAAGCCGGCCGGCTCGCGCGGCATGGCGGGCCATGCCCACTCGGGGCCCCCGCCGACGGGCATCGAAGCGGTCATCCGCTCGAAGCTCCCGGAGGACTACCAGGTACACACCACGCCCATGCATCCTGGCGGGATGTCGACGCTCATGCGAACGACATGTAGATCGTCATGGCGACGCTCGGTATCTACACGGTCCTCACGGCGCCTTTGTGGTTCCCCAGCGGCAAGAAGGAAGCCCCCAAGGTCGAAGCCGTCGCGGCGCCGACCTCGACGACCTCGGTCATCCCGTCGATCATCGACGACAGCTTTGAGGAGTGGGCCAAGGTCGCTGGCAACATTGCCAAGTGGGAGGAGAGCCTCAACACGATCGGCCAGTAAACAAGAAGACCGCCGTCCATTGTCTCCATATAAACTACAATGACCACTCTGCTCGTCGTTTGATGTCATCGGGCGCCTTCTAGATGATCGAGACAGACTCTCTCTTCTTCATTACTATCTACATATCGCCAATCGTGCCAAACTGCTCGTAGCCGTCGCCACGGAGCCGCTGGCAATGCATCGGCTCGTAATGGTCGCCGCCGCGGTCGCCGCCCGTCATGCGCATGAGGATGAACCACGGCGAGAGGCCCTTCTCGCCCGTGTGCCGCTGGCTCTGGGATAGCGAGAGCGACGGGTCGAGCTCGTGTGGCCGGTGCGGCAAGAAGAACATTTGACCCATGCCCACGAGCACGACAAAGATATCGCGCTGGAAGGCCGTCGCGAGCGACTCGAGCACAATGTCGTCGCCCACGCGACCCGCCGGTTGTCCGGGTCGTTGTCGATCGAGACGAGGCCGTGACGCGAGTACGTCATGCAAATGAGGAAGTGCTCGTTCGCATCAAAGTCGCTGCCGACGCACATGTACTTGCAGTACGTCTCGACGTTGAGCACGGGTTGCGCGTGCTCCGAGTAGACCATTTCCGCCGCTTTCGTCCACGAATACCCGCGGTCTTGGAGCTCGTAGATGCGCGCGACGAACCAGTCCTTGTCCGCGCGGGGTGCCACAAAGCGGCGCGCTTGGGTCGGGCTCACGCCCCACCCACCCCGCAAGTCGGGGTAGTACAGATTGCGGATCGTTTGATCCATCTTGGCCTTCTCTTCATGCGACGACGAAGCGTACCGCATGTAAAAATGCTTGGCGGCTTCGTGGCGGAGTCGCGACGGCGACAAATGCTCGACGCCTTCCGTGTGGATCGTGAGCTGCTCCATGCTAAGGAAGAGACAGTCGCCGAACGGCAGCACCGGCGCGAGATACTTGACGCTGTACGCCGTGTCGTGGGGCTCGTACGACACGCCGTGCTCTTCGAGCTGGCGCAAGCACTCGCGGCTCTCACGGTCCAAGCTCGGGCACTTGGACCAGCCCATGCCCACCGTGTGCTTCTTCTGCGAAAACGGCATGACAAAGTCCTCGTCTTCCGTCACAAGCTGCACGTGTTGCTTCTGGCGCGGTGTCAGCAGCATCATCGAGTCCGTCAGACCGCCCATGAGGCTGTAGGTCGAGAATTGTAGCAGGCGCGAGTCGAGGAAGGCCTGCGCTGTGTTGATCGTATCATTGTAGTCGTCGAGCTTCTTGATCTCGGTCGACGACCCGAGGCTAGGCATATATGGGATGGCCTCGTCCGCATCGGGGATATCTTCGACGATGGGCTGCATGGCCGGCTTCTTCATGGCGACGACGCCCGTGCCCGAGGCCGAGAGCACCGGCGCCGGCGGCGGAAGGTGCAGGTTCTCGGCGCCGACGAAGACGTAGTCCTTCTCCTCGTCGACGGGCGGCGCCGGCTTCACGGCAAGGAACGCCTTGATCGCTTCCGGGATCATCATGGCGACGCGAATTTTATGGAAATGGACAGAACATGCCAAGGCCGACGCTATTTTATTCCGCAACCGACTCGTCCATACTAATATCAAGCTATAGAATAAAATGGAACCATGCAATTCAGCTAGAAATAGATGCACTACATTTATTCGGATGGCGATTGGCCCATTTCACGACCAATCAACGGCGGCGGCAACGGATCTTGCCCAGAACGACAAACTCACAGCATGGGAACTCGCGCCTGCTGCGCAGCTTGCACCCCGAAGACAGCTCGGCCTTACAACCGCCATGTACAGCATACCCCCTGGGATCGACAATCGACGTCTCTGACCTACGCACGAAGCCTGGTCCGCCACAACTTCAACGACAGGGATGACAGCGCCAAAGGCCTTTCTTGAAGCAGCTCGCTCCCACCTACCATTGGAGGTTGCCCAAGATTTCGACGCTCCCACCAACGCCGTGCGCTAATAAAAACAACTTGGACGCGGATCCGTGGTGCCGTCTAGGAACTCGATACAAAATAGCACAACAATTCTTGCAGCCAAGACGGAAGAAACGCAGGTATTCAGGTCGACGCAGGTTGACGCGCCGACGCACGCGGCCTCTTTGGCGTGGCACACGACCAAGAAGCTCGGCAGCCTCTTCGACGACGCGGCCGATCTGCGCGCTCGGAAGCGACTGGCGACAACGGCGTTCAACAACATGTGGAAAATCTGGATGCGTCGCGGCCTCATCTCGGAAGGCAACCGTGTGCGGTTGTACAAGTGCTACGTGCTCCCGGTCCTTTTGTACAACTGTGGCACGTGAGCATCAATGAAATCGCCAAGGTGGTGGGGCGCTCGCGCTGCGCCGTACGCCATATGCTCCAAGCCGAGGACCCCTTCAATCGGCCTCCGAAGAAGCGCACCTGCCCGAAAATGTCAGTGCGCAGCCTACGCCGCCTTCGCGAGGCTGCCTCCGCAAGCGGCAAGTCAGCCAGCAAGCTCAAGACGGAGCTGCAGCTTGACGCCTCGGTCCATACTGTCCAGCGCCACCTGAAGTTAACTCCGTGGCTCCAGTACATGAAGCGTTAGCAGACGCCGAAGCTCACTGAGCGCCACATGTAGTTGGCTCTTCTTTGCTCGATTCACCACCAAAATCACGAGCAGGAAGCGTGATCATTTTTCCCCGAGTCGTTCAAAGAGAGTTTACATGTTTTTGCACCCAATGGCTCTTTTGTGAAAGCTACATCGTAGCCGGCTACGGCATCAATGGGTACGTTGGTGCTTCGGCCACGTTGCACATGCCCTTGCCGGCCACGCCGCGCTGGAGGTAGATGTAGCCTGATTCGCCCCAGCTCGCACCCCACGAGTTCTTGATCTTGAAATGTTGCACGCCGTCTTTCGTGCCGTAGCCCACGGCAAGGACAGCGTGGTCCGACTGCGCACCAGGGCAGCTCTGCACGACGCCGCTCTTGTAGTTGCGCCACACGTTGTTGCCAGCCTCGACGACCACCGTCACTGGCTGCTTGTCGAGGGCAGTTTGCAACGCGCCCTCGCCTTGGATGTTGACGGACTTGCCAACGAGGACCTTGGTCTTGGAGCAGTTGTTTTTGCACCGACCGTTCTTGCCGGTGCTACCAGAGGCGTACGGGAAGGCGGCCTCGGTGCAGAGACCGGTTTGGGCAATGTAGTCGAGCGCCAAGTTGGGCCAGCCGCCCCGGCAGCCGTAGCCCGCACTCGACGCGCAGCTCACGAGCTGTTGCTCGGAAAAGTCGACGAGCGAGTTGGTCACGAGGCAGTGGGCAGCCTCGACGGCACCGACGGCCGCGAACGCCCAGCACGAGCCGCAGACGCCCTGGTCGCGCACGGGCGACATGCACGCGCTGGTCGTCCAGTCGATCTCGGTGGCCTCCTCCTGGGCTTGCGTCAGCGTCAGCTGAACGTCATCGCTGCGCAGTTGGCGCGCCGGCGCCTCGTGCTTGAACGCGCCCTTGACAAAGGCCGCAAATTCCGCTTCCGTCATGAGTGCAAACTGGTTGTCGGTCGAAAAGATAGCACCCTTGTGCTGTTTGTTGAGCTCGTCGACGATCTTTTGGGTCGCGGCAAACCGAGCAACCTCGTCATCTTCGACGGTGCCGTGCGCCGGCTTGGGCGGGAGAAAGCCGTTGGCCGCCGCGTTCTTGCCAGCTTGGCTCGCCTTCCACGCTGCAAGCTTGACCGCGACGTCGGCCTTTTCTGGGTCCGCAAGGCTGAAGCCGTGGGCGGCTGACGCGGCGAGGAGGAGACATGGGATTGACTTCATCGCGGTGATGGTTGTCAAGATGCAAGGAAATTGAAAAATAGAACTGACACAACGGCGCTCTCCATGTTAAGTAGCGGTTGACGGGTGGAGTTGATCGCATCGCATGAGGTCAGTGGGTCGTGTGACACGATTTGCCACAGGCGGCCTATCACACTTGAAGGTTTTCGAAAGCAAATGCAAATCCGTAGATGGGACGTGATGGCACTTGAGAAACCATTGCACATGCCTCTCTGAGGCTGCAGTCATGGAGCCCAACTGACCACCTCTTGGCGTCCGAGATTTGAATCACTCTCTGGCCCATCATCTCCTGTACCTTTGCTTTGGCTGCAGAGCGTGTTGCAGGGGCGAATAATACCGCCCGCGGTGTGAAGAGCGGCGCTGCTGTCCTTCTGCTGCAATAGCATCTTTTAAAGGCAGGACTCGTCGCAGCCCTTGGTCACAAAATCGGTGCAGGGATCGAGGAAGGGATCTAGAGTGTGAACTGCCTATAAACTTGCACTCTCGACCAAGCTGACGCAGCTTGGTCCAGAGGTTATAGATCGCAATCTTTCTATGTTGGCTCTATGTGACCTTGTTGAAGCTGCGTACTGACGAGCGGCCATTTTCAGGTTGAAGAGGGAGATCTAGTGCAACCAAGCTAGCTGCCGTAAGTTTCCCATCCTGTTCCGCGATCACTTTCCCCCGAGTTGGTATATCACGAGCCACGAGCCGGTCGTTCCAGCGGCAGTGAAAAGTGGTTCCGTGAGCTGGGTCACTTCAGATCCCTCTCAAATGAAAGTCCACGTGCAAGCATCGATTAAAAATTCACGTCCGATCGGGTTAAGGACCTGACAACTGGAGCCGAGAGGCTGTTTTTGTGCCTCCTTGCTTGCTTTCTCGACAGGTTCCATGGTTCTACTTGCGATGTAGAAGTATAGGGTGCAGCCGACAATACAATTCTCCATTTGACGTTCAACGACATCCACTAAGCGGAGGGGCCGTAGCCGCCGCCACCGGGCGACCGAATCGTGAGCACATCGCCCGGCGTCACTTGCACCGTGTTTTTGCCGCCGAGGTTGACTTGACGGCCGTCCGGGTACCGCAAAAGGTTCTGGCCGCGGGCTCCGGGCTCGCCACCCTCGAGACCGTACGGCTGGAACGCGCGGCGCTCCGAGAGAATGCTCACCGTCATCGGCTCCAAAAACTTGAGCGCGCGCACGACCCCGTCGCCGCCGTTGAAGTGGCCGCGGCCGCCCGAACCCTAATACGCTGCGTCAGACTTAATAGAAAAGAAAAAAGAGGGTACCGGGCGCAGCCCAAACGACTCGAGGAGGACCGGAAAGCGCTTCTCGAGGATCTCGGGGTCCGTGATGCGCGTGTTAGTCATGTGCGTGTGCACTCCGCTGCGGCCGTGCCAGTGCGGGCCGGCGCCGGCGCCACCGGCGATGGTCTCGTAGTAGCCGCCGAGCGTGTCCGAGCCAAACGTGAGGTTGTTCATGCAGCCTTGGGACGCCGCGGCCGCCCGGAACGCGAGGAAGATGACGTCCGTCACGCGCTGGGACGTGAGCACGTTGCCACCGACAACGGCCGCCGTCGAGCTCGGGTTGAGGATGCTGCCGTCCTTCGGGAAGATGACTTGGATCGGCGTCAAGCAGCCTTGGTTGAGCGGAAGGTCGTCGCCAATCTACTCGGTCCACGTATAAAGAGCCGCAGACACATACTGGAAGCACGCTGTACGAGGAGGCAGCGGAGGCAGTAGATGATGGCCGAGTACGTCACGGCGGGCGGCGCGTTGATGTTGCCAAAGACCTCGGCGCCCGTGCCGGTAAAGTCAAAGATCGCGCTGTCATTGCGGCGGTCGATCGTGATTTGAAGCGCGAGACGCGTCCCGTCGTCCATAAAGTCCTCTGCAGCGACGCTGCCGACCTCGGGGAGGCCCTGCGCGAGCGAGAACTCGTGCAGCATCGTGCGCACGGCCTGCTCGGCCGTCTCCTACGCCGAGTGACGACTTGCGACTTCAAGATGTTGAAGTACTTGGATGAACGTCATATACGCCGTGACGACGCGGAGCGTGTACTCTCGAATGAGGTCCTGCATGAGGTGGACGCCCTTTTGATTCGCCGCGACCTGCGCCTTGAGGTCCGAGAGGTTGTCGCGGAGGTTGCGCGTGCCGATCGCGGGCCGCCCGAGGCTGTCGACTTTGCCCTTTTGTAGCAAGATGTCGGTGATGCCGGCCTCCTGGAACTGGCCGTCGCGGCCGTCCACGAGCTTGAACGCGACGATGGCCGCGCCTTCTTCCGCCAAGCACTTGGAGAGCGGCGGCATCGAGCCCTGTCCATCGCGCCAAGATGAGCGCCTGCGCAGAAAAGATGCCATGGGCGGTGTACCGGCGCAATGCCGCCAATGTCGGCGTGGTGGCCGCGGCTCGCGACGAAGAAGACGATCTTGCCGTGCTCAAAGACTGGCGTCATGACCGTAATGTCCGGGAGGTGGCTCCCGCCCGCGAGCTGCGGGTGGTTGGACACGAGCACGTCGCCTTCGCGAATGTTCTCGCCCCAGTACTCCATCTACCACCTCGATGAGCCTTTCGGCAACAATGAAAAAGAAATAGGAGACACCACCTGAAAGCGAACGGCTTGCTGCATGGCGCCGAGGTGCACGGGCAAGTGCGGCGCGTTCGCGACAAGGCCGCCGTCCGGGCCGAAGAGCGCACACGAAAAGTCGAGGCGCTCCTTGATGTTGACCGAGACAGACGTGCGCGCGAGCGTCCGACCCATCTGCTCGGCGATGCCCATGAAGCGGTGCGAAAACACCGAGAGCTGGATCGGGTCCATGACGACGGGCACGTGGCGCAGGTCCAATGCGTCGTCGGCCGACTCTCTACGGAGCAACGAGTTCGAGACAGGAGGAGGATACTGTCTATGCGTACTGCTGGTCGCCAAGGTACAAGTAGAGATCGCCGTTCGGGAGGATCTCGGCGTGCCAGTCGTTCTCGACGACCACGGTCGCCTGGTTCTGCATAATGACCGCAGGGCCGAGAAGGTGCGTCGCCGTGCCCAGCATGTCGCTGTGGCGGTAGACCGGCACGTGCTTCCAGAGCTTGGCGTCGTCAAAGTAGAGCGGCGTCGTCGCATGCGGTGCCGCGATGGCCGCCGACGCCGACGCGCGCGCGTCATCGTTCGCCTTATTGGACGGCGGCGAGAACGTGCCGCGCACACGGATGTCGTCAATGAGGATCGCGCGCTGGCTGAGGAGGAAGCCAAATTCTTGTTGGTACTTTTCCAAAAACGCCGCTTCAAAGTCAAAGGCTTGGAGCGATTGCGTGATCGGCGCCAATGGATTGGTGACGAGGCAGCGCGTCATGAGCGCCGTGTCCGTGCCCTACGCGCCATCAGAACGCAAGAAGACGCGTCAACGTACAGTACCTCGTAGCGCAGGTTGAGGTAGTAGTCGAGCGTGCAGAACGCTTCGTCGAAGCCCTCGGCCTTGAGGTCGCTGCGGACGACGTTGGCGAGCTCGAGCAGGTTGGCCACGACACTTGGCTACGCAGATCTCGTCTCTTACCCACCCTTCCTTGAAGAAAGTCAAGATGCGATACCTTGGCCGCGGCCGAGTACGTCGACGACGCTGGGAGTTGCTTGTCAATGACGCTGTCGGCCAAGCTGAGGCCGTACGCCGAGAGGATGCCACTGTAGCGCTGGACGTAGACCTTAGTCATGCTAGCAGCGAGGTTGACGATATCCAATCCAACGGAGCGACGCACCCGAGAGCCTTGGCGATGGCGCACGCGTGCTGCGGACCGGCGCCGCCAAAACACGCTAGGACGTGTGTGCTAATGTCATACCCGCGCATCTACACGCTCCAGCATTGGACCTTGCCGTGCAGAGAAGAGAAGAGAGAGAGAGTACCTGCGTCAAGTTGCGAATCGGGCGGCACATGGCTTCGTTGGCGACGCGGAGAAAGCCGGACGCGACTTCTTCGACCGAGTACGTGACGCTCTGGCTCGCGTTGATCTCGGCCGTGAGTGCTTCGAACGCCTTGCGCGCGCCGTCGAGGTCCAACGGCTCGTTCTCGTCTAAACATGTCATGATGCGTTGATATCGCAACATATCGATGGCGCATGATGGCACGTACGCGGGCCAAAGATGTGGGGAAAGTACTTGGGGAGAATCCGACCCGTGACGAGGTTGGCGTCCGTGACGCTCAGGTACCCGTTCTTGCGGTAGCAGACAGGGCCGGGGTGCGCGCGGACGCTCTCGGGCCCGACGACAAACATGTTGTTCTTGTAGAAGAGGCGCGAGCCGCCGCCGGCCGCGACCGTTTGGATGTCGAGCTGCGGCGCGCGGATCGGGACGTTGGCCGTGACGCTCTCAAAGACGTGGTCGAAATTGCCGTCGAAGCGCGAGACGTCGGTGGATGTGCCGCCCATGTCAAAGCCAATGACTAGTCCATGATAGTGCATGTGAGAATGCGCCGAGGTTTGCATGGAGCGTCGTCGTACCAGGGAGCGACGACTGCGCGTGGTGGCCGTGGGTGGGCGGGCGCGTCGTGCGCGCATACCCGACGACACCGCCGGCCGGTCCCGACAAGATCGCACGGTTGCCGCAGAAGCTCGCCATGGGCGTGAGGCCGCCGTCCGACTGCATGAAGCTAATCTTGACGTTGGCGAGGCCCGCGTCAAAGCCCGAGCAAAAGGACGCGAGGTAGTCCTTGATGACCGGCGTTAAGTACGCGTCGGCGCACGACGTGAAGCCACGCGGCACCATCTTGATCATGGGCATGATCTCAGACGAGAGCGAAATCTACGCCGTATCAATCTATCAAGTCGTCCACGGAACACCCGCGCACCTGGGTAAACCCGAGCTCCTTGGCAATCGCACCGATCGCTTGTTCGTGGCGAGGAAACGTGTACGAGTGCGTGAGCACGACGGCGATGCTCTTGATGCCTTTCGTGCGAAGCGCCTAGACCATAACGACGTCCAACCTTGAGCGAGCGAGGGTGGTGATCGTCGCACCTGCAGCTGCTGGCGGAGCTCGGTGACGTTGGGCGGCTCGAGAACGCGCACGTAGTCGCCGCTAATGCCCTGGATGTCGGTTGCCTCACGGGCGTTGCCGTAGACGAGCTGGACGCGCTCGCTGACTTCGACGACGTCTTCGTACAGCATCTAGTTCAAGAGGCATGAGCTGGGACGTCTCGGAAAGAAAGGCTACGTCGGGCGTCGTGATCTCGAGGTCGAAAATCTTGGGCCGCGACTGATTGCCAATGTAAAGGAGGTCTTTGAAGCCCTTTGTGATGACGAGCGCCGTGCGCTCGCCGTTGCGCTCCAAGAGCGCGTTGGTCGCGACCGTCGTGCCCATGCGGATGTACTCGAGGCGCGACGTGTCCACGGGCTGCCCGCGTGGGTGCGGGACGCCCGTGAAGAGCTCCAAGATGCGGCGAATGCCCTCCCTACGACGCACGCCATGGCTTGAGAACCGGACGAGACGGCTGCATGTAGTACCGGGGCGCGTCCGGGTAGTTGGCCGGGTCCTCCGAGAGGAGCTTGATGACCTGGACGTCGATACCGTTGGGCGTCGTCATCTCGGCGTAGACGTCGGTGAAGGTACCGCCTCGGTCAATGGAGACGCGGATCGAGCGCATGCTGCTGCTGCTGGTCGGCGGAGGATCGCAAATGGGGATGTGCCCACTTTGCCCTTTGGCCTGGTCATCCGGATACGATACGGATACAATGACTTGCAGTTTGTATTGTGCGATTGCGTCCCGGGGGTAGGGCATGGACCGCAAACATGCGGCGCTCTGATTGGTCAAAATTAAAGCGCGCGTTCAGGCGAACATTGCCGTCGGTGCTTGGGTTGAGACTACGCAAGCACGTGCGCTCGTCTGGTCCGCTACACTGGACCGGTACGAGTACGTCTCGCGTGGACTGCAACTTGCCATATTGGACGAGAACCGACACGACATGTGTTAAGGTATCGCACGAGGTGGTCGAAGGAGAGCACTGCAGAGTCAGCAGCAACGTTGACGCCACTTCGCCGCTCGACGACACAGCAAAAAAACGAGCGAGATGCCCACCAAAGCAGACAGTGCGCTAGTGGCCGCATCGTTTTTTGCAAGGACGACCCCCGGGCTTCGCTCTGCGTACGCGGCGAGGACCCTCGTCGAAGCGACCACAAACGTTCGTGTGTCGCCCGAGACCTCATGGCGCAGCTGCGTTGTAAAGACCTTGAAGTCAATGCTACGACAGTCGTGACCTTACTACACCTTGCTCCCGTTCGTAGCGTCCGTCAGTCGAGCGCCAAGGCAACCATGTCGCCCGAGTAGTAGACAACTTGTGCAACAATGTTTTGTACTGTAGACTCAGTGGGATGCTTCTATAGTTGCAATGCAGCAACGTGGAAGTGTATGCAGTCAAGTTATCTTTGTATTATCTTTTTACTCGTTCTTCTTGGCCTTTGTGAGGCCTGTCGGGAGCTTCTTTGGGGACCGCGTGACGGCAAAGGTGTAGCCGATGCCGCCACCGAGCGCCAAGACGACCGCCATCATCTCGGGGCGAAGCAACTCCGAGACAGCGAGCGACAGCGTTTGGAAGATGATATGCAGCGCCGACGGCGGGTGCGGCAGCGCGGTCGGCGTCGTCGCCTTGTACCCGCCCTTGACAAAGTTGAGGATCGCATCCTTGGTTCGCTCCGCCTTGCTCGGGAAGGCGTACACGAGCCGCTTGCTCTTGTCGACCAAAAGCACGCTCGGGTAGCTCTCGACGTTGAGGCGCGTGCGCAGCTCGTCCTCAAGTGCGCCATCGATGCGCGCGACGACCACGTTGGGCGCTGCGCTCTTGAGATCCTGGGCGATGGCCTCGTACGCGGCTGCAAACGTGCGGCACGGGCCGCACCACTGCGCGTAAAACTCGAGGAGGAAGAGCTCGGGCGACGAGACACTGTCGTTGCCCGGTTCCTCCAGCACCGTGTCGAAGATCGCGGTAGTCCACTCGGCCACATGGACGTTCTCGGCCATCTCGGTCGGCGTGGCTTCTTCCTTGGCTTGCTGTGGCTGGATGGCTTGCTGTGGCTGGATGGCTTCGGCCTTGGGAATCACCGGCATGTCCTTCTTGGTCGATGTCGTCTTGTAGCCGCCATCGGCAAACGCCACAAGCGCGTCCACACTCCGGTCGCCTTCAAAGAGCGTGTACGAGGTGTCGTGGAGCATCAGGATGGTCGGGTACGACGCGATGCGAAAGGCTTGCATGAGCGGACGGTTGGCGACATTGGTGCCATCGATCGAGCCCGCCAGGACGTTCTTGGCCTTGAGCGCCGTCGCGACCTTGCCAAAGGTCGGGAGCAGCTTGTTGCAGTGGCCACACCACGGCGCATGAAACATGACGAGGCGTGCCAGCTTGGACCCACGGACATCGTCGGTCGTGAGCGCTTGCACGTCGACGAGTGCGGCTTGGTCCACCTCGCTCGCCTTCTTCTTGGTCGCTGGCTTGCCGTCCGTCGGATGTGGCAGCGGACGCGAGTCCTTGGTCGCATAATCGGTCAACGCAAACGCCGTCATGAGCTTGGGGTCACGGAGGCCGTCGAACTCGTAGACGCGGCCGTCGCGGATGAGCACGAGCGTCGGGTAGCCCGTGATGGCGAAGCGCATGCCGAGCTTGGCGTTGATGTCGGCGTCGACGCGGGCAACATGCACGTTGCCGTGGTCCTGGAGCGTCAAGGCCGTTTGGAGCATCGCGCCCATCATGTCCTTGCAGTGGCCGCACCAGTGCGCGTGGAACTGGACGAGCCACGCGTCGGCGTTCGGCTCATTCACGCGCGTGACCGCATCAAAGGTGTCGTCGGTGAGGTCGACGAGCGGCGACGTCGGAATGTCCTTGGCCTCCTGCTCGGCGTAGCCGCCGGTCGCAAACGCAGAGAGCGCCTCGAGCGTGCGCGCGCCGTCGTACGCATACATCTTGTTGTCCTTGACGAAGAGAACAGTGGGGTACCCGTTGACTTGGAAGCGCAGCTTGAGCTCGACGTCGTCGGTCGCGTCGACCTTGGCAATGTGCACATCGGCGTTGTCTTGGAGCGACAAAGCGAGTTTTCCCCACGTCCGCGCCATCTTCTTGCAGTGGCCGCACCACGGCGCCATAAACTTGATGAACCACCCGCCGCTGGTCGGTGCCATGACGAGCTCGTCAAAGGTGGCGGTGGTGAGCTTGACGACCGCCGAATCGTCTTCCGAGATCCCGCCGTCGGCCATCGGAATCGGGTCGCCCGCCTTCTCCGTGTACCCCGTCGATACAAACGTCGTGAGCGCATCGAGGCTGCGCGCACCCGCATACTCGTACATCTTGCCGCCCTTGAAGAAGACGAGCGTCGGGAAGCCCTGGACGCCAAAGCGCTCGCCAATGGCTTCGTGCTCGGTGACGTCGACTTTGGCAATGTGCACTTGACCGTGCAGGTCCTGCGAGAGCGCGTCGTACGTTGGCGCGAGTTGCTTGCAGTGGCCGCACCACGGGGCGTAAAACTTGACGAGCCAGCCGTTCTTGCTGTCGAGCACCTTGGCGTCAAACGTGTCGGCGGTCAGCGCCTCGACAAACGACGGCGCGTTCGGGTCGCGCTTCTTGGGCACGGCCTTGGCGTCCATGGTCTCGTACCCGCCTTCGAGGAACGTCTTGAAGCCCGCGACCGAGCGCTCGCCCTTGAAGCTGTACATCTTGCCCTGCTTGAAGAAGAGCAGCGTCGGGTACCCCGTGACGCCAAACTGTTCCTTGATGTCATTGTGCGCCTCGACGTTTATCTCGGCGATCGAGGTTTGGCCCGCGACCTCGACCGCGAGCTCTTTAAAGATGGGTGCGAGACGCTTGCAATGGCCGCACCACGGCGCGTAAAACTTGATGAGCCAGTCGCCGCGGTCACCGGTTTCGAGCTGCGTGAGCTCCTGAAAGTTGTCGCCCGTGAGCTGGACGACGTTGCTGCTACCCGCGTCGTCGGCGAGAACGAGCGAGATCAGCGCGACACAGACCGCAAGAAGCGCGGTCCACACTTTGTTCATTGCACGTTGCTGTGAGAGGCAATAAGAAATGAAAACTGATTGATAACGGTCGATCGATGCTCTTCATCCGGAATCCATCGAATTTGTCCGGTTAATACTGGCGTCGATTTTCTTTGGAAAATGTAGAACTCCGGAAACATCGGTGGCAGAGGCTCGATGCTAGAAGGCTCGGCGCAGCTTCATTGGCACCTGCTTGGTGCACAAGCTGGCGCTACACCTGCTTAATGCATAAGCTTGTGTCCCAGCACATGGCTCGTCGACGCTATGGGCGCGTTCCTCTGCTCCTCTCAGAGTCATCAACTTGAGGCAACAGAGGCAATCTGGAAGGAATCTCGAGACAGTAGACACGAAGACGAAGGTGTCACGTGGGCTGCTTGCCGTGGCCGATGGGCAGCTTTTAGGGTAGCTTAAAGGACCAGAAGTATATGTGTGTCGATACAACCAGTGCCCGAGCTGGAGACCATGACACCTGAGAGATGACAATAACGATAGCATCGAGCGTCGTTGCCTCTGCCACGGATGTTTCCGCAGTTTTACCAGCGGAAGTATATGTGTGTCGATACAACCAGTGCCCGAGCTGGAGACCATGACACCTGAGAGATGACAATAACGATAGCATCGAGCGTCGTTGCCTCTGCCACGGATGTTTCCGCAGTTTTACCAGCGGTTCCACATTTTCCAAAAATCTTCGAAGCCATTTGAACCGGACAAGTTCGATGATTTCCGGATGAAGAGCATCCATCGATCAACCGTTATCAATCAGTTTTCATTTCTTATTGCCTCTCACAGCAACGTGCAATGAACAAAGTGTCGACCGCGCTTCTTGCGGTCTTTGTCGCGCTGATCTCGCTCGTTCTCGCCGACGACGCGGGTAGCAGCAACGTCGTCCAGCTCACGGGCGACAACTTTCAGGAGCTCACGCAGCTCGAAACCGGTGACCGCGGCGACTGGCTCATCAAGTTTTACG